TGTCGTAGCTCATCAGAAAACATTCGACCGCATAAAACACATTAGACTTTGCTGTACAGATGCTAAAGGAAGCAGGGCAGGAATTCAGGTTTATTTTGAAATATTTCACGGTTGCATAAATAACTCCAATATTTGAGGTAATCTGCAGTTCTAGAAGCCCCATTACGCACATTACATACAACATACCAACCCACATTTGAGTCAGACATATAAGCCCAGATGAGATGGTTATGGTTGTAACGGGGTGGCAACGTATGGCAAGATGATGTCATAGTGGCTGCTTTGGTTTTTAATGGGATTATTTGATTTGAATGTCCTTTGTCCTCTTAATGTTTACAAACGCAGCTGACTGACCCTGAAAGACCTGCAGTCATGTGGCTCGGCCCGCTGAGGTCGACCTCAAGCACACATTATTTTTTGCCTCTAAAGATTTGCGTAACCACACTGATCCTCACCCCCCCATCGAGTCACACTCGGGCTATTTTACACGGGCATTCAGCAGTTTGAGTTGACCTGAGACAATCAAGAAGAAAGATCATTGTCGGCGACTTTCTTTTATAACATTTTTTTGATAATCAAATCTGAAGAGAAAAACGGGCTGTTGTGTGTTTGAGTGTGCATGCTTCCGATAAAGTGTCTCGTGCACTGAAGTGTAAAATAGAAAGCGATGTCCCGGGCATGCGAGGCCCTTTGCAATAAACACCGTATCAGCTGGATGAGCAGAGTAAACGTTAGACTGGTGTTACGCATCAAGCAGCTGCAGCCTCCTCCAGTGGCTCCTCTCAGCACGGACACGTCACAAGACAAGTGGTGTTACCCGCGTTCATTTTAAATCGCTGTTTTAATGTTGTAGTTGACGGATGGGTAGTTTGCAGTCCTGCTGAGAGGTTTGGTATTTGTGAGCATTTCTTCCGGTTTGTTTGTTCTGAGAACTCTTATTTTACATAAAGTGCAGAGACAATGAAGGTAAAACTGTCCCTTATGAGGTGAAGCTGGTTTCATGCAACTCTAGAAGCCTGAAGCTGTTTAGTATAAAAATTCATGCCTTTTATGTTTTGTTTTTTTTACTTTCAAGTGTCTAATTTATTCTCGCTGTTTTTTTTCCAAATGTTACACAGTAAAAAAAAAGTGGTAACGGGGATTTTCTTTTCTAGTTGACCCACTTTTATTTTTCAAAGTATATACTATTATGTTATTTAATCGATCAGTTCACAAAGCTGAACAGATCTTCCTGAATGATTATGTTTTGATTAATGATTGGATCAGTATTGATCAGTCATTTGCATGTGCAGTTCCCGGGTTTGTTTAGCCGGATCCTCACTTCACCTCCTTATTTGCACACCAAATGTGTTAACTTGTTTCTGCTGTTCACTTTATATTTGATGTGTAAAAGTCTACTCAGTAGTTCTGTAAAAGAAACAAACCTCTTTCAGGCAGCTGTCTGAGTCTGACGCTGGAGGTGTTTTTGTTCTTCTGCTGTCCATGGAGCCTCGGTGTCTGTATACATGAACCGATGTGACAAATTAACGCCTCAGACGGACCTGAACGGGCTCCAAGAACCGCTGTGGTTTTATTTTGTTTAGTTTTTTCACCTGAACAATTCACAACGTTTTCCACAATGTGACAGAAAGTTTTTCTTTAATTTAATAGAAATGAATGTCACCAAAACATGAATAAAATATTTGCCTTTTTGTTTTAAGATACGTATTTGAAATTTTTTTTTTTAGGCAGATGAGCCCACGTCATTGAAATTCAGTGGAATAAGAAAGCAGTATGTGGCCTCGAGTTGATCTCAGGTTGAAATGTTCCAGAGAAGCGACTGCGGTTCGAGCTCCTGGCTGCCGCTTGGTCACGAAATACAAATGAATATAAAGTAACCAGTGAAATAACTACATGCGTTATGGCTTCCACAGAAATGAAATTAAAATAACTATTAACATGACAGCAGACAAAGGTTTAATCCTTTGTTTTATTGCCTATTTGTGCTCGAAGCGTACGTGTGATTATGTAATAAGAGCTCCTTGAAGTTAATCCTATACTTTGCTGTAAGAAGGAATAAGTCACCTGATGAATATCGTGTCCTTTCACTCAGTAAATAACTTGATCAAGTTTCTTTAGAGCCTTGTTTATAACTTTTATATGGGATATTAATAAGGGCCTGGATCTATTTAATCCAAATGGAATACATGATTATATTCAGTATAGCGCTCTCATAGAATATGATTCAAGAATAAAGTATTAGTAAAAGAGAAAGTAAAATCCAAAATAAACTTTTGCTTAAACAATTAGTCGCTAATTTGTCTTGCATCGTGTCATCTTTACTTAACAATTAAGCTCCACCCACATCGTCTGCTGATACGATACATTCATCATTATATAAATATATATTACCGCCTTATTAAGCAGTGGGGAGTAATTGCAATTTCTCGTATTTCATGTTTTCCAGGATCATTTGAAATCCATATAACCAGAGTTTAGACTAAGCGGTAAAAAAAGTTGCATATTTAAACTGTCAATGAACCTGAATATGCCGGACAAAGGTCCACATGTGCGCTGACACTACTTGGAGGTAGTGTGGACGCGGCCTTCACAGCTACAGGAACGTGCTGAGGGTGTTATCCACAGTGGCCAGATGCAGGTACTCGGGTTGGTCGCTCTCAGACTCCGCCTCCTCGCTCTGCCACGAGAGCGTCTTCTTCCTCCGGACGGAGCCCCGAGAGCGCCGCTCCAGACACGCCAGGGTCATGTTGGCGAGGTCCTGCTGCAGCCGCTGGAAGTTCTCACTGGACGAGCAGGAACCAGAACGTGAACAGGGACGCAGCTCTACAGCACTGGCTACAAAAAATGTAAGGTACTATATTCGGGGTAAATAACGCCGTCCACCTTTCAGCCGGTGGCGGGTTTACTTACGTCGTGGGTGGAGTTGGGAGGTCGTAGTCTTCGCCCTTCTCGCCCGTCAACCAGCAGGTGGTCTCAGTGCCTTTACCCTTGGGAAACACACATTCACACCATCAGTCATGCCGGTGAAATCTGCAGCCCTTCAGTCGATGCTCTCTGCGGAGTTGGTGGTTTCTAGGTTCTATTTCAGATGGTTCGCCGTGGCGTGTTCACTAAATATACGTTTCTCATCTTCACCTTCAGATACGTTTCTCCTCTGACCTCGTACTCAAACTCGCAGTCCGTCCTCTGCAGGATATCTATAGTCGGCTGACTGACGTGGATCCGCAGGGCTGGCGGACGTAACGGAGAAGATGGTGAATTCCTTTGATTGCTTAGCTTCTGTAAACTGGACCACACAGGTCTCCACTCACGGTGTCCAGTGGACTCCATACGAGACGCTGTGTTGACCGTGTCTCCAAACAAACAGTATCTGGGCATCTTTATCCCCACGACGCCTGCGGCACAGGGACCTTGGAGACACACGTCAGATTTCCATCATAAGATGCTTGGACGGATCAAAAGGAGGTGAAGGTTTCAGAAGAGCTCATGTTTTCCAGGCCAGAAGGCTGTTGCCTCCTACCTGAGTGAACGCCGATGCGTATCCACACCGGGATCCCCGGCAGGTGTCTCAGCTGGAAGTTACCGATGAACGCCAAGATGTCCAGCGCCATGCGGCAGACATCCACCGCGTGCCTGTTCCCGTTCCGCTTCGGGAGCCCGGAGGCCACCATGTAGGCGTCGCCGATCGTCTCCACCTGAGCGCGGATGAAAGAAATGCTCGGTGTCCGCGCCGTTCCGTCTGGATTGGTCTGTCCAAGGACCTACCTTGTACACGTCGTGGTGGTCGACGATGGCGTCGAAGCCGCCGTAGAGATCGTTGAGCATGTCCACAACTTCCATCGGTGTGCTGTACTGGCACAGGGTGGTGAAACCCACGATGTCGCTGAAGTATATCGTCACTTCCTCGTACAGCTCCGGCTCCACCACGCCGCTCTCCTTCAGACTTTTCACCACCGGGCTGCGCAGAGACGAGAGAAAGGTTTTAGTACACTAAATATGGCGCAGGTAGGCTGCCTTTCAGATAGCAAGGCGATAGAGAGATTGGTGAAGTGTGAACGGACCCGGGAAGCAGCATGTAGTTGAGGCAGTCCGCTCTGTCCCTCTCCGCCTTGTAGAGGGCCGTTCTCTCCTCCACCAGGTGCTCCAGGTTCCTGGAGTACATCTGCAGTCTTCTTATCATGTTGTCCATGTAGCTCTCGTTGTCCCGGTTATGAATTTCACTGAAGCAAAACGGTAGAGAAGGATGAATGAAAGCAAAGGGAAGAAAACCCACAAACACAAAAATGTAATAAAGAGAAGCCGTTAGAGTTACCTGATGATTTTCCCCAAACACGTCTCCACCCTCTTAAAGTCAGGTCTTTTTTCTGGATCCTCATCCCAACAGCTTTTTATTAACATGTAGACCTACGAGGCCGACAACACAAAGCTTTAAAGACGCACAACACACACACACAAGGTCGCTCGCAGATGAAGATGGCACCCAGCGAGCATCAGCTCACCTTTAATTCTCTATCCGAAGCCGTCTCAAAGTTCAGATCCGGTCTGAAGTAGGACATGATGACCTTGGAAAGCTTTTCTGTTGGCAAACACATTATAAATTCATTAATTCAACAGAGTGTGTAGATCACACCAAACAGCTCAATCATATTCACACAATCCCCCAATAACTCTCTTAAAACCCAAACTCTTTTGGTTTTTCACGAGCTCGACGCGTGACCGTGCGGCGCGTCGCACCTGCTCGGTCGGAGCAGCTCTCGGTGTAGAAGGTGCACTTTCTGAGCACAATCTCTTGCGCGATGATGGCGAAGCTGTACACGTCTCCTTTCTGAGAGGTGCCGTGTTTCCTCAGATGCTCCGGGGCGGTCCACAGGTCTGAGACGGAGGAAGGAGAACGTGACCGGTCGCGTTGTGGAGACAGAAACCCAGCGAGCAACGCGACGCACCGTTGCTTTACCTTTCCCGGGGTTGAGGAAGCTATTGCAGCCAAAGTCTGTGATCTTCACCACCATGCGATTGTCCACCACACAGTTAGTGGACTTGAGGCGCCCGTGCACCTGGAGGTTACTGGCGTGGAGGTAGGACATGCCCTGAAACACACCGCGGGGTTTAGATGGAGCAGTAAATCATTTGTAAGCTGAGCAAAGGAGTCCTGTGTGATGGAATGTGTTAGAAGGACGTGTGTGTGTGTGTGTGTGTGTGTGTGTGTGTGTGTGTGTGTGTGTGTGTGTGCCCTTCAGATCCACATGATCGACACCGAGTTGTTTGTCGTACCGTGGCGATGTCGTACATGACGGAGATCTTGAACTCCAAGTCTGCAAAGGTTTCTTCTGGGTACGACACCTTGTCGTTCAGCACGTACTGGGACAAGAAAGGGACAAGACATCTTGAGACATAATCACATTCTTAACGTGTTGCTCATCCCGTAGTGACATGTGCGGACTAAACTCCCCTTGGAAACCGGAGGGACGTGAGCTGCACACGAGCAGGCCGTACTCACCCTGAGCGACCCCCGCTCTCCGAACTCAAACACCCCGAACACGCTCTGATCGATCTTCACTGTGCCGTAAAACTTTGTGAGGTTTGAGTAATCGATTTGTTTCAGCTACAGAGAAAAGAATGAAACAGAAGTCGAGAAAAACAGGAACCCGAGACGGGCACACACACACACACACACACGCACACGCACACGCACACGCACACGCACACGCACACACACACACACACACACACACACACACACAACTAGAAGCATAAAGACGATGAATCAGTAAAATGCCAACATCACACAGACCGCCTGCTCTGTGTGTGTGTGTGTGTGTGTGTGTGTGTGTGTGTGTGTGTGTGTGTGTGTGTGTGTGTGTGTGTGTGCTTTACTGCGTTCAGCTCCATCATCTGGTTAATGTCTGCATCCGAGTACTCCAGCTCCTTCAGAATCACAATCTGAAAACAATCACACCAGCGATCAGGGCGACACCTGCCAAAGCATGCGGATTGACTCCAGAAGCTCCTGTCCGGCTACCTTCTTATCGTAGAGCGCCCGGCGGATCTGGATTTGCTTGGTTTTCCTCTCGTTTTCAATCTGACGGGGTCACATGGGGGACACACACGTTTATTGTGACTTGATGGCAGCGTTGTGAACGCAGCCTCCAAACGCTCTACGCGTGATTTGACCTTCAGAGAGATGACGTTGGTGAGCTGGTCTTTCTCCAGCACCGTCACGAGATCAGAGGGGATGTGGAACCAGCGCTGCCTGAGCTGACGCTCTCTCCTGTTCTGTCTGCACGAAAAATACAAAAAAACATCATAACACAGTGATCCATGTCTGTTTATGTATCTTCTCACCAATGTTTTCTTTGGGTTAAAACCAGAAAGAGATCCAGAAAACTGCCATTTGTACATTTTCTTATTAAAGGTCTTGCATAGGAACTGCATAGTGTTAACATCACGGCTTCCGAATTTTCACACGTAATTGTTTCAGATCATCAAATAAATTTCCAAACCTATGTGGCCCTGTGCGGAAAGTGAATCCCCCTCTTGATAAATCATGAATGAACTGTGATTAACTACATTTTTTAGAAAGCTGTTAAGAAATGACCTTTCCACACGGGGCCAGGTAGGTTTGCATGTTTGTTTTTCCTTTGCTGAATTAAAATGATCTAAATGTTGTATTTACTTGGGTTATCTTTGTCTAATATACACATTTTCCTGATGAACGGAAACATTTAAGTTGCAAAAAGTATAAGAAACCAGAAAAGGGACAAAAACCTTTTTTTGTATAAAGAGCAGATAGAAACAGATAACTGTTAAAAGTGTTTTGCTTAAGGTTCAATATGATAAAAAGCATCTATACGTGTAATACAAATGCAAATACATACAAATAGTGAGACTGATGCAGTTCAACAAATGTCTGCCTGTTGCTACCTGCCTGTTTCAAGCCTAATTTGGACTCTCAGATTTGTACGTTTTTCAATCATTGAATAATTTGCTACTCACTTGAAGAAAATGAATGCGATGGTGGCCACGACCGCCACTGTCACAGCCAACACGATGACAATGATGTCATGAAATGCCAGGACTGAAGGAGAGAGCACATGTAAACATTGGAAAAAAACAATAATAAACAAACATCATCGACTGTAGGAGACCCAGACAAAGTCTAAAGCTACGTTTGCTCATGGGAGATTCCCGGTTCAACTCAGAGAACTTAAATGTTTATCTGTACATAGACGGGCCTCATCTTACCGACTAACCACTAAAGACCGTCTCCCACACAGCGTACCTTCGTCTGGCCGGAAATTAGGAAGTTTTGTTCCCCAGATGAAGGAAGGGTCCGTTTCAACCACTTTCGTTTTGCCGAGCTCGGTGTCGAATGTGAATAGAGGTCGGTACTGTGGATCGTAACATTTTATTTTATTACTAAAGGTTTTTTGTCAGATGTTGCTGACTAAAGGATCTGTGTTTCTCTATTATTCTCTGGCGAGCGGCACAGGAGAAGGATGTACCTTGATGTCATTGGTGGTGTAAATGACCGAGAGGTTCACGTCTCTGTCTCCATGATAGTCCAGCTTGTAGTTTCCAGCACTTCCTGAAAATAACGACATGAAAGGTCTTAAAACGCAAACATGGCCGACACTCTGCTCACCGCCACCTTGTCAGGAACCTTCCCGCTGTAAAATAGAGCACCGTTGGCTCTCACTCACATTTTAATAGTGTTATTCTGTTATTTGAGAGGGAAAAAAACAACCCTGTCCGTCTCCATCACAAGAACACCCTCAATCTCTCGTTCAGCTGCAGCGCCTCATCGCTTCTTCTCAGTAAAAACTACAAATCGTCATAACAGACCCATCATGTGAACATCTATAAGCTTTTGTTAAACATTGACCACGGACTTCTCAGACCTTTTTTTAGGTGTTTAACAAAAAAAAGGACATTTGAATTTGACTTTGAGACGAGGGAACAAAAGTACGGTTTCTCACTTTCTGTGAGCAAACGTTTGCTAATCACAACTGAAGACAAAGTAAAGCTGAAGTTGAAAGGAAATGCAATTGTTTAACAGGTATTTGGTCTGAAACAAAAGTTTAAAACCACATTTTAAAAAATGTTAGTGATGACTTCAGACGCTCTGGTCTCTTCTATGTTCCTCGAGGCATTTTCCATTATTCCGCCACCAAATGAATACGTTGATTCACTCATTTTTCCTCTTTCATTTCTCTTTCCACCGTTAGTTTTGTCTCTTTCCAGAAAAATATCCAAAGTTATTTATTCAACATTCCAACCATACTGACGGAGGGCAAGACTGTTAATTCCCCCTCTCCCTTCCTCCCACTATCTCTCCCCCCTTCCTTACCATTGAAGGAGATGTTTCTGAAGTAATTCACATTGACAAACTCCATCTGCTGAATCTCGGAGGGAGTTTTTTTAAGAATTTCCCTCATCACCTCGCCTATCAGCAGCACTGAATCATGGTACGCGGCCACGTAATCGTTCATCTGCAGAGAAACAGAAAGGGGGAGAAAAACGGACATTTGGAACTATTTCCATGGCAATAATCTGTATAAGAACAACTGCTCTGTAGATTATTCAGAGGAAACAGGAGCACTGATGCTGGAAGTAGTCGTTGCAAACAATAAGCAGATGACATTCTAAGAGTGAGATAAAGTGCAACTATAGCAACTCCACCGAGACAACAAGTCACTCTTCAGGTTCCACAAATACAAGAAACAACGTTTAGTTCCAAAGATGAACTCATAGTGAGATACAACACGTCAGTCACCGAGCCGGTAGGCAGACTTATTTCTCTCTCTGCATCGAGCCTCGTTGCTCAGCAACTTCCTGACCGTACATTTCCATTTATTCGCTGAGAGATACAAAGAGCCTCTTCCTTTAAACAGCGGGAAAAAGCAGAAGGTAGTAGAGTAGATTTGGAAATGTGTCCCCACCGTGTGGTTGTCTCTCAGGTCCGTGTTGATAGTGTAGTTTCTGGTGTTTGGCATAGTCAGCACCAACACGTTCCTCATGAACGGCATTGACGATGTGTTGGTGTAGTACTGATCACTGTGGAGAGGAGGCAGGGGAGGTTTCATTTAAAATGCTGTATCTACAAACAACAGAAAACAAAACCCCAATAGAATATACTAGGGTTGTCAATAGATTTTTAAAATTTAACTAATTAATCGCACATTTTGAAATTCATTAATCTCGATTAATGAATATTGTTGTTGTTACAATGTTGTTTATAATGAATGTCTTTCTTCTCAAGACTAAATCTTAAAAGTAATGACTAATCACTTTAAGAAGTGTCTATTTTTGTTGTTTAATTGTTAATGTTATTTTAAATACAAAACTACACACATTTGATCGACTTGGAGACAGAATTCCACCGGGTGGAACACTTTGAACTAGCGACTCTTCCTGTTGTCCTCATGCACTTTGCATCTCTCCATACTTTCCATAATTTAACGACCGTGTTTGAAGCGCCAACAATCTCCCCACATTTAGGCAGGACGTTTTCAAACCACCTCTGCAGACTGTGTGCCGCGCACAGTAACGTTAGATGTTGAGATGGAAGTAGCATAGCAGCTAGCTTAGCCTAGCAGCTGGCTTAGCATAGCAGTGCTTTAAGGGGTCTGTTTGTCACTCACCCCCCTTCTTTTTGACATGTGGAGTAATTCCTCTGCACAGGTCTCTGCTGTATGTCGCACTCCTTTTTTTTTTTACTTCCAATGCGAAAAACTGTCTCCATCTTGATGAGCCGAACGTTAACTACGTTAAAATATTTTGTTGCATTAATCTTGGCCACATTAATCGCATAGATTAATGCGTTAATGTTGAGAGCCCTAGAATATACTCAATTATCAATTAAAGTTTGGTGAAAATAATTATTTGTCATATAGGGCCTAGTATATGTACCATATCTCAAAGAAGGTAATGAAAAGAGCCAGTTGTAACCAAACAGAATGAGGTTTTAACATGTTTACAGGTCGAACATATGCAGAAAGAACCAGAGTAAGAATGATGAGAGAGACAGTCAATTTAGAGATAGAAGACACTAAATGAATGAATTGACAGCACTGACTTGTAAAGGTCAATGAGGATGAAGATAATATCACTGTTGTCTGCAAGTTTGGAGCCTCTTTTCACCTCCTCTATGTCCGCTGGGGATCCACACATGATAAACACTGCAGACAAAGAAGCGGCATGTAACACGTCACACCACAGACCAGGAGTGTATGCAGTTATTTTAATAACATTCTGGCCTTTGAGGAAAACATGGCAAAATATCCCTTTGTTTAAAGCTGTGGCATTTGCTGGCAGATGGCATTTCTATCTAACAGCGTCCCTCACAGACTATAGTACAGGTCTTGATGGTTGTGGAGACATAATTTGTCCCCTCTGCAACAAAATGCTAAAGTTTAGATGTTCATTGTATGAGATAACACTCTCTGATTATTCTCCCAAAGTCTAATACAATGTGGCGGCCAAAGCCACTGAAAGCTGTTGCCAGTGTGAACCGTGGATTATCCCATTCATCACCATTATACAGGCAACTGATACTGAAAAGGGACAATCCTTTATTATACTACTATATTAGCATATCTACATCTATATAGAGAGGAAGGATATTTCATGTATGTGGTTTCTCAAGCCAGAAACATGAAAGTTGACATCCTTAAACTACAGCCTTGTATCAGAGGAACTTAGATACCGCAGTTCATTCAGACATGCTGATGTATTGTACAAGGTCTTAGAGGCCTTACGGTTGCTTGTCCTGTTCTTGGGTGACGCCAGCACATCATTCAGTTCCGCTGGTTTGCGCAGCACATTTCTCTCGATTTTGTGGGCAAACTCGCCCGAGTCTGCATCCAGTGCATTAATGTACCTGAGGAATAGCATCACACAAAAGAGCAGATGTGTATTTTATCATATCACCACACAAGCCATTCCTGTGCGTCTTGCCACGCACACATGAAGGTAGTCGCACACAGCAGATCTCATTCCCACCTCTGGAGTACTCTGTAAGGACTCACCAAAAGCAATCCTCCGTGTTGCTCTGTTTCTTGTAAACGTAGGCCGTCTCCCAGGCAGGTTTGATCTTGTTGTTGTCTTTCCAGAAGTTGATGAAGAAGTCAGAGATCTTGCGTGCCGGCGGCAGCAGGCGTTGGAGGTTGAGCATGTAGTCGCAGGAGAGGCCGAAGCTTCCCGCCGAGAGGATGGGCGTGCTGAGCTTCAGACCCGTTTCCGCACTGAGAGGAGAACGGCGGATGACTACATGTGCATGGAGGTGTACAATGATAAGGTGGGTAACACCTTCATACAAAACCACCTAATTTAAGAGTAAATCCCACATGCAATGTCCTTGACCCACATTTTAAACCAGTCAAACACCGTGTGAAGCTCTAAATGACGCATCTGCGTTAATGTGGAGTCGAGCTTGGAAACAAATGCACTTACTCAAACATTTGGAAAGTAGCGTAGGTGCAGACGGGGCCAAGCACGGCACATCCCAGAGAGCCTTTACTCTGCAAGACAATCCAGATGGGCCTGAGGATTTGTTCGTCGGTGTGGATTGTTTGTTTCAGATTTGTCTGCACAGTTCATGTGGCTAGTTTTAGGCGGGCTTTTCTGCTAGTTTTAAGTTATGTGACATCTGTCTCTGTAAATATTTGTCCACAAAATGCATTAATGAAGTGAATATTTAGAATGATCCCCATGGGGTCTCTTTGCAGTGGTTCCTTGTTTAGCTGTTCACATTGTGCACAATCAGGATGCTGCAGCCTCCGATTGGACCCCTTGTGGATGTAACTTTTAATTCCAAAAAAAACCACCAAGCAAACAAGCACGTCGTGCCTATTACATCATTATTGTGGATCAGAGTTGGATTTACTTACCATCAGGCTCTTCAGCTCGTCCACTGCCTCACACGCGCCGCTCTTGCATCCTGTCTGCCGATAAAAGGTCGGTCTGAACCCGCCAAAATTGGCCGTGAGATTAAATCCTGTCCCTAAAGCCCTCCCGTCCCCCAGAAAGACATAACCATGGGTGTCCATCGGTCGTCAAATCTCCTCTCTCCGAACAACAGTCACAGTTTAGATACTAAACAGACACACGCGTGATCTGCATGTTTTGGGAGGGACTGTGTTGTTGCAGTGAGCAGTTACTACTCAGCTCGTCAGCTGAGACCAGCAGCTATTCAGTTGTGGTGTTACATGTTATGTGAAAAAGAAGCCCTGCTCATGACTGGCAGTATCACTCGGTACTGTAGTATTTTCCAACAGTGAGGGAATCAGTCCTGGTGTAACTTCAGCTCGCTCTGGTGGATCATGGGGAGTTCACGCTGCAGATACCTCAGCAGAACTTGTCTTACAACATGGAGCGTAAAACAACACTACACACAGACGCATCCGTTTATTCTCAATTTATGAGACTGTTTCAGTAAAATACTAATTACATTGAGTTCACAGTAATGCAGTTTGATAAAATGTTTCGTCCACGATGTAACATAATTCGGTCGACATGCAGATGGCTTACTTACCTTCTGCAGCATTAATGGTGGAATCCGTCTCAATTGCCTTCAGTATTTTGTCCTTGACGAGCCTCAGACTCCACGGAGACTCTTCATCCTCCAGCAGGATCACATTGATGGTGACCCCTTCCAGACACTGTTCAACGCCCCGACACGGAGCGGCAACAACCGCCAAGAGGCACAACCACCACCATGTTCCCATCTTCAGCCGTGAGGGTTAAAGAGAGCCCATGATCCGTTAAAGGCTTTTCGGGATTGTCCTCTTGGCTGGTCTCTTCCAGAGTTTAGCAGTTCCCCCGCGAACAAACTACAACTAATTCCTCTTAAGTTTTTGTATGTTGCTGTCTGATCCGGGTTCGGGAAGCTGACTTCACAAGAGCAACATCCAGAGTCCTTGTCTTTGTTCTGCTCGGACACGTTCACGACCTCTCCGTGGCTTCTCACCTGTCCTCCACCTCAGGTTGTTAATATACAACCTTTGGAGGCACGGAGGCGGGGCCACGTCGGTGTGGTTCCAAGGTCAGTGTGAATTACAAGCTTGTAGAATTTGCAGCTGGTCGCGATCATGTGGGTGATATCAGGATCCCCAATAATGATCTTATACTTCACTTTGTGTACTTTAATATGCTTGCTCAGATCTGAAAACTCACAGTAACACACGAAGGACCAATGACTGCCGAGGTTGTTGTCTCTGAGCACGTAGTCAGTCCACACACCGAGAGGAGACGCATGCTGCTCCTTGGTGAGCGTGGATGTATTTTGAGCTTCCCGTAAAAGAACATTCAATCTTCTTCTCATCGGACCATTACACATTTTACAGCATGACTTGGGCTTGAATACATTAGTATGGCGGCATCATTTATATGGGCTTGGATGCTCCTTTTTTCCCCAAAAAGGGTTGTCCTTCTCTTTCCTAATCCATCAATGTTGAGCTTGTTTATCCTAAATGTTCCTTGTTATCAGCAACAGTTTTTTCCCCATGTGGACTTTTGTTTGAAGGAGGATATAGCGACAAGAGAGGAACAAATCTGTCCCCTGCTTTTGTCTTCACATTTTAAAAACCTGCCATGTCATTCAGGCGTGGCGATCTTTTAATATTCACTGTACACGTGTGTGTGCGTGTGTGTGTTCTCTCTGTATGTGTGTGTGTGTGTGTTCTCTCTGTATGTGTGTGTGTGTGTGTTCTCTCCGTATGTGTCAGGGAAAGGCAGACATCAAACACAGACACACTGCTTGTAAATCTCTGAGCAGAGCGTGCAGAGAAAACAGAAGAGCAAAGGTTGGTTGGACCATAAAACTCACCGATAACGTGCCGTAAAACAGCGCACACTTCACGGGTTCCGCTTACGGGCTTTCTGTACATTTGATCTGTAACCGACGCATCCTGCAATACGTTATCTGAACGATGTAAATAAAAAGATTATCCTCACTTAATTAGTAGCACCTCTTTGTGTGTGAGCACTAATGACACACACACACACACACACACACACACACACACACACACACACACACCACACACACACACACAATTTAATGACAGGAATTCATTATCAACGCATTACTTGCAACAATCACCTCACAGTGGATCTGCGTGTGTGTGTGTGTTTCTCTCTTATCACACACACACACACTCAGTCAAAACAATCAGTGGGTGACCAGGTTTCCCATGCCTCCTCAACGCCACCAACGTTACTCATCCATCACTGTGACAACGAGGGAACCAACCTGAACGAGGCAATAAACTTCTTATGACTGTGTGTGTGTGTGTGTGTGTGTGTGTGTGTGTGTGTGTGTGTGTGTGTGTGTGTGTGTGTGTGCATTGCCTCGTATTCCGCATGTTTGTGTTGTAAGTGCTTTGTGATGAAACAAAACAATATAAATGTTCTTGTTTTTACGTTCTCTTGGTGTCTATTTATCCGCGTGGTGTTCACGCCTAAAACATGCTTTGCACATCACTAACATCCTTTTACAGTCAATGATCATAATCGACTCATATCATACATATCAATAAGAAACACGACATGACTCTGTTCTGAGCACTTATATATATGAACAACATCCAGCACACTGTGCTCCTAGTAATTCAACTTAAACAAGATGCCCTTTTTAATTATAATGGAGTGTTTTCACATTGTGCTGATGCTGCTTTCACTTATGAGCTGACAACTGTCTTTTTACAGGTTTTCATGTCCATTGACGCATGTTTTAGCGAGTGATGTACTAGATGTCTTCCAGTGAAACAAAACGAGACATATGTGTCAAATCCCCAAAACCCAGACAACTATTTTGTAAGATCCCAAACAAGCTGTCTGACGCACCGAGACAGAGTTCACACCCAAAACGTTGTCACGGGGGACTCTGAAAATAACCGCCCTAGTTATTCCCCTCTGTGCCGACACCAGTGAGACCTGGACAGAAACGCAAAGAGAGAACAGAACCTTCTGTCTTATCGTCAAAAGGATGTTTCCACACAGCTCTGTGAATTCTGCAGTCGTTTTTATTCAAAAGACGTTACAGTGATTGGACAGAACACAATCAAACGTGTTGGTCTCACAGGACGGAAACCAGACAGATGTGTGTTGCTTAAAGGTTAATTCACGCGCGCGGACACACCGAAGGTGCTCGGGGGAGCAGATGTGGTCCCGCGCGACCAAACAGAATCCACACATTCTACCTTTTAAAAAAGTCACAACCAAAAGGCACAGAACCAATTTCCAAAACAACCAAACTGCTTTTTTTGTTAGAAACACCATTAAAAATCAGACAAAATCATTGTGGGCAATGATTACATGAGGAGCAGCAAAGGGGCATTAACGGGGTAGTATCATTAGAGTGAGGTGTGCAGTGTATTTAAATAGGCGTAGCTTAGCACAAGTACTTTAAACACAGCTTTTACTAACCCTGATGGTCTCGTAGTTACAAAAGAAAATAAATAAGTCAATAAATGTATTTTTAAAAGTTTGTTTCTTTCCCACGTTCAATTTTACACCTAAAACTAAGCAGTTCATCTCCGTCAGAACCACCTCTTTAAATTCTCATGTGGCGATTCCTATTTCCCGTTACGCGCTTATTTGACTTTATTACGGCCTCATTACACATGCTTTGTGTCCTTTTTAGGTTCATGCTGCATCATTGCTCCAGTACGTCTACAGATAATCACTCCATCCGCTGCCCGTATCCCCGACCGTCCTCCCCCTGCGACTCCCCTCGGGCCCCGCGTCCCGGCGGCAGGCCGGCCTACAGCCGCCGTCTCTGCCGCCACAACCGTCATAGGAGATGGCTACAAAAAAAAAAAGGATTTCAAGTAGACAAAATAAAGTAGTGCTGCGATATTAAGAAGGTAAATCTTTCCTTATTCAAAGAGCTCTCGAGCGTTAAGAGCCATTCGTGTTTGTGTCACTCTGAGTGCATCGATTGTTTCCTTCCGTTAGCCACGCAAGCTAACAAGCTGCTGTCTTCCAAAGGCAGAGAGATGAAGGCAGGTCTGAGCAGCTGTCCTATAAGCCTGACGGGACACGGACGTTATTGTAATGTCCTCTTGATTCAGTGAGGCCCCCATTCCCATCAGCCTTTGTAAACTCGACATATTATGGCTGGATTGTGGATTTCTTTAATCGCATGTTTGCCAGGTGACTTCTGGCAGTGCTGGCACCTCTTGTATCGGTCAGCGGCTTATAGAAAGAAGGAAGACCAGAGCGGGATTGAAATTCTGAGCTTCATTGAGCTTTTTACTTGTTAGCGTGCCAAAGCAGCAAAACAGAGTCCGGTATCCTCTCTGGCGTCTTCTGACCTCATCGGATCTATATTTAGTAAGTAAAATAAAATCTACCACCAAGCGCTAACTTTCTAAGTTAAAACACGATGGCCGTCGAAGCGAAACACTCAAAATATACATTCAAAGCTTGACTACCGGCCCCCGACCCCCCAAAAAACAGCCTCCCTCAGCCCGGCGCCTAGGAGCTGATGATCTGACCCGACCAGGTCTCGTGCTTGGTGACTGGATTCAGGTGAGTGAGCACCACCTCCACAGCCTGGATCTTCTGGTTCTTGGGAGGGATGGGGCACACCTTGTACGTGACCTCATCCCCCTCCACAGGCACGTACTCCCCATCGATGCTGTTCAGGACACACATACACAGTTAGCTCTTTCAGGGGGACAATGTTTAAAGGTTGGTTGTCTCAGTTCAGAAAACACTACTAGACTTCCCTTAGTGCAAACTATCCTACACGGGAGTTTAACTTCCACAAACACATTCGGTGTCGTGAACAAAAACAAATTTCCCTCACTCGGAGATGTGGACAAAGATGTCCTCCCCGCCGTGGGAGGGGCGTATGAATCCATGGCCCTGGGACCTGGAGAAGTTCTTACACACCCCTTTGTAGACCGGACCTGATTTGGCTCGCACTGTCCTGCAGAGAAAGAGCCACACAGACGGAGTCAGAGGGAGCAACGGCACCATTACCAGGATCACTTTGCAGGGTGTTGTTTCTCCTTAATGGACCTGCCGATCTCTGGACTCGTGCTGTTAATCTTACTGTGGAAACACAAGGAGAAGGAGAAGGATACGGCGTCTGCACTCACGCTGAGTATGTGCGGGTGCGCTTGGTGGGCAGCGGGCTGGGAAGCTCTCTGGGCTGCGGAGGTTTCCTCTCCCTCTCCCAAACCCGACTGCCCTCCCTCTGGAAGGGGAAGGAGAACTGCAGGGAGGTCCGGGGGGAGGGCAGCGGCAGCGGCAGCGGCAGCGGCAGCGGCAGCGGGCGGTCTGCCGTGGAGGAGGCGTCAGGGTCTGACATCTGGACTGGCAGGAGGGCGGGACTTTTTCTGTTTTAGGTCACGAGGAAGAAGAGGGAGCAGGGTTACACCTCCTGCATGGCAACAGGGTGAGGAGATGTTCAGAGAGGAGGATGTGTAGGTGGAGCAGCAATACCCTGCAAGGGAAGAAAGATGATGTCAGTACATTATAATAATGACTTACTATCGCTGACTAGCCTGTTTCCAAACGCCTGCAAAGAGATAAGTAAAATACTACTTCCCCAAATACAATTCATTCATTAATTAGATGTAGGACCCGGATGCCTTCAATCATCACGAGAGGATTCAGAAACGCACTTCGGGTCAGATTATTTCTGCCGCTACGCACAGTAGAGAAATCTCCACATGTGGCGAATTAAATGCTGCTTCATGAGTTCACACAAATCTCTTCCTTCGTAAGATAAATACACACTTAATACTTTCATGACGCTGAAACAGCACAGTGCTTTCCATCCAGTAGACAATATATATTATTGATAGTACACAATTGTTATTATTGATACCACACTAGTTTGTAGTAACAAACACTATGTAAGTGTCATCTGCTTTGTTCCTTTGAGACGCTTACAGTTCACTTCATCACTGTGAGAATGCTGGTTCCAGATAGCGAGCAAGACTGTACAGGAATAACCTTGTTTATCAGATTCTATCTGTGATTCATTCTATCGATGAATCACAGGCTCAGGAAAAAAAACACTTGCTGATTTCACCAGCGGAGACACGTTTCAGGGCGTTTTTACTCAATAACAACCAGCAGCACAACATCTGGAAGCTGCTGTGAGGGCAACGGGAGCCACGGCAACTTGATTTCAGAGCGACAGACTGTGACCCTGCAGAGACCCCGTGACCACGGCGCAGCTGGGAATGTGGGTATCATGAGGCGGCTCGTCATTCTGACACTTAAACCGCTGCAGAAGGCTGCAATAAAGACGTGTTATTGGGGTTACGAGCTGCCACCTCAGTGAATGTTATGTCACATCTGCAGACTGATGTTTGACAAAGGCTAAAGCATTAAGTGTGTGAATCCTACAGGCTCCATTCAGACACACACACACACACCGTCTGTCTAAATATAGCAGACAGCGTGTGTGTGTGTGTGTGTGTGTGTGAGAGAGGTGGAAGCGGTCTTTCATGCTGGCCCCCGATGCTCAATATCATCACTGCAATCCTTCACGCTCTCTGTGTTGTTTTCAGAATTTGGCAGCAAAAATAATATATATATATATATATATATATATATATAATTTTAATTATAAATTAATATTTATTTATTTATAAAAATACAGAGGCTTTGCAGTACATGAGAGCAGGTCATAGATACTTGTGCTTATATTTATTATTGTTCGTCCAGATTCTGTGGCACCAGCAGGTCTGATCTATAACACTGTTTCTGAATTAGTAGTTGTGAGGTAGCTTTTAAATATTATTCTATTCTTTGACATTTCCATGTAGAGTTACTCTACTAACCTATTTTTGACAATTGAAACAATGTCTACTTTTATCCCTTTGGGGGAAAACACATATTTTCAGCATCAAATGGATTAAAACAGAAGATGAGAGAAGTGCAAACGATTGAACTGTTTAGGTTCAAAGGTCGCCAGCATCTTTGAACCATCACCGCTTTAATCCCTCCAGTTTATAAAATCATTTATGGATTCTGCAAATGGCCGATGAGGGCTTTTAACCTGCTGATCTCATGTCAGCTGTCGAGGCCGTAATGATGTAACGATGAACACACACACACACGCAGGTCATCATGGTGGCACAAGCAGGAGGGCTGACAACAAGGCATAAATATGGAGCCTCAATAATTCAGCAACCAGACTGGTTGAGCTCCTGGTTTATTGGCCCTTGTGCTGGGGCCCCCACGGGCCTCCTCAGTGAGTCCGCCTGCTTCTGTTAGACATTCATTCTGGAGGCCGAGAGAAGAGAGAACAGAGGTCGGACTGGACCGGGAAACGGAAGAGAGGCGGAGCAGCTTTCAAAAGGCAGACAAAAGGGCCACAAGCGGCCCCCTGTGAACCAGGCCACTGTGGCTGTCTGCTCCATGGGCATCAGCATGGGGGGCACGTCATCTGCCCCCACACACGCCTTTTCAACTTGTTTTACGTTATAACTAATGTGTGACAGCGAAAGTGAGGCTGGCAGCCGGTAAATAATTCAACCGCGAACAAAAGCCGTCGGGCGGCTTGTTTCCAGAACATTCTCCCATACGTGGCGGCTTGAGGCGAGAAGATGCTCCGCTGCTGCCGGCAGCAAAGAGGTGACGCCAACATGGAGGGTTCTAGAGGAATCCGAGCCAAAGACGACCACAAAGCCACAAACCGGACGAAGCCCCTCGGAACCGGACGGGACCCCTCGATCAACTCACCGTGGAGGCGCCGATCGGCTGCGGCGCGACGCGACGCGCTGCGGGGCCGCGCGGAGGAGACGCTGCTCGGGTGGCGCGCGGCGGCCGGTGGAGGGTGGATCGCGGGGAGGAGGCGCACGGGGATCTCGGCGTGGAGGACTGGAGATGGGATGGAGGAGGAGGAGGAGAATGGAGGGGAGGCGGGGGGGACGGAGCGGGGGAGGAGGGGGGGGGGTTCCTCCGGCGCACTACACTCTACTCTTTGTTCTCCTCGTGGATGGAGCCTTTCTTGATGGCTTTTCATCTCAGCATTTTCATTTGGATTCAAATTCATGTTCAATGGACTTTATTGGCTTACTGGTTCGTATATATATACATGTTTTTTTCCCCCATTTCAAAATCAACCGGTATTTTTAATACCACCTTATATAAGAATTGGTGTATTGATGTATTGATGTAGTTAAAACACAAATAATAAAAAATATAAAACACTCTAAATTGAAAATACTCTAAATTGACAGTTGTCAACTTTGAATTTGAGTACATGCGGTGGTGTTGTAGAATTGTAGTTTCCAAAATATAGTATAATATAAAATATTTTTGTTGCATTGTTTTAATCCATTCTAAATGATAAAATTGACTTTGTTTTCAAACCACAATGTGGTTTGCTAATATTTAGTCTTTTATAGCGTCAGTTCACTGAATAGTCTCTTTCTGCTCCTTAATAATCATTGCAGTCCACCAGCCTGTCAGCAGGTGGCGATCTTGCTCCTTATAATAATAATGATATTTGGCACCAGGGGCTCAAACTACTTGTACTTCAGGTTTGTAAATCACTGATGGGACCTCGCTGTCATAAATCAAAAAAACTTAAATATTCATTGAGTTGTCACTTACGGCAATATTGAAAAGCCTCATTAATGGTCATGTGTGTTTCCAACATAAACCAAGTGCTCAGACTTCACAGGAGCTCACTGAGGCCCTCAGACAGATGAATCAGTCGTCTCATTAGGAGGATGTGACGCTGTCGAGCATGAATACCAGCACGTTGGGGCCACACAGGTACTGAGAAGCATCCTTTGGTTCCCGAGACCACGATGATCATTAGATTTTAGTTGTAATGCATCATTCACTGGACTTAAGCCAAATGACATATCTGAATAATTGCATATTTCTACAAATACCAATAAACAAATCGACAGACAGCAGTCACATCACTGGACAAAGCAGATAAATCCCAGCTTTGATTTTTATTTTACAACCAATTGAAATTTGTTATAAACAACAACAAAAAATCACCTGGGAGAAATGTATTTATATTCATCACTGGTATAGAAGTAAACCAAAAAGTGTCAGTTGGTTGTGGAGAGAAGATTGTGGTTTAAGCTTTCATTCTGTTAACCGCTTGATTCATTTAGTTTGGACGGAACAAGAAGGAAAATTAAGAGCTAGTAAATACAAAGACATCTGGATTCTGATCAGTTGTAATCACCACTCAAGTTAATTATCTCCACAGAGATAAAGAAGTAAACAAGTAGTAATTTACAGTCTAATATCAGCTTTTGTCTCCAGCAGTAACAGACTTTCTTCAAGGCAACGTGTGATTGAACATTAAAGTGTAACGAGGGTCAGCGGTGGACGGGAGGTTTGAAGCATCATCTTTCTGTACGCGAGGAAGGAAAAGTTCTTTAACCATTGGTCACACGTACTGTGATTGATAAGAACATTGACAAAGCGTAATCAATATGTGGGGTTCAAGTTACTTTGATCTCAAACTGGCCCAAGCACGTGATTCACTACGAGTCCCATGGTACCTTTCTTTAACTTTAAACTAGATAGAACGATCCAGCCGCTGTGCCTTGTGACACTAGAGAAGCGCCTTGTGTACAGCACATAAATAAACAAACAAACAAACTCATCACCATGATCGTGTTTCCTTTGGCTCCAGAAGGTCACAGCAGCTACACAGATACCAAGCAACCAACTCCTGTTACGGGTGGAGTGTAAATCAGGGCAGGTTGGATGGACGTCCAGTGTGTGAGCAGCTACCTGAGACGCCTTTGAACAGCTGCTATCGAGTTATGTCAAAGTTCAGTGTGTTCAAGTTCGGCCAACAGTTGAAAATAAAAAACACAGCAGCGTTTCTTCTACAATGCTATGAACTCAGAAATATCTCAGACCTGGTCCCATCATCAACATTCATCAAATGACAACATTTAACTCTGAGGTGTTCAGTCACGGTTCTTCGGTCTGTGCTGGTCGCAGATGATGGAACAGCATCTACATTCTTCTTCCACACAAAATTCAGATTTTTTTTTTTGTGTCCCCTCTGAAATTCCCTCGTCCTCCCCGTTCCACCACCTCACTGCAGCGCCTTCATCCTGTTCAGGGCGGAGCCCGCCTGGAACCATTCGATCTGCGTCTGGTTGAAGCTGTGGTTCAGTTTCACGGTCTCCTCGCTGCCGTCGCTGTGCTTCACGGCGGCGGTGAGCGGCTGTGAAGGGGAGGAAGAGGAGGTGCTCACTATGGAGGCGGTTCATGAACAGCTGTTACGAGAGCCGCCTGCCGGCCGAAAAAAGGCCTCCTACCTTTCCTGGAGCGAAGGTTTTGAGTCCTCGGATGGAGATGTGGTCGTCGGGGCGGATCCTGTCATAATCTGATGGGTCGCTGAAGGTCAGCGGCAGCACACCCTGCTTCTTCAAGTTGGTTTCTGAGGACGGGAGGGAGGCAGGTTTCTTAAATTGAACTGCGAGTGCGGCATCGAAGACGGGCGGGCGTTGTGCAGTACCGTGAATCCTGGCGAAGCTCTTGACAATGATGGCTCTTCCTCCCAGGTGCCGAGGCTCCAGGGCGGCGTGCTCTCTGCTGGAGCCCTCGCCATAGTTGTCATCTCCCACCACGACCCACGACACCCCGTTGGCCTACACACGATTAGATGCATGCATCGCACGGATCAGTCTGTGGATCTTGATGTGAAAGTCTTTCATTTACTCTGAGATCAATAGATAATCATCATCATCACAACGATGAGAATGATAAAACAGAAAAGAGCAGCTACTCCTCACATTCCCTCACGGTTGAGGTTTATGCTGAAAAGGTTACTTCTAACCCAAACCGATTAAACAACTAGTAGCTGAAGCTCTACAGCTGGATGTGCATCTGTACGTATGTAAACGTTGGACAAGTTGCCTCTGATTGTCAGTTTAAAGCAGCATATTTCAGCCCTTTTATTAGTCTTTACCTCTTGGAGCTTCTACCGTAACAATGCAGTATTGACAAAGCTAGCAAAGCACCATTAGCCAGTATTGACCTGCTGTTTTTGGCTGCCATGAATTATTTAGACCCCCACATTCCATCCATTATTGTCCAAATCTCACAACATTGCCCACAAGCCGTTAGTCCTGGTCAGAAATGAATCCCAAACCATATAACTTTATTTTCAAGGTGCTTGGGAACCCTGAGAGGATAAGTAAGGGAAACTAACAGTTTGCTGGAGGCCACTGCAAATCCAACTCTATATGTAAAACCATTACGCTGCGTACAGGTGTTCTGCCAGAGAGCAGCCTCGGCACAACGACGCAGTGCCTCGCTTCCCTCGTGGAGGCCCCACCTTGTAGTGGCGGGCCACGTCGGGGACTCCTCCGTACTCTCCGGTCAGGTAGTTCTTCAGCTTGTTGATGCCGTCGTTCTCACTGTTGACCGCACCGATCAGCATGTTGTTGGAGATGTTATCCAGGTGCCCGCGGAACTTCAGCCAGGGTCCGGCAGCGCTGATGTGGTCGGTGGTGCACTTGCCCTTCACCTGTGGAGGCAGAGAGCAAGAAGTGTGTTTAATAAATGAACAAACAGCTGCAGGGAGGTGGAGACTAGCTGCTAATCGGAGGGTGTCATCGCTTAAGGGCCGACCTTGATGAGGACCTTCAGGTCCTCGAGATCGCCGCCGCTCCACTTGTCAAAGGGCTCCAGCAGCTGCAGCCGGTCGCTCTCGGGGCTGACGTGCACCCGGAGGCTGGAGCCGTCAGGGGGCGGGTGCTGGTACGTGTCCTGGCCGGGGTCAAAGTCCTTGGCAGGCAGTTCGTCTCCGTACGGCGCGTCCAGCTGGAACTTCTCACCGTTGGCGGCTGTGAGGTAATCCGTCTCCGGGTTGAAGTTCAACGTGCCGGCGATGGCCATGGCAGTGACGATCTGAGGGAGAGGAGGAGGAGTGTCCACATCAACTCGCCACGCGTGTAGCGCGGCTCTAGTGAGGACTTACCTCGGGGGAGGTGACAAAGGCGTGCGTCGCCGGGTTGGCGTCGTTCCTGGCGGTGAAATTCCTGTTGAAGGACGTGACGATTGTGTTCTTCTCTCCCTTTTTCACATCCTGCCTGAACGCATAACACACACACACACACACACAAACTCAAAGAACACACAAGTGGAACTGGTCACTGGAGGTCATGTTCCAAACGCTCACCTGTCCCACTGTCCAATGCAAGGTCCACATGCGTTGGCCAGGACCACCCCTCCAACGTCGCCAAGGATCTTTGACTACGGGAAGACGCAAACACGCTTGAGCGTCTCCTCACATGACCCAGAGACGCGTCATCGGCGGAGTGCTCGCACACTCACGTATCCGTCTCTCTCGATGGTGGCGCGGATCTGCTCGGAGCCGGGGGTGACCGTGAACTGAGCTTTGCACGTCAGGCCTTTGTCCAAAGCCTGCTTGGCCACGGAAGCAGCGCGGCCCATGTCCTCGTAGCTGGAGTTGGTGCAGCTGCCGATCAGACCTGAACGAGAAAATAGAATGAGGCAAAAAGGAGCCAGGCTGCGGAGCGCGTGCGTTCAGCGGACGTTTTAGCCATGTGCAAAGCAGGAGAACGACCAAAGCCGTGCATCCTGCCACCGCGTCGCTTCTTACCGACTTTAACCTCCAGCGGCCAGCCATTCTTCTCGGCAACAGCACCTATTTCAGAGACCGGGTGAGCCAGATCAGGGGTGAAGGGCCCGTTAATGTGAGGCTTCAGCTAGAAGAACAACAACAACAACAACGCTGGCGTTACTCTCCAACAAACTTCTTTCAACCATCGAGGGAACCTCCCACATATCATGTTGCCTTGTGTATTCGGAGATTTAGAAGAACATTCTGACAGCATTCTAATACGTCAAATTCTCATATGTTCACTACCCACACACAGACATGCATTTCCTAATGCCCTACACACAAAAAAGGTAGAAACAAAAAACAAACAAAAAAAAGACCTCGTCCAGATTGAGCTCGATGAGCTGGTCGTACTCGCAGCCGTCATCTGGCACCAACAAGTGTGAGAATTCATCCGCCTGGGCCGCGATCTCTGGGAAGAAACAAGAGTATTGACGCACCAAGCTGTCATGTACAGCAGGCTGGTTTTCCATGAAGATCAAGGCGTCGACGTCCACACGTTCAGATTCTCGATTACTTGCATCCTTCTTTCATTTGTTTAGGAGATGAAATGGTTCACCGGTGTGAATTTAATGTCTATACCCTTGTTTTTTCTCTTCTGGGATTACTTTTACATCGTTATAGGTATATAGTTACATCGTTCTAATATATGTTGTACAGTGCTGCTTTGAGTGATAGCTGATACGGTTTGATGAAGTGAGGCGAGATCCTGGATCAAAATGCAGAATATTAGCTACTGCATTAAAACAGCTGTGTGTTTATTGACCAGGTGATGGATACTTGTATCACTTTGTATGGAGACAAAACAATAGTAATGAAAACAAGAACGTATGAGCAGAAGACTGAACATACGCTCACGTCCCGTCTTCTCCAGGTACGTCTTCATGCGGTGGTTGTAGGGGAACACCGAGGTCGTTGCTCCAATCTCTGCTCCCATGTTGCAAATAGTGGCCATGCCTGCACACAATAAAACAAATGCATATTATGAGCCAAACTACTGTGAAACAAAATTAAAATACAAAGTGTGATGAAGTCAGATTGGGGAGAAAACAAAAAAAATGTACTGACCAGTGCAGGAAATGGAGTCTACGCCCGGTCCGTGGTATTCGACAATGGCTCCGGTGCCGCCCTTCACGGTCAGGATGCCGGCCACCTTCAAGATGACGTCTTTAGGAGACGTCCAGCCTGAGAGGGCTCCGGTCAACTTCACACCAATCACCTTCAGGGAAGAGAACGGTGAATGAATTCAAGTAAGAACGTTCAGGTAAAGGGAGACGGCCGCCGCTGAGAAAGAAAACCAAAAGCCAAAATACGACAGTCAACACAGGATGTGCAAAACGTGGTAGTCGAACCACCTTGGGGCACTTGAGCTCCCAGGCGATTCCTGCCATGACATCGACAGCGTCTGCTCCTCCAACGCCGATGCATATGGAACCAAGCCCGCCGCCGTTTGGCGTGTGGGAATCTGTGCCGATGAGCATCACTCCCGGGTAGGCGTAGTTCTCCAGGATGATCTGATTTTGTGCAAGAATCGGAACGTTAGCATGATACGACCACGATAGCTCGTCACTTCCAGGCGCTGCATCCAAGCTCCAGCGGCGATACCTGATGAATGATTCCAGAGCCCGGTTTCCAGAAGCCGACTCCATATTTGGCTCCGGCGCTGGACAGGAAGTCGTAGACCTCGCAGTTGACTTCCTACATTAAGAACCAGGACGGTCAATAAGCGATCGCTTCTGTGGCATCAGCGGAATTACGGTGAACAATTGAGATCCCTCGACCTTCGCTTTGGCCAGATCCTGGACTCCGCCGGTCTGGGCCTCGATCAGATGGTCACAGTGAATCGTGGAGGGAACGGCCACCTTCGGCAGGCCGCTGCTGATGAACTGGAGCATCGCCATCTGGGCCGTGGCGTCCTGCATGGCCACGCGGTCTGGACGCAGCCGCAGGTAAGTGCGCCCGCGCTCAATCTCCTGCCTGTGGGGGTCATCGAGGTGGCCGTACACAATCTTCTCCGACAGGGTGAGCGGCCGGTTGAGCCTGGACAGAAGAATGCAACATTTACACCGTAGAAATGACGCGAGACGCTAAACTGAAGGTCGGGCTGACCGGTGAGTCGGCACTGGCTCCAGATGTGGTAAAGGACAAAGCCTCTAACACATATAAGGGAACGTTTGGGAGAAACGGCGATGTGACCGACAGCAAACAGTAGAGGAGATTAGAGCAACGCTGACCTTTGTCGCACAACGTCAACGTTGGATTGGAGCCTCTCGTAGTTGACAAAGGAGCCGGGCTCAAAGCGGCTCATAGACACTCGGGCTTTGGCTCTATAAGCCGCCGATACGTGAAGGCGGCGCGCGCCGTGACCCAAAGCCAGCTGGAGGCGACAAGAAGAACCAAACACAAGTGATCACAGAGCTGCAGACACACACAGCTGTTTTCTTTTGAAAACCTTCTTGAAATAGAGTAGAATAATAATATACCACCACTGGACCTACAAAAAAAAAAAAAGGAAAATTATAATACATGGCTGTTTCTACTTGCTGAACCCACGGCCATCAAATCACTGGACTCTCGGCATCAGGTAACAGCCTATAAATTAAGAAGCTAATTCCAGAATACATCAAGTCGAATTATTAATTTGGGTTCAGACATAAGGAAGCTGTGTAGTCTATTACTATTTAACGGTGTACTCTTAACATGGTATTATTAAGAGTTCTAACGGGATTTGTTTCACAATTATCTAATGTCTCATGTTTCTGTTACGTTCAACAATGCCAGATGTTCTTGTCCCACACAAAAAGACAACATGTGGTTTTCCATTTGATCAAACATAGATACATACATCAGATAATGCGGTTTCTCTAGTCATTAAAAGGTAGCTTATATAAACCTGCAGCAGAGCTCACATGGCTCAGATAATAATAGTTCAGACAGCTGGGAGTCATTTATTATTAGCTCAAATGTAAACTGCTGTTATTAAAAATAACAAACCTGTCAAGTTACAACAAAGTGAATTAACTCATTTGTATCGGAGCAAGACAGTGTGGAAGACAGTGTTTGCAGGATCACTTAATAAATATGTTTTCTGATCTCATTACTGTGCACCGTGTGCACGCTGGCAGCTCTCACCTTGTGGTTAACCTTGCAATTAAACACCAACTACACTTAAACCAGTAAAGTTCACCGGAGGACTGGCAAAGCCTGCAGTGACTTGCTGGTAAACGGACACTTCAGCCGAGCGTAACTAAAGTTAAACCAGTGCTAAAGAAGTTAGCACTAGTTAGTCTCCCACTGGCTGCGCTGCGGACACGGTGACCCGGTCACTGTGCACGCGACCGGTTTGCAGCTCGTTTCTCCTCAGCCGCCGCGCGCACAACTTTACAATGTCAGCGTGACGCATTCAAGGGATTTATCAAATGCAACGGAGTAAATGACATCATTTACAAGTTTTTAAATATGGTCTAATCAGACAATGTTCTTCTCTTACCTGGAGCCGGGCCACAGTGAGACAGTACGTTGCCATTTTGTTCACTGACAAAGATGTGTCGATCACTGGTGACGTCACATGTTTTAAACAGCGCGCTCGCGCAGGTCCTTGAAGGACAAAAGTTACGATAGTTTGACTTTTACTTAGATTGTTTAATAAATGTCATCTAAAGTGCATCATCTTCAACTGCATTCATCCATCATTTTGTGAGTTTTACATTTGATCAAATGCATACATAAAATGTAATTTTACCCATGCAAGTTGGAATGTTGCGTGTGTTAATGTATGTAACGCCAATGCCTTCAAGATGAAACAATTTCAACAATCACTTTTTATTTTTAAAGATGTACTTCCATGATGATACATTATCGTCATATATTTCTCATTTAACATAAGACGTGGAGCAGAATCGACAATTCCTTTGTTGTTTCTTCTTGGAGCCGCTAGGGGCGGTAATGCAACTCCGCATCCAAAGTTTACAGGTCAAAGGTTACTGAACCCACTCAGCAGCGCTCGCCTTACGTTAGGCGACAATGGCTAAACATCATCCAGATTTGATCTTTTGCAGAAAACAAGCCGGTGTCGGTATGTGTAAACCCTTTTAATATACCTCGTTTGACAACACGGTTATTCATTTGTTTTGTACCGCAAACGGTTGTCGGTTTTCGAAGGGTTTTTTCTGATACAATGTTAGCTCCCATGCTAATGCTAAGAGCATGGATTCCATTGAGAGAATGTTAGCCGTGGTGTTAGCTTAGTTTGTCTACTTGTGTATAACTGTTGTTACCCTTTAGCTAAAAATGACCATTAGGGTATTTCATCTTTGGTTTTACACTTCGCATGTGGTGGTTAAAGGCTGTTTGCGCTGATGTATGAATGTAATGATATTTAGTGCTGCAGATGAACAGCTTTGCACCACTGAACTCGCTCTGACTGCTTCTGTTTTTATTCCGCAGCTATCGGGCGACTTTGCGAGAAATGTAAGTATTTGCTGTGATCAACAGCTGAGCTTGAGTGTTACGTGTTTTCCTTTGAGCTTGTAATGTCTGCGTGTCTTAAGACTATTTTTTAACGTTTGCTTTTGTTAGTCAAGTATTTAATAAACTGAACGTTTAAGGTTCGTGTTTTTGTAGAAAAAGGCTCTTTTCACTGCAAAATACGGCGAGATTGTAAACGAAATGAGGGTCCTGTTCCTTTTAGGTCTTATTGTGATACTAAATAGTATGAGGCCTTCATTGGTTTTATCAATGACCCCCGCGTTTACTCATCAATTACATTATAAAATGTTTGCTGTGAAAAGGGCTTATTAATTACACATATTACAGCCACACTGATCTTCTATATAAATCATCTGTATTAACAGACCTACTCCCACTATGGTGATCAACTTTTGCATGCATTTAATTTCTAAAGCAAGCTGTTCAGTCTGTTCTAGACAAACGATTCCTTGAGTCTCCGTAAGGAGAAAGTATGTGTTTGCTGTATATGGACACGCACAATGTGAACATTATGGCGGGTCAGGGAACTCCTCCATCCTCTGCATTGTTTCATGTTCATAACGCTGCTACAATTGCAGCTGTGGTTTAGAGCAAAGCTAATACATTTCTGTTAAGATGCTCTGTCTTGTCTTTGTCCTTTTCAGGTGATGGCAAATGTGTCATCTGTGATTCTTACGTGAGGCCCTGCACGCTGGTGCGCATCTGTGACGAGTGTAACTACGGCTCCTATCAGGGCCGCTGTGTCATCTGCGGAGGGCCCGGAGTGTCTGATGCTTACTACTGTAAAGAGTGCACCATCCAGGAGAAAGACGTGAGTGGCCTCGTCACCACTTCCCTCTTTATCTGTCACTTTAGAATGGACTTACCCGCGCCTTGTTCATGAGATTCTTTGTTGTCCTGTATAGTTGATTCGGCGCGCCTAAAAGAGATGTTGTTTTACTGTTAGAATATGAAATGTCATCTAGCTGCTTTGGGATGAAAGTGTCACCTAAACAGGCTTTTCTGTTTCCCTCTGCAGCGAGATGGCTGTCCTAAGATCGTGAATTTGGGCAGCTCTAAAACGGATCTGTTTTATGAACGGAAGAAGTACGGCTTCAAGAAGAGGTGAAGACACCATGTGGCCAGTTCTTGTTTTTATTTTTTCTAGGTTTTGTAGATTTTCTTTAAAACCTCAAGAAACACTTTTTTTGACTTGTCAATAAAACTTTTGTATTTCTCCCCTTTTCTTTTATTCAATGTTTTAATATTCCACAATATTCATGCGTAGGCCTAACATTCTGTATTGACCAACAACATGCTAAAAGTCATTGGGTTGATGTTCTACCTTTTAACCAGTTCTGTTTACGGTCTTTGTCATCTTCCTACACAGATTATGTATTTCAACTACTTTTTCATCTCCTTGTTTTGAAATCATCCACAATCACTTCATAGGTTGAATATTATATTTCCAGAATTCCTAGCTTTTTTTTGTTGTTTACAAACATACAATAACACAATGCAGCTATGGAACGAAAAATATAAGAATTTGACACTGGAGACTCAATGTGTTAATAGTTTGTTTGAACAATTACACCAGGAAAACCCCCCCCAGAGCGGCTGAGTGAGCTTGTTTAACGTGCTGAGCTTCTCCACACGATGGCGAAGTTTCATCGTTTCTGCCACAGCTTCTTCCCGCTTTACATTACACACCTGAACCATCAGTGATTCTCTTCTGTCTACTTTTGTTTCACAAGGAAGCGGTTTGGTTGACAGACCATATGAAGACTCAGCCGCTACGATTTAGTTGTAAATGAATTATTCAGTGCGAGAAGGTAATGAAATCTCTAAGCAAATAACGTAACACTTGAAGGCTTTATTTATACATACAATATATACACAAGACACAAAAGGTAGCCATACTCAAAATACCCCCCCAAAAAAGGTAATAAATCGCCCTGTTCCAGATATAATCGTTATTAAAGCAGAAAAATGTATTGTAGAAATTGCACTGGACACTTTTTAACGGAGAATGTTGCTGGAAGTACAATTATTTCCACAAAAATCACTGGATAAATGTGACGGTCCTGAATAAGAAAGATTGCCCTTCGTCTGGTAAGTTTAAGAAGAAAGCGTAACGTAAAACAGGTAAAAGGGTTTTACTGGAGGGTGGACTACTGGAAAAAACAACTTTAGTGGTTTACATTTTATTATTTACACCTGGGAATCCCTTTAAAAAAACAACAATATTTTGATTTATTTTTGGTTGCAAGCCAACCTGCAGAAGAACAAAATAGCTTTGTTTTTATTAATGGAGTAAAATCTGTACAACATGCCGTCCTGTAAACAAGCAGACTGCGGCTGGCCTTCAAGTGGCTTGGAGTTACTGATGTCCTCAATATAGTACGGCAGAGGAAAAAAACCCAAAACAAAATTCTGTTTAGAACAGACACGGGCAGCGTACACACCTGAGACACGACAAAGCAGTTTGCACACAAGACAAGTTGTCTGATGACATGTGGCTAAAACGGTACTGAATGCAGAGAACATGAAAGTATAATATTATGCTACATTTATGTACAGTACATCAGTGGATTGTTCACACATGATGACCTTCTATGTGACAAGAACAGCACAAGTGGGAGAGCAGAGCGTGTGAGCTTCTGGTAACGAGTACTGAAAAGAAGAGACGGCCGCACACGCTTTATTTCTGTCACGCCACCAAAATTCCCTGAAGAGGTTGAAATTATTGGGAATGTTGCAGTTAGGAAGTTTGTTTTGTGGGCAAAGAAAAGCCCAGCTCTTCACATAATACAACATTTGAAAACAAAAACAGTCAGCGGGCTTCAGAATTAAATCAAACGTGTAAAGAATTGGAAGCAACCGGTAAGTCATTGTTTCTACAACCTTAATGATGACTGATCTCGTCTAAACTATTGCAATTGCTACAGAAGTATCGGCCATCATTAAAAAAAAACAAGAAAGGATAAAAACCCAGCTTCTCCAAAACATCACAAATTCTCTTTTGGCCAAAGGCGTACAAAACATGATAAAAGTACACATCTAAGTGGTGTACTGAAGAAGCACTTGAACATCCTCTCATTCACATGGATACTAAATCCAATTCTAAAAACAAAACCACAAAGGAAAAATAGATATCAGCTCTTTGCATCCAATTGCATCTCCATGGCAACACCCGCCGATGCCCTCCTCCTCTTCATCTGATCGATTCAAGTTGGACTTATCTATTCATTCATTTAAAATAAATCAACTGCTTTCTATTGGTCGTCTTCCAGCGCCGGACTTGAAAGAGAACAAGGATGACAAGGAGGGGGGGGAGAAGGGGGAGCGTTAAGCAACGGTAACATCACTCACAAGGTTGCATGTTTTCATTTTAGGACCTAATAGATAACATCAAACAGATGCCACTACCCCCCCTCACACTCCCCTCCCTCTTCTCCTGTGGCTAACTCCACCCGAACACAGCAGGCAAACGGCGCCATCTTAATGGTTAATGAGGGCTTTACGAGAACAGCCGCCTGAACAATGTTTCTAAGCTGCCAATTCAACACAAAGTGACTGATGCGGCGCCGTCTATAAACGTGTCCAGTGAGAATTGTGCATGTGCTTCTCATGCTCCCTTACAGTGGTCCAAATTTGGCTTCGTAGCGGGCTGCCGTGTTCTTGTAGCGGCCGCAGTCCTTCCGCAGCTCGCCCACTTCGCTTCGCAGCGCCGCGTTCTCGCGCTCCAGGAACGCCGCTCTGACGGTGATCTGGTTCTCCTTCAACCTGCGCGCGTCGCGGGAGCGCTTGGCGGCCACGTTGTTCTTCTTCCTTCTGTTCCAGTACTTGTCGTCCTGTGGAGTTTGAGGAGGAGAAGGAATAAGCAGCGGCTTTAACTGGGCGAGAGAAACACAGCACCAGACCCTAGCGTGTCTTCTGAGCTCGGTTACCAGGGTAACCCGTTGTCCCAGCCGCGTGCATCCGATTGTCAACACAGCAGCAGGAAAGCTGACCACAGCCAAGAGCGTAATATGGCCCCAAGCCAGGCTCTTATGTTCTCAGGCACAGCGGGAAGGAAATAAAACACCCATTTGGAGATTGTCAAAACTGCTGAGTCACTGCCAGTTGCGTCATTATGACATGGCAGTTTCCACTGTGTTTATTCTCCTGGTAGCACTTGTGTACTTAGAAAATAACGGATCAAGTTTCAAGCACATAAAACTGTTGCATTCTATTTCTTTACGTTAACATTATTTAATTCCCACGATTTTTTCAGCACGTCTTAAACGCAGTCACTTGGTAGAGACTAGTTAACGCCTAAAGTAAACATTGGAGCCTGTTGGGAATAATAAAATTCTCCAAAACGCCAGAGTAGAATCAACACAGTTGTCTTCCATTGTGAAAAGAGGGACACTTTTGTTTTATCCTTTTATAGTGTCAGCTAGAAACTATAAATGAATATTACATGAGCTTGGGTCAACATGCATCGTTCGCTTCGTGAAGAGGACAGTGGGTGTCTGTGTCTCTGTCATCCATCTTCAAGACTAAACAAAGGCAAGATAGTGTGTTCTAAAAGGAGTGGAGGGAAAGAGTTTGGGAAAAGAAGAACGAGTCAACAGATGTTGAAATATTTAAGAGTGTGTTTTGTGAAAAAAAGGAAGAAGCATTAATTGGTCACTTCCTGTTTCTTTTAACGACGTGCGTGTGTGAAATGCAGAACAGAGCGTACTCAGCAACACAACCACTGCACATCAGGGGCGTCACCCACTCTGCACGCCAACTTCCCATAAGGAATATAGACATATGAACCGCATTAACCTTATTATGGCGTTACCATAAACCACATTATGCACATACCTTCTGTTCCTCGGGCACAAACACTTTCTTGGCCTTCTTGATCATAGGCTGAGGCTTGAGCTCATCTTCAGAGAACTTGTGCTTGCGGGGATTAAACAGCTCGCCCCCGGGGACGCTCGACAGAACCAGGTCGGTGGGATCTGGCTCGTAGTTGATGTCGACCTCAATCTCGTCGGGGTCAATAGGCTCGGGGGTCTCTCTGCCATCTTCGGTGGTCACCTCTGAGCAGACAGAAGACAACAACTGAAATACTGGACGGCTGTCCACTCAAAATACCCCGTCGGCACTATGAAAGCATGCACGTTCAACGTAGGGTGTATTTTCTTGTGTTGGCATAACAAACTGCTTATACTCTCGTAATAACAGGTACTATTTTAGTAATGCAAATTACTCCAGTGCAACCACATATCCGGTTTGCACAGCACCTGTGACCAAACCCGAATATCTGGCTTGTAAAAACAAAAAGTTTTTGATCCACCAACCGCCACAGCTCACCTGTAGTAGCGTCGCAGATGATATCAGATTCACTCTTGCTGATGATCACCACTTCCCCATCCAGATCCTGGATGGGCAGCAGGCCCAGCGGGGACCCGCTGGCGGGCTTGGCAACCTTCACTGGTGCCTTTGCTTTCTCCGTCTTGATGGAGTGTCCTTCGGCGATGCTCTTTAGACACTCCACGTCTGGCAGGGTGGGGATGCCATTCTCCGTCAGGAACTCCTCCAGGTCCATGTACTCCAGGTGGAAGTTTTCGCCATCATAAGGAATGGTTTTCTCCCAGATGGCGGGAGTCAGGGCAGCTGATGGACCCGTATCACTACCTCCCCCGCCCAGGTCGATGTCATCTCCCAGAAACAGCTTTTCCTTGTCGGTGTCTGAAACAGGAAAGATGTACATTTGCATTTTAAAAAACGGGTTAACTTGTTTTCCCGTGACTCCGAAGGCAGTTGTCTTGGATCGATCTCATCTCCTCGTTTTCCATCTCCAAAGAAGCTCAGTACAGAACATTCCCTCAGGAACCAAACCACAAATGTTTGGTTTCACTAATTGTTACTTTTGACAACTGCTGCAGATTTAAAAAGCTCTGAATATTCGTGTTGCATTATTGATCAAGTTCAAAGTGAGATTTTAAAAATTGTTTACGGAAACCTCTAATCACTGAAGTCCATTGTGAGTTGTAGAAATCTTCTAATAACATTACACACTCAATAGCCAACTTTAAATTAGAGCATTGACGTTGCTGTTAATATTTGCGTAACTACGGCAACTGGCCCTTTTTACCACATCAGGCACTTCCTGAGACACATTTCTACCTCGCAGATTTCTGTAGAACAATAAAATGCGTCGCAGCAGAGAAAGGACCACTTTACAGCGACAGCCTTCCATTTAAATGCAGGGATGCGTCAACCAGTCCACAGTGAACGTGTTCCCCCTGAGAGCAGAGGCATCGAGACACGGCGAACAACGGAGGCAGCAAAGGCACACTTCAAAGTCCTAATAACGTTATTACTTCACTTCAAGAGTTGCAATACCAAGGGGCCGTTTTTTTTGCTGGACCAAATGCCCCATAACGGGCCGGAGAGGAGCTTCCTGTGACCGCAGTGTGCGTTCAGCGCCACGTTCATATTGTCGGGACACCTTCAGCGTCATTTCTCCGAAGCTTCGCGTCCTTGTTTCGGCTCTACTCGGCTCCGCTCGCTCGGTTTAGTTCACGTACCGTCGTCGCCGTCCAGAATGTTCGGTGGCGGCATTTCCATGACCTTCTTCAACACCCGGGGGAAGGAGCTCGGGGCCCCCGCCGCCGTTTGCAGCGTGATGACAACCGGCTCTCTTGACATTTTCCTCCCGTGTTGTTATCCAAGAACTAACTTAACTGGCTTTAAAAAAGAAAAGAAAAGAAAAGGCGAGCTAAGCAGTTGCTCGGAAACACTAACGTTGGATATTAAGTCGGTGAAACCGTCGTCTCAGAGGGGTTCAATGGTTCATTTACATCCACAGCGGCTCCGTTCTCCGGTACGCGGGACACTTGCTCCGGAAAAGTAGGTCGTTTGCAGGTTTGGTGTTCGGAACAATCTGTTCTTCCTTTACAAAAAAAAAACAAAAAATGTCCGCTCAGACTCGTGTTGATTGGCGAGTCGGGACCTCGTTTTATGAATATGAATTAGGCCAACGAAAAGGGGGCGCGGCGTAGAGCGAAGAGCCAATAGCAGCCGTTACATCGCAACTAGCTGAGGTCCCATTGGTTGATCGAGTTATGTATCTTTATGTGACGCACGTGCCACGAGCAAAAAACGACGACGTCTTGAATGTAAGGACACGACCCACATCTTGAATGGTGGAGGTCATCGCTCCTGATGACCAAGCTTTTTATTATTATCATTTTAATTTATATAGTTTTACATATTTATTATTAAAGCAATTGTGCAAACAAAGGCGGATATAAACTTCCAGGGAGGTATGACTGAAGAGTAATTTAATGCCCCGGCTTCAGCAATAAACCGTATAGTAAACGGGCGTTCCCCCTGCAAAGACAAGACATCCTGTACCATCTACAGACTCCTCCCTCAGCGCACATGTGAAAACACGCAGCAGCTCTCGCATATCTGCAGGCCCCGCCAGAGGAGCGGTGCTCTGTGTAGGCAGGAAGGGCGGCGCAGCCGTGCATATTAGTCACGCAGGCCGCACACCTTTCGCACCCAGGTTAAGTGGGTGCTGAGCGGACTCAGTCGACCTCGATTCACCTTTTAATTGATGAATGATGAAACAGGAGTTGCCAGTTTTTTGACAAATGAACACCTCTAAAAAGCATGGTGCATTCTCTGATGACTTCGCGAATGGGTTTCTTTGTCACCAAATCGTTTGATTGATATAGATTTATCGTAAGTTACTGCTCAGATGTTTTTATCCAATATTGCTCAGATGTTGAGTCTTCAGGATCAGTTGCAACAGCACATGAGCTCAGGAAAAGTGTTCACCGTCTAACCCTCCATTACACACAAAAAACAGATTTCTACCAGTGTCATTAATGACACATATGACTGTGTACCCCAAAGTAAACAAAAAGGAAAAGAGTTATCTTCAGCATTCTTTCTACAACACAACTTTTCCTGTAAAACCCCAAATTCAGTGACACGTCACTGGGCCTCCCAGGTTCTCACTGAACATTCATACACAAGTTTGAGACTTAAAGGCATATTCAGCTTTTTAAGATGTAAATGCATAAAGAGAAGATGTTATGCTCGCTGCTCATATGTCAACGGCTTTTCCACAGGTGCTCCAAACAACAACAACCCAATTTAAAAATAATGAAGCTCTGGCTTTGAAGCCTAAGCAGCACACTCTCAGCAACAAGCACACCTCCTGATCGAATAAAACGTAAAAATAAACATGATCCAGAGAAGGCAGACAGGGCCATCCAGTGATTTAATCATAGATCTACCCCCCCCCCCCCCCTTACACACACACATCAAGCAAGATCAAAGAGAAGAATAATGGGATCCATTAATCCTATTTCTGCAGCACATCCCAGAATCCCAGAAATGTATTTTATTTTCAGAACTGGCACCCCATCAGTGTAATAATGTAGAGATAATTATGGGCTGATTTTCTGAAGTTCTTTAGAAACATTTCTTTTAAACTGTTAAGACACTGAGCTACATAACCAGTTTAAACCGATCCTTTAAGGTCAAGGTAGGGCACATGTTTAATATGCTGGGTGACGAATTGGCAATCACACACTAAACACTGCGTCTACACGCATGCTTTGGGCTAAAGTGGCCTTTGGATATGAGCTTTGAGGCAACAGGGACTTTCCTTCTAGGTCAGGAGCCTTGAGTCCAGCAGCTGACGCACACTGCACCGCGCGCAGCTGCGGGAATTACGCAACGCGCGCGCGCGCGGATATTTCACTTTCGCAGCACGAAATTTGAAGGAAAAAAAATAAACCGTCAACAAAACACAGTTTGGGTTTTCATAGAAACTTACCATTATCGTCAAAGTTCGGGAGAGTAAACGGATGATCAAGAAGAGCTCTAAAAATCTCCGGGATCTCTGTCGTCTCTGAAGTCATGTTTGGGTTTTAGTTTATTGAAGTATTAGTAGTAGTATTGAAATAAAATAAAATAAAACGAGGTCTATCGAAGGTTGCGATGGCCTGACAGCTCCCATGAAATGGTGAAAACGTCTGAAACCTTCCCATGTCGTGCACTATGAACTCTGGAAAAGAAGTTACTTAACGTAGTCCGCCCACTCGGCTCCCCGCCAGCCAATCAACACCCGCGGGAGCGCCGATTGGTCAGTGGGTGGGTCAATCACGTCTATGACAACCAATCGTGAGCCTCGTCTGGATCGAAGAAAAACAACGGCAGGCTGTTACGTGTTAATAAAACACAGAATATTACATCAACAGCACATAAACACCACAGGAAAAATGTCCCCTGAACACTGCAGGCTGTTCCGTACTAATAAAACACAATATTACATAAACACCACCCAGGTGCTGGCAATGCCTCTAATTGCTACACATATATGATGAAGAGATGTCTGTGGGAAAGCAGGTTTAGGAGGAAACTTTACAGAGAATTAATGAGTGGGGTATTAAGTACCCAGTGCTGCAGGATATTATTCTGCATTTGCTTTGATGCACACACACTATTCAATCCTTATAACTTCCATATTACTGCAATAGGCCATTAGAACAGGATATTATTATGTTTATTATTTTAGATTGCATTATAGTCAATTGTGGCTTCGCCCCTTACACTGTCTGGGTTTACGACTGCTTGTGTGTCCTTTTGCAGAGCCTGACCCACAAACGCTGCCTTGTTGGCAGCCTCGGTTCCACTCTCTGCTGCCAGGTTCCAAAATCCTACAAGCCTGTTATAGCAGCATTTGGATGTCCTGATCTGACCCTTAAACTAACTAGTTATAAATACGCTCAAATGCATGCATTATAATAATTTGACCAGATTGTCAATTGTGATCTTCAATAAACTGAAAAACACATTTTCTTTCTAAAATAATTTCTTTATTAAATGCGTTCAAGAGATTTGGTCCACTTATGAGATCATGACCTTCCAACCAGGGAGGAGAAAAGAGAAAACAAAGTCAAGAAGACAAAACAAAATGTAAAAATACAGTACAAAAAGAGGCCTTGTTTTTTCCACTTCTTACAACCCTGGTTTCATCATCAGAGTTGTTGAAAACAATTCAAAGAACCAATATTTTCTAACCGATAAATTACATTTTTTTTGTGGCTGTGTAGTTGTGTGTTGACGATGGGAATCAAGTGCCTCAAACTTTACCAGCAGGCAGGACTGTTACATACTATTGCTATGTTTGCATGTTAAAGCCCCCCCACACACACAGGGAATAATCACGTTATTGTAAGAGCACAATGAAAGAGCCTGCGCGTGTTGGAGGGTTCTTGTATTGCAGCCACTGTAAATATTGTAGTCCTGAGTACTACAAAGCTTGCTGTTATTCGTAATGTAGCAGAAATCTGCCTGACCTTCAGTTTGGGTCATTAATTGCTTGCTTTTGACAACAGAACATGCAACACATGTTCCACTGTGAAGGTCAGTTCCATCATTAGCGTCCTTCTCCAACTATAGAGAAGCCCCCCAAACGCTGCACTCCTCTGCCCTCAATAGAACAACCTACTCCAACCGGTCAGGAATCCACAAATCAACTGTCCACTTGTTGCAGGGGCAAATACATATAATAGATGCCAGACATAGTCCCTTTTTATAAAGCCAATAGTTATACATTCAAAAAGAAAAATTCCACCTCGCAGTTAGTTCATGTCTTTCAGACCAAAGTTGACAGGTGGCTGATGTAATCTTTCCATCCCGGCCGCCAATGAATGACAAAGAGCATTTAAGTGTGAAGAACACTACCAAAGACTTGTCCTTTTAACACCATGAAAAGCAACATGGGAACAAATTGACCCCAAAAAGAAATAAAATCACACAGCCACAAAAAAAAAAAGGCGGAAAAAAAAGCTCCACCATCTCTTATCTAAATTACCTTATAAGGGTGTCTAAGTATTATTATAGGTATCAGGTATCATATAGTGTATATAGTAAGCAGGAATATACAATAGGGGTGTGTATCATCTTATAGGTGTAGTATAATGAATAAGGCGCTACACAGGAGTATATAGGCTACTATGTATGCTTTTGATTTCATATCTGTCTTTGCTTGGTGAATCAATTTAGACAAAAGTGCACAGCACAGGCAGTGAGCAGCGAGCTCCGCTGGCAGGGTGAACGGCTAACCGTATATGTATATATACCGTCAATCATCAACCATCATTGCCCTCTTATTTGGGGTTTTTTTTGGGCCAGTGTCTGAATAACCCGAAGGCTTCTGAACAGACCTCAGACGACATGAACGCACAGCGGGTCCACTGCGCTGTGTGAAAAGGCTTCTACGGGTAGCGGATACGTGACGATTCCACCTCAGACGCCTCACAGCGAATATCAGAAGCGGGACGTTTCCCTGCTCACTGCCTCCCACAGACAGAGCCGTGCCCTGCTGCATAGACGCATATTTACCATTAATTATTATATTCATACATGGATACATATATAAAGAAGTTATACATTGCAATGAACATACGTATATTGATAGCATATAGAGAGGAAATAGAAATAGTCAATAGATAGCAATCATTATCATCATCATGTTCATCATAATACTAGGAGTAGTAGTAATACGATCCCTCAAAAGAGGCTAATACCCGGGCTGTTCCAGACAAGGGCTCATAATTAACCACCACCCCCGGAAAAACAAAAGCGTCCAGCAGAACTGACCCTAGATCTGGTTTTGAGGTTCGGCAAAGGCCGGTCGGCCTGTCTAGATTCTGATTGGGCATCACGTGTCTTCAAGAGCTGGATAATTAAGACACTGCTGGCTGTGGCGTCAAAACCATTTCTCTATTTATACAGCGACTGCAGACGGAGGGAAGATCACCAGAACACATTCTTTCCACTGTGGTTTGATGCGCTTTTCTGAAGCTAAACATGAATTAACTCTTTTGAATGTTTGGCCCCCGCTGTTCCCCCAGTGCTCTGGTTGAGTGCAACGTCAGTATTTTGGGAATAGAAGCCGTTATTTTTCCGAGCAGAAATCCGTCTGGACAATGAAAACCCAATGACCCAAAAGTTGCAGAGCAGGAACGCTGAAACATTCTGAAGTTACAGTTCAGCTGCTGAACAAAGACAGAAAAGCCTCTCAAGTCGGCGACTTTGTTTCTTCCCTTCTGCCCCCCACAAACCCCATCTGGAACAACCCACACAGAATTACTAAAGGAAAAAGAATCATAAAACAAAAACAAAAAACACTATAGTCATCTAGTTCAGTGATACATGTCAGAGAGAAATACCTCAATAACAAGCAGTTCTTTTATGTAATCAATGCAAGTTTTCTGGTTATATATTTATTAAGCTTAACTGCTAAGTTATCAATTATTATTAGTAATATACCATTATTTGTAAATATGTATAATATGCGTGTATATGTATCTGAATATAGACATATGTCCTTCATGTCTGTCCACGTTAAAGGCCAGAATAAGACGGCAACAGATATCCTGCCTGTGTGTGTGTGTGTGTGTGTGTGTGTGTGTGTGTCTTATAGGCACAACATGTGGTGAGAATGGTTTCCCCGCCTCAGGCTAACAGGTTTTCTAATGCAACTGTTAATATTAGGAGCTACGGATAGCTATTAGGAACATAACAAATGGATGCAGATGAGGAACACTGATCTGAAGGTCGTGGGGGCACAGCAGTTTTTTCCCTGTGGTGTAATGACCTCAGTTCAACCGAAGAAGTGGCAACACACCCTCAAATCATCTTAAATACTTACATACATTCATAATCCTCCATTTCATTTTTCGATCTTGTAATCATGTTACATTTCTATTTAACTATTATAAGCAACTAGAGTCTTCTGCGTGGGTCGGCACGCTCACTATGCGTCGGTCCAAGTGAGGTCATTACCTCTTATGGGGCATCGGCGGTCTGAACTGATCCGACGCTGTTAGGACTGCACGTGTGCTGCAGTCACTCCTCTCTGTCGGCTTAAAGCCGCTCGGTTGCTTCTGCAACGATTACTTTGAGTCGTTGGCCGTGTGTTCATAAGCCTCTGGTGTTGTTGGGTAATTAACACCCACCTCCCCTTTGTGAACCTGGAGCGCGGCTGAGTCCCACTACGTGGTTGTGCGTGTCTGTGCCCGTCCCATGCCGGGAAAGTTACGTAACCAGCTGTGAAGACGCCGTCTTACATCTGCAGCGGAGGGAGGAGGGCTGTCAGGTCACACGCGTTTACTTTGGGGCATCTAAGTATACTTGCATACGTTCCACAACCACAGCAACGTTCTAAATGACTAATTTCCTAGTTTTAACGGCCCATGCACGGCATTACATTCATAGCACTCTACCAATATGGCAGACAATATAACAAGGAAGTGCAACTCGCCTTGGGGAAGAAAAAAATGCCTCAAAATCTGTGATCTCCAGAAAGCTATTTGACCCTCTCGTAAGAGAATCCCACAGAGGAGGAAGAAGAGCGGGATTTGGTTGTTGGGAAGCTGATTTGAGGAGTGTCCACTTGTATTTTTACAATTCTTCATAGTTTCTCTGTTGCTATCGACAACACTGAGGACTTCACGGAGGACTCCAAAGTTCAAATTTCCACTAAACGTACTGCTGAGTTTAATCAGTTTTAAATCATCACCAAGCAAATTATAAGGGCTGCGACCAGCGCGCCCAACCAAGAACTGCAGTGCAGCGAGGCTTTTAACAAAAAAAACTACATAAAAATAAAAGTTGGGCTTGGTGGACACTGACGGTCCAAAGAGCACTAGGAAATATTAGTTTATTCATTTTAGTCAGAGCAAAACTAGTTGTCTGTGGAGGTTCTGCAGTATAATCTGCTGGGGAGGAACCTAAAGGTGCTGCGTGTAACTGAAGCTTCACACTAAAACAAAAGCTTCCCTCACAAAACTGTTTCTTGCCTTTCGGTGCCTGTGATTTGTGTGTCATATGCCTTGTGTGTGTGTGTGTGTGTGTGTGTGTGTGTAGGGGGGGGCTCAACTATTTAGTAGCGGGTCCACCTTCTCTGATCTGGCCGGCTATACTCATAGAAGGTCACCCTGGCTACGACACGGCCGCTTCCCGTCTCTCTCTGTAGCTCAGCGGGCGATCGAGTCAGCACGGCAACTCTCAGAGGACGTCCCCGTCTGACGGCCGCCGGCCTCCCTGAAACGATAACAATCAGCACGGCTCGTCTCTCACGCGAACAAACAATCAGTAGATCCTGTAAAACCGGTGCACACTAATTTGGTTGTGCCTTTTCTGACAATGACTAACTTATATGTACTGTTGTAATGCAAAGCATCTAGATTTTTTTTGTTACCGGATAGAATTCTCAACATATCTATATTAAAAACATAATAAAACTTCAGCAAAGGAAATCAATGAGCCACATGAAGAGGGCCGATATGTGGAGGTTCCCGATGACAATGTCGTAACCTCTCACCATGCTCTCTGCGTAATCGGCTGTTATGGTGACCTGCTTGTCGTCTGGGGAGGAGCTCACGACCGAGCTTTCCGAGCGCCTGCTCTGATTGGTGAGCTGCAGCCACAGCTCGTACATCTGTTGCATGTCTCTCACTGCAGAGGGGGGTGGAGGGGGGAATAGGGAAAGGAGGAATAAGCGGTAACCTTTAACAACAAGTGTCGGGCAGCGGGGGCGGCCATTCAAGACAATTTGGTTGGCGTGATGATCCAATTTAGATAACGTCCTATATTCCACAACACTAAAATGCACTGTTGGACCCAGAAGCTTACGGCTGTTGTTCTTCATGTACGTCCAGACGTCCCTCTCCTCCAGACTGTGGGCGAATGAGCAGTTCCCAATGTAGTGGCACTTCTTCTGCTTCATCACATGCACACACATCTGGATGAGACACAGACAGACGTTTCCGTTAAAGTTCTGCAGACGAGCCCAACAGCATTGCAACAGAGGTTCCTATTATTTTAGTTTGTTCATCCCCCTGAATTGTGAAAATGGCACTTTGCTGTTGTCAATTACAGGCCACTATTGACTGTATGGAAAAACTAATACAGCGCAATTTAACTCAAAAACACACTGGCAGCCAGAGAGGAACAAGACTCGGGGGGGAAAGGAGCTTTACGACATCATACGACAAGGCGGAATCAGCTGTTCTGAACATCGGACCGGCGCAGGGGTGACGTGAAGAGAAAGGACTGCAGAGGTACTCACGTCATACTGCTGTGGATATGTGCGGGAGAAAGGCAGAGGCCGAACAACAACCCACTTCTTCTTCTCGAATGATTTCACCAGCAGAACCCGACGCTCCTTCGTCCAGCTACGGAGACAAAGACCCACACAGAAATTACAAAAAAAACAAAACCACGGTCGCCAACTGGACTACTCAAAATGTACAGTCGATTGAGTCGATGGAGACGGACCTGTGCCGCGCTTTGGCGGTGCAGTACTTGAGGTTCTTGTCGGGCTCGTTGACCTGTCCCTCCCGCCAGCACTGGCCGCACACAAACTTCATTTTCAGGTTGAGGGGGCGCCCTCGTCCCATCCCCACGCCCAGTCCCCCCATTCCCAACCCACCCACCGGGCCCACACCGCCCCCACCCATGCCATCCCCCCCCATTCCCCCGCCTCCCAGTCCCCCCACTCCACCTGCAGACATGCTGCTGCTTGGATGGGAGATATGGGAGGGCTGAAAGAGAAATGAGAAGTTACACGTTAACATTCATGAAGCAGAATAATCACATTTTACTGTATTTTTATGCCAGAAACATGTGGGATTGGGAAAACAAGGTCGTCAGGGCTCATTGGGCTCTACAGGTGATGATGCTCCTGAGGTGACAAGAACTGGCCGGTCGCAATGTGTCTCAGAGGAATGTCCTGTACATACACAGAGAGTTGTACATCTTTAAATTGTATTGGCTGCATGCCTTTACACTGCCTGCGTGTTCCTGCCAGAAACTGTCAAATCTCTGCAGACAGAAACCATTTAACATTAACTAACAAGCGTCTGTAAATATATAAATCTTTTGGTGCAGTGTGAAGAAAGCAAAGACCCCACCTGTAACAGGTCACACCTTCGTGTTTCAATCCCCGTGTGCTTTGTAAAACACACCTGTATTGGCTTCTCAGACCTCACCCTCCGATCTCACAACCAATACACATCCTGGGTCCTTCCTGAGAAGCTTAGCCCACCCGACACCCACCTCCTGTTTAACTCTCATTTCCTGTAACCCTGTATGTATATTTTCAGAAATAATTCTACAGCCTTGTTGTGAACGTCTGTCTCCAAAGAATATGGAATATGCTCTGAACGCAGAATTGGACCCGATAAGAACTTTCATACACCACCCAGGTTTCCCCTCTCACTTTCTGCTGCTTCTGTGCGTTCTGCTCCAGCCTTTGCCAATGCCTCTTGGACTCCTGCACCATCTCTTCGTGGGTGATACCTGACGGAAGAATTGTAATAACTAGATCATAGTTCATAGTGAAATAAAGCAATGCATTTGGCAAGTCACTATCATCAATATGGCAGACCTCTGACATCATTCACGTAATGCAACATCGTGTGGTGGAATACAAAATATATTCCTCGCCACTTCACGATATCCCTTTCAAGGCTGACGTGTGCATTGTACCGACCCGTATCCTGCTGCAGCACCCAGCATTTGAGCTCTATGACGGAGTGGGCGAAGGAGCAGCTGTCCTCGCGCTGGCAGCCGTAGCGAACCTCGTGGCGACACACGTCAAACTGGCAGAGCGGGTGCAGCGGTCGCACCTTACTGTAGCGCACGTTGGCCGACCTCACCACGTGCACCAGGCACCTGCAGCGGACACACCAGAGCAGCCGTGGGGTTTTTTAAGGAGCCAACGGACAAAATGGAAGTACAGTTGTTATTAATCCCCTCGGAGAACACACACTATTATTGAAGCCGTTTTGGGGGTTTTGGGGAGCAAAGACAGAAACCTGCTGTCACTCACTTGTTGTCGTCAAACGGGTGGCGTGCGGTGAGGTTCGAGCAGACCGCCAAGTTCTCTTTGCTGCGCTTGCTGATGATGCGAGGCTTACTGTCAAAACATTCCTGGCGTGAAGAGGAGGGATGTGCGTACAAGTCAGTCTTGGTCAAATACAACAAAGAGGACGAGAGAAACCGGCAGGCCCGTCGGCCTCACCTCACAGAGGAACATGAACATGCCCATGTGGAGCTGCAGCAGTCGGGTGACGCTGAGCGCCCGTCTCTCGGTGCTGCCCAGCGGATCGAACAGCAGCTCTCGGCTCAGCGCGCCCTTCCTCTCCTGCGTCCACACGTCGATCTCCTCCTGGCAGTAGGCGAACGTACAGTTCTCCCCATACTGGCACTCCTGGCGCTCCTGCACCTCTGTGAGGGGAAAACGTGTTTTTGGATTTCTCAAAGTAATTCACCAAATCGTCAACAGCCGTTCCAAGCAGCTTATCACATAATGCATACATACCTTTACAGAGTACAAACGCCCCCAGGAAGTTGTTTCTCGCGGGCCTCGGCCGGATCCGCTTCCATGTTGGGTCATCTGTGTTTTTGAGGCGGCACAGAAGCACATCCCGTTTGCAGCGGTGTGCTGCCTCCGGCTGATACTTATAGTCCATCACTCTTGGTCCTTTGATCCAGAGGGGAGGGGGGGGGGGGGTAAAGATGAGAACGATGTTTCATTTTCATACAGAAAAGAAGGGGGCGGGAGTAAGAGGATCAGCTTGAACCGACCTATTCGGCTGTAACAGGCATGACAGGCCTGCCGAAAGTCGTGCGTGACTGCCAGAGGATTCCTGGAGAGGAGAGAGAGGTTGGTTCCTGCAGCACCGTTCTGAAAAAGAAAAATGGGGAACACAGAAATGTGACGTTAAACACGGAGACCACTTTGCGGCAGGGTTAGAAATGGCGGTCAATCCCAAATGACACCATTAACAGTGCCACGAAGAAGCGGTTTGTCCCACAGGAGGGGACGCAAATGCGTTACTCACTGCATGTGACGCGCTGTGGTTACGCATTCCAGGGATGAAGCTGTGACACATTCGTCCCCCTGAAAAAGACAGACACAAGGCAACCGATGTCAGACACCATGTTGTAATAGTGCTGACTGGACAACTTTTGGGATAACCCAATGGGACCGTGAACCTTCATGGCAAACATGTGCATGCCGTGTGGACATTACTTTGACTTGTCAAGATTTCCGATAAAAGTGCATGAAGTGTCAAAACGTACAACCAACAAATCCTAAAGAAGAGGGGAAACATCCACATCCTGACTCTTTGCTCACCAGGGAGAGTGTACTCAGACAACGAGTCCAGCCCGCCAGCCTTCCCTTCTCCACCCGTGGCCCCTGAGGCAAAGCATCCCAGTGCGTCCTGCGCCTGGGTGGAGCCCTGGTCCCGCTGGCCCAGCGGCGTGCAGGGCTCCACGGGGGTCATTTCACTGACGGTGGAGCTAAAGAAGTTCGGCGCGAGCTGGGGTGTCGGGGCTGGGAGTTTGGGGGAGTATGGCGGCCGGAGCCCCACTGCAGTATTGGGCAGGTTGGTGGGGATAGCACCCTGGACTGGACTCTGTCACAGGAGACAGAGACAAGCATTACGTTATGATCCCATTCACCTCTCCTTTCAACAACCTTTTTTTTTAATATTATTTTTTAAAAGAGGCATTTCTAAAATTTGATCAAACAAATTCATCAAATCCGTAAAACACATGTGAAAAATAAAAAAAGGAATAGAAATTCTGTCCCTACAGTGGAGTATGACGACTGGTAGATCTCTTCGCTCATCTGTCCTTGGTTCACCTCACTGACTTTCTTGGGGTTGCAATCCAGCAGGCCGCCCAGCTCGTCCTTGCTGCATTCATCCATGTGCTCGGACACGGGGACGGAGTACGGCATGGGCGGCAGGCCTTGACTGCTGGGGCTCTCCGACAGGTCGGTGCACGGGGTCACCACAGGGGTCGCCGGGTCGTCGCTGACTGGGATGGGCGTTGCCAACGGAGCAGGGATGCACTGCGCGTTAGACAGGTCCGCTGAGGAGGTGTTGAGAACAGGGACGTGGTGAACGGGTGGGAGTGCGGGTAGAAGCGGACGTGTTCACGGCCTGCAAGCGGGTCATACCTGGTCCCATGTCACCCAGAGACTCCAGCCCATTGGAGGACATCGAGGACATCTGAGAAACAGAGTCACAGATGTGGTTAGTCTCTCGTTCGGTTTCCAAGTAAGTAACTCTAGACTGCGGCAACAGCCCCCACCTCCCCTGTGGGTGGGGAAGACTCCCCGTGACTCTCCCCTTCTGTGGCTGTGGACTCTGTTTGAGGGCTGACGTAAGCCTTGCGGCCCTTCAGGCCCAGTTTACTGGCCAGGTCCTGAGCCAGGTCGTTCACCTGCCTGTCCTGGAAGAGGAATCACAAAAGAGAATAGGTTTCATTCACTTTAAGGTAGATAAATGTAATCTACAAAGTCACAAGTCATGAGTGAATATTTATTCTGCATTAACTTGAGTGCTTATCATCATTTCAGCAACTCGTTTTCTGAAAAAAACTTGACCCTTTAAAATGATTGTAGGAAAAAAACAATTTGCATTAATATTTCATCGCCGAGGACGTACGTGCGGTGCAGTGAGCAGACATTTAGTTCCACACTCGTAGGCCTCCCGGATTCGTCCCAACTCCCTCAGACAGATCGCTTTGCGGTACAAAGCCCTGCGACTGCCTTCTGACACACACAGTGCACTTTCACAGTCCTGGACGCCGCGCTCGTACTCCCTCTGAGGCCCACGGGACAAAGACACAGTGAGCACTGGAATTTAAGAGCCGTTTTACGTAGAACATTTAGAGACTTCCGCAAGAGTTAAAAACCTTCCTTCAAGATTAAATCTGGTTATTACAAAAGAATCCCATACTGTAAAATGACATTTTTATAATAGCCATGAAGGCGGCCACATTTACAGACGCATAACCTGGATTTGAAATCCTGGCATTATGCGGATCAAAACGTAGAGATACCGTTACACGCGTGACACAAACTAACATTCCCTCGGTCTTCTCCCTCACCGTCTGGTAGCAGGCAGCAGCCCTGTTGACGTACAGGCTCTCCAGCAGCTCGTGAGGGATGACGAGGGCCTCGGCCTGAGCATAGCGGGCCACGCTGATCCCCTCTCCATACTGCTGGCTCGCTTGGCGACAGTCCCCATCTCGAAAGCAGGAGTTGCCCTCGTCCAGCAGGTTGCATACCAACTGGATCACAAATGGCTGAATGGGAGTTGTAGAGAAAGGACAAAGACGGATCATAATGAGGAGCGTGAGAGAAGGGGGACATAATTGTGACGGTCAGAGGGACACGCGGAGAGGAAAAATTGGGAGACAAGTAAATCAAAACGGGGAGAAACACCATCACAACGTCTGAGCTCGAAATCCATGAGCACCTGTGAGCTCACTGGACCAAAAGTGAAAAGGATGAATGCAAACCTCATAGCTCTCTGGCTCCGGGAACGGCAACGATGACCTGTGGGCAGAGGGCAAGAGAGGGCTGTCATTGCTGCCCACGGGGTGTGAATCAGGATTCCACTCATTAGCGTCCTATAGAGGCCCCAAAAAGGCAGGTTCACTTGTGTACTTACTGGATAAAGCTCATGGCTTTCTGGATTTCCTCTCTGCGTTTCTGACGATCGGGATCCATAGCCTGAGGGTTATGACAAGGTTGACTTGCAGCCGTTTTAAACTCATTAACAGCTTTGACAGACAACAACAGGCTCAATACATTCACAGCTGATTGAATCCACAAAAGGTTGAAACACCTGTAAACTACTCGCCCGAGATGAGCCGAGGCCTGCGACTAAAACACGCTCAGCAACCACCGGACTGAGCTGCTGATCGATGGCATTTTAGGAACCAGTTGAGGACACAGTCGGTCAGGATCACACGTATTAAAACGTTGGCCGTGTTTGAGGTGGGACGTCTGCGAATAAGCTGTAGCGGTCGCCCGTTAGCCAGTGGCGTTAGCCTGCGGTAGCGTGGGACATGCAGGCGTTTCGGTCGTCAACTCTAAAAAAAAAAACGGTTAACCGACTGCGCCGAACGCGAAATAACGTTACATGTCTTACGTCGGCTTGTTTGCCGATGACGTCACTGTGGGTACCGTTAACGCCGTGGTGGGTTCGTCGCCGGGCAGCGAGGATTAGCGAGCTAATGCTAACTCGCCGTTGACGCTTTTTTTTTTTTTTACTCTGACAACATGCTAATCACTGCAGCTTAGCTTAGCCAAAGGGAGGAGGGCAACAAACAGTCATTCAATGATTGTCGTGTTTCAGAAGACACCGGCGTTGTTTGGGTATAATTGTTGTTGAGCTTGTATGTGTGTCTACGCTGCTTTCTTTACACCAGTGTTGGCCGGCTACCTGTTAGTTGGCTAACTTAATGTACCAACGGAGCCCTCGCGACGACTCACCGCGGATCAAGTTACGTCGCTCTTCAGATCAGCGGTTTCTTCACCGAGACGCGGCGATAAAGTCGAGAACACCACGCCGAATATCAGGCAATGTCCCGGCGCATATCTGTCCACGCGGTGTCCCTGTCATCGGGATGTGGACGGAGCACGAGATTCTCTGCGCTACGACTGCTGCTGGACACGGAGTCGCTGTTTGCTAACGCTAACTAGCCAGCTAGCTGTTTCTGCGAGTGCGGCACTGCAACAAGTCCCCGGGAGAAGTGCGGCCACGAGGGGGCAGCAGGAGCTGCGCCGCCGGCCCGCTGCTGCTTAGTAGTGGAATGCGGTTCGATCAGGGCGGAAATAACTACTGCGATTACCCTGCATTCACGCGTTGCTCCAATAAAAATGTTATAGAAATATAACGTTAATATACTGTTCTTTGTATATCTACCGCAATACGTAACATTGCGTGCAATTATTTTTGTTAAGATACATCTCCATTTGCAGCAGTTCAGTTCAGTATTTAATGTATGAATGACTGGAGTAATTGAGGTTTTGAGCATGTGGTTCTCCCACAGAGGGAGGAAGCACGCCGGCGAGTCCTCTTCTGCGGCCCCGTTCCTCGCTGTCAACGTCAGTGTGGATAGGGGTCTGGTCTACGAGTTCTGACACGTGGGGGTCACCAGCCCTCGTATCCGGTTAACCTTTACCCTGGCTCGCCTTTGACCTCTTGAGCTTCTTCCATAACGTTTTCCCTGTGAGGAATCCAAATAAGCTAGTGTCGCTTTCGATAGTGACCCAAACCTTAGCAGAGGAGTTCGTAGCTCCTCACGCAGCTTTTACTGAGGCTGGTTGAGAGGTAACAATGTGAGGGCCCCAACCTGTGCCAACTGTCCTCTTCTCTCCTCTTCTTTACTTTTGTAATGTGGACTATGTCTTCGTGGTAATTTTCAGTGAAATGAATTGCGTTGAAGGACACATTTCTATATATTTATGTAGGCTCTCGTGCTACATTATTCTAAACTTTATATTTGACTTAAGAGTAAAGTAGTGTAATTATAAACTTATTATTTTACTAAATGTAAAAACAAATTTAATTAATTAAACTCACACTTAAATTGATAATACATTACAATTGACAATGTCACAGTAAAATGGCATATTACATATTAATGATGTTGTTCGTTGGAGTGCAGGTACATGAATCAAAGGTAGTTCGGGGTTGTACCAGCAGGTGGCGGTAAAACGGGGTAGATCACTTCTAACTGACGTAACCAGAAGCAACGAAGAAGGAACCCGGGCGCATGACGTCACGTGGTTGAGCAACCGGCGCGCGGCACGGAAGAGCGGCGTGTGTTCGCCATCGTTTCCTTAAGAAGAACACCAACTTCTCTCCGCGGTAAGGGTTCGCGCTTCTCTGCGAGGTGAACGACCGCTGAAAACACCGGCAGAGACGCGAGGACGCGGCTCATGACCTCCGGACTCACAGCCGCTTCAGTTTCGGTTCAAACTTTGTCTCATGTTGCGTAGTTCCTCCGTGTAGCACCGACGAGGCTAAACGGCTAACCGGACCACGAGCGCCGTTGTTGTTGTGGTCCGCTGTTGTTGTTGTTGTGTTCTCTACATAACATAGTTATCCACGGTGATATAATACACCACTTCTACTCCTGCTGCAGGAATAAGCAGATAAAGCTACAACGATCGGCTCTTTCCTTCTATTGTCTGACTCCCTGATGTTCCCTCAGAGTCGCCATGGCCTCGGATGACATTGCTCGGCTGGCTGACGCGCTTTCCAAGACCCACGTCGGAGATGGAGAGCTGAGCTATAAGGGCTTGGGCCTGAAGCTCGACGACGCGGAATCCGGTGAGAGTCTCTTGCTTCTTCCTTTTGATTTTGAGTGTATCTTCTTAAGATGATGGTGGCGGTCTCCTCCTCAGATCTGACCCCCCCCCCCCCCTGGTGTGTTTTCTGCTTTCAGTGGAGGAGCTGGTGCGTGAGATAGAGCACTACACGGGCCTGAGAGCTCTGCGCCTGGAGGGGAACACGGTGGGAGTGGACGCGGCCCGGGCCATCGCCAAGGCTCTGCAGAGCAAAGACCTGCTGCAGGTACTCGGCCCCCGTAGACAGGAAGACTCCCTTTGCTGCTTTGCTTTCTTCTAACCGCTCGTTGTGTCTTTCAGAGATGCTACTGGAGTGACATGTTCACCGGGAGGTTGCGCTCGGAGATCCCAACGGCCCTGGTGAGAAATTCAGAGGCTGGTTTGTTCAGTCAGGGTTTTCTGGATTGGAGTTGTTATGCAGTGTTATTGTTGTTACACTTCTTCAGTCGCCCCTCTGAGAAACATCTCACACGTCGTCTTTCTGTGCCTTCGTCAGAGGTCTCTGGGCGGTGCCTTAATGAGTGCAGGGGCCAGGCTGACCGAGTTGGACCTGAGCGACAACGCCTTCGGGCCAGATGGTGTGAAGGGAATCGAGCAGCTGCTCAAGAGCCCTTCCTGCCACAATTTGCAGGAGCTGAGGCTAAACAATTGTGGGATGGGGATCGGCGGAGGAAAGGTAGGTTTGTTTTGACTGAGCGGGTAAATCACTGATCCCCCCTCCAAGAAGCTTATTTTCAAATGGTACTTTTAACCTCTCCCTTAAGAAACTAACGTTAAAGTAGGAGGTTGTCTATATTCACAATGAACCACTTTTTGACATGTCTGCGTCACGGTGCTGTGTTTCTCTCTGTAGATCCTGGCTGAAGCTCTGATTGAGGGCCACAGACAGTCGTCAGAGCACGGAGCTCCACTCAAACTGCGAGTGTTCGTCGCAGGGAGGAACCGCCTGGAAAACGAAGGCGCCCGCGCCCTGGCTAGGGCCTTTCAGGTTGAAAAACAAACGCACCTAAAAATGTCATTGTTTGGGGAAAACATGAACAACTATTTGACAATCATTTCATTGTTTTACGAATATTGATTAATCACGCTAAATTGCCGAGCATTTCATGTTCAAGAGGATTTACTTTTTTTCTGCCTGTTGTATGTTGCTGTGTATTTAAAATCGTACCCTCCTTTTTTTTCTTTCTATGTAAGCTGATAGGCAGCCTGGAAGAAGTCCACATGCCCCAGAATGGGATCAACCACGCAGGTGTGATGGCGCTGGCTTCGGCCATGCGCCACAACCCGGAGCTCCGCGTCCTCAACTTCAACGACAACACCTTCACCAAGAGAGGAACGCTGGCCATGGCGCAGGTAAGGCCTGTTCTCACATCCTCCACGAGTGCAGAAGATCTGTAGCCATTCGTTTGGGTCAAACGGCTTTTTCCCCCGTTGGCCGTGCAGGCTCTGAGGCATCTGAGGAATGTACAGGTGATCAACTTTGGAGACTGTCTGGTGCGCTCCGAAGGAGCCATCGCCCTCGCCGCCGTCCTCCGAGAGGGACTGCCGATCCTCAAGGTGCGCTCACATTGCAGTGCAGCCTTTGTCTTGGTCTGCCTTGGTCTCCAAGCTGATTACAGTGCTGTGTGGGGTTCCTTGTCTTCAGGAGCTCAATCTGTCCTTTGGCGAGATCACAGAGGCGGCAGCTTTGGTGGTTGCTCAGGCCGTCATGGACAAATCCGACATGGAGAAAGTGGATTTGAACGGTAGGCTGACTGGATCGGTCTGTGTAGCAGTTACGTGACAGATTCTGATGGCCGTCAAAATCCTGGAAACGCTGTGGAATTAGTTTCCAAATTCCATGTAGAAGTTCTGTAGGATTTCAGTTAAACCAAGATGTTGTTGTTGTTTCTAAGTTTACTTACTCTTGTATGCAACTCTTCCAGGTAACAGTTTGGGGGAGGAGGGCTGTGAAGCTTTGAGGGAAGCTATGGAAAACATGGACAAAGGAGGCATGCTGGCATCACTCAGGTAACCTGCGCACACACACACACACGTTGAGGGATCCAGGGACTCTTTCCAAAACGGTTGTCCAGTTCCTTCAGCGCCACAACTTATCACTGATCAGCTCGTTAATTGGAGCAAATCTTATCTTGACCTCACTGCAGTGATGATGAGGGAGAACCTGATGACGAGGATGAAGAAGATGATGACGATGCCAGCGATGCAAGTGACAACTGTGATGAAGACAACGGTGAAATTGTGAAGGAAAATGGAACAACGAGAGAAGGCGACAGTCCGGCAAAACCTCAGAGCCCGGTAAGGCAGCACGAAACAAACGCTCCTTTTATTCATATTATTCATTTCCAAACAAATGAAGGTGTGTTGCATTTCTAAACGTTCCCCCCCCCTCCCCCCAGGCTGAGATCACGTCCTTCCTCAGCTGCCCCTCTGCTGAGAGGCTCCTTCAGCTGGGAGAGATGAGGACGAGCCTGCAACAACAGGTAGGAATCTAAGTGAGCATGGAGCGTCCCACCAGACTATCTGACTATCTGGTTTAATGCAACGGTTCGGTAAACAGAACTCTTCCCCCCCCCACAGGTGGATGCATCTGACCCACACAACGCCGCCGATGTGCTGCTGAAAATCGCCGCTCTGTACAGTGAAGAACCGGAGACCAAGACGGCTGTCCTTGAAACCATTGGTAACTTGTCATGAAGTGTTCCCACTCGTGGTGGAAGCAGCGTCGTTGGGGGATCTCGCCCTTCTCCGTACCTGTGGCGTCTCACTAAATGACCTTCAGCGATGTGTCCCACAGATGCCGTGTTGAAGAAGCTCCTCTGCGGCTCAGCTTTCCAGTCCTACTGCTTCCTCTCCTCGCTGCTGGTCAAAATGGGACTTCTTAAGGTCCGCTCAGAACGCAAGGGCGATGGGGATGGGTTTGTTTAATGGGAAAGACTTGGGTCTATTGAAAACATTGAACTCAGATTTAGTCTTTTTCTGTGTTTCAGGGGGAGGGGAGGGTGAAGAAGGCGTCGCTGGTCCCAGGTCAGCTGTTGTGTTTGGAGCACGCGATTCAGCAGGAATACTTCACTGGGCACCACGCCTCGCTGCTTCACACCTTCATGTCGAAGTAGGATCATCGTTATGCACACAGTTACCGTTTAACAGTCAAATGTGAATGTGAAGCTCAATAGTAGTATAGAACAGTTTGTAACACGTTTAACACGCTTGTCTTTGTGAATGGGCAGGAACGGTGGAGCTCTGGAGTCCTGCAGCAGCGCTAGTGAGAGGCTGAGCTCCACACTGGAGAAGTGCCTCAACCAACACTGATAACCTGCGACACGCACACACACACACACACACACACACGTAGCGGCTTTTTTTTTTTTTTTTTTTTTTTTAACTAACAAAACCAACAGGGAATCTTTACACTTGAAGAAGGGACTCAGACAGCCACTTAATGTACAGTATCTCCACTCATTTGTATATTTTGATGAAGGCAAAAACTGCAGAATGTCTTAGTTTATATTTTTGTTACTTATGCTTGTGACTTATATTTTTATAGAAAATAAAGGGAGCCAACAAATGGAAAGCTGGCCCCTTTTTAAACATTTCACTGTTAACAAAACATCCATTTTAGACGAGGCCCCCACGTAGCTGAGTGTCCAAACGCACTGTTGCGGAGTAGTAAGGTGGAAGTGGAAAGGAAAACATTCACGTGAATCAAAAGGATTTTTTAGTAATCCAAATAAATTAAAGAAAAGTAAAGGGCCGACTTTATTGTTCCTTTCCACTGGCGGGATGCTTTCCATGCTGTTTCCATGCAGCGCCTCTTCAAGCGTTGCTCCTCGGGTCCTGCAGAGCGCCGCTGCGTGCATCAGACTGAGCAGGAGTGGCTGCAGGCGGGACCACTGGACGCCGCATGCAGCGCTCGGACCAGAACCACTTGTACATCTTTCTTTAAAAAAAAAAAAAAAAGGTTTTATCCATAAATCTGTCTAAATGAAAAGCGTGCTCTTATACATTGGGCTTGATGAAGTGCAGCTGCTGGTTGTACCTGTATGCAGTTAGCGGTGATGCGGCGTGTTTGAGGGAAGGAGACGCTTTCATGGATGACGTCAGACTGCACTGCATTCACATTGTGAGGAGAATTCCCGTTTGCCTGATATGTTGGTATGGTACACTGAAAGACTTAAATAATAAATAAAATAATCAAACAAGCGCTGACTCTTTATCTTTGTGTGGGAGGGGGAGTTCTGAATAAATAGCTTTTCTCTTTTTTAGCCGGATTATTCCTTTCACAGGCTCAGCAGATTGGTGTGGAGGTAAAAGGTGTGTGCGTGTGTGTCAGAGGGGAGGAGTGCGAGGGGATGAACGGCTCTGGGTGGGGGAGAGCCGCAGAGACCGTGAGAGAGTCAGCGGCCAGTAGTCGACTAACAGCTGGACGGAACCACGACGGCGCGCGGTGAGTGCGAGTCCTCATCGAATTTGGGGAAGACTTCTACACATAGAAAACACGATCAATAGAAAGTTCCTTAGCAAATTGAAAATTATCCAACGTCTGTCTTTTACTTTTTGCACTTTTATCCTAAAAGTAATTTAAAATGACTGAACTAAACCACCAGTACGCACAGATATCAACAATATCTGTAATTTGTGACAGGAAAAATAAAAGCATTCGGAGGCGATGGAGAGCAGTTCCATGCTCACCGTTCCGGGACGCATGCAGGGCCTTTTTTTTTTCTCCAAGGGGAAACTCATCTTGGCGCAACACCGTCTGCGAAATACACTGTGCGTCTTTGTGCGCAGCGCCCGGAGCGCCTCCGCGCTGTTGATCCCCGGGGGGACGCGGACAAACACAGACAAAGTTCGACCGGAGAAAATTCCTCCGTCTCTAGTTTCTTGGCCCCTCTCTGCTATGCGGGGGTCTCATGAACAAAGCGCGGTATGCTGCTAAAATACTGCATAAAGGCAGTCAGCTGGAGTCCATACGTCCAAGTTCCGTGGACTTTAAATGTAGATTGGAAACATGACATATAAGCTTATCCGTGAGTAACACCGTCCTCTCCATCAGCTCCATCTCTGACGGGATGTGGCGCAGAGGTTTTGACGGAAAGGTTTCAGCATGGCACCGTTTCACCGTGCCAACATTTTCAGAACCCCAATCTCTGAGTGTGGAGCTTTTCATGTCCAATCCTGCGGATCCAGACTGTTGATCCAACATGGGAATGTGGTTTTAAGGCATTCCAGTGAGGACTGGGGCAGCCGAATCTGAGCAAAATAAATCCATCCCCCAGTACAGAATGATGGAGATATTATTCATTAAGTTGATCTTTTTTTAATGGACATTTAGAAGAATGGGACACAAGCCTTTCTCATATGGAGATTCAGATTATTAGAGAGTATTCAGTGTATCCTGTTGTGGCCTGCGGTTGTTTCTTTACGTTTATGGGTACAAGGTCTTCCTGTTGTAAAAGTACCAAAAAATACTCAATAACGCGTTCCAGATTCTACTACTAGTGTAATCAGCTACTGCAGTATAAACTGGAAATTATCATCAAGTACTTCAAAATTATAGTTAACCTACTTGAGCAAATGTACATGGTTTGTTTCCATGCAAAACAATCTGAGCCAGAGAAAGTCTGTAGTCCTCGAACACCCATCAACTAATAGACTATAGCTGCGTTAAATCGTTTATTAGACAGGCCAGCAGGTTATCGGAAGATCATCAGGGAAGTTGTAAACGGACATTTGATGAAACTGTTGATGCAGGCTCACAGAAGATCAAAGTTCAGCACTGTGCAGAGATACAGTGAATTATGTTGATCACTGTTTCCTCTACACACACAGCAATGGCCAAATAAGTGAAATGAGAGTAAATGAATGCATGGTAGAGTGGTGGATCTTTTAGGGTAACTCATATCTAAAAAGTCAGAACAGCAGCCAGTCGTGGTCTCTTCGGGGTGAAAATGAAAAAAATGAAAAACCGTGCATGTCGCTGAATAAGAGGAGCCTCCTTAAGGTGACTGAATTAACGCTGTTATTCCCCCAGATGTTCTCTCAGCTCCGTCCCGGCACCCTCTGGGTCCTGCTGCTCCTCTGCATCCCTGCGGCACTCGCGTCAAAATGTCCACAGCAGTGTGTCTGTGACCAGATCCAGCTCACTGTGACCTGCGTCAACAGGAACCTGACCCAAGTTCCTCCTGCGGTTGACGAGGTCTCTTGCTCACACAGGTTTCTACAGCGTGTTTTTATTATCTGGCTCCATCCAACGAGGGATCTCCTATCTTCTTCTTTTGCAGATCACAGTGAAGTTAGATCTCCGAGGCAACGACATCCAGGAGCTTCCCACCGGGGCCTTCAAACACACTCCCTATCTGACTCACCTGTCGCTGCAGCGCTGTAACATCCGCAGGGTGAAGGAGGGCGCCTTCCGAGGACTCGGCCGCCTGGTCTTCCTCAACCTGGCCAACAACAACGTTGACATCCTCTACCAGGTCCCACAGCCGTCGTCCCACCACGTCCCACCACAGGCACAAGCCTTTTCATGTTCATGTTGACCTTCTGGTCTTCCTTTGTGCTACGCGAACCCAGGAGTCATTCGACGGCCTCTCCTCGCTGAAGCAGCTCATGATCGACCGAAACCGCGTGGAGGAGATCCAGCCCGGGGCTTTCTCTCAGCTCGGCTTCCTCAACCTCCTCTCGCTCACGCACAACCATCTCGTCTACATCCCCAACATGGCCTTCCAGGTAGCAAGATACCTCGATGTGCAGATACGTCCTCCGTTGTTGGAGTGTCTATTTAAAAAGCCGATCTTTTCTCCCTCCAGGGTTTGCAGAACATCAAATGGCTTCGTCTCAGCCACAACTCTCTGAACTACCTGGACACGGAGGCCTTCGCCGGACTGTTGACGCTCACGCGTCTCAGCCTGGACCACAACGGGCTGCAGTTCTTTCCCACAGAGACCATGACTAGGTAGGCTGAGCTACACAGAACAGACCTTTGAGGACAGTTAATCTCTAATAAGAAATGCTAAAGTTAATATCACAGTTGTTTGGCTTCATGTTGGTAAAATAGATCCGATTTGTATAATATATTAACATTCAAATGGAATAACAAAACTGAGATTTCCTTCCTAATTTTCCACACCTGTCCACCACGCTACCCAGACTGCCAGAGTTGACTCGCCTCGAGATGAGCTACAACCCAATGGCCTACCTGGGAGAGGAGGTTGTGTCCATGGCCAAACTGACCCACCTCCTCCTGGACCACATGTCCCTGCAGGACATGTCCAGCACAGCTGTGAAAAAATCCCCCAGCCTGATCCACCTGGACATCAGCTACAACCAGCTGCGTGTCGTCCAGCCCTTCTTTGAAAGTTCCCCCAAGCTGGCACGCCTCAACCTTGCTGGGAACCCCATCTACTGCAACTGCTACCTACGTCCGCTCAGGTACAGGATTTCAAACTGACGGCTGACCGACAAGGTCTCAGACGCTTTAACTGCGTCAAGCCAAAAGGTCCTCTGTGTTTCCTCACCTCACTTACAGGGAGTGGTCGATCCGGAGCAAGGTCAAGCTCTTGGGGACGTGTGGAGGACCGGCCCATCTGTCAGGAGAGAACCTGCAAGCCGTGTACCCTGCAGAGCTGCGTTGTCAGAGCCAGGAGGCCATGTTGAAGGCCGAGTTAGAGGAGTCAGCCAGGATGACCCCGCCGCCCACCCTAAAGCCCGAGGACAAGGTCAAGTGTCCTGCAAACTGCGTGTGCGAGGTGAGCTTTGTGATGTGCTTCTGTATGGAGTAATTTCCAGCTAACTCGGAGTAGCTGGTACTCGGAGAGGAGCAGAGGTAGAACATGCAAACTCCACAAAGAAAGGTCGCTTTCAAACCCACGACCTCTCTCGCTCTACTTATTTCCTGATTTTACTCTTGATAGGAAAGAGTTCTGTGAGCACATTTTTTGAAATGACAACCGTTGCTTTTAAATCACTAAAATATCTTCTTTTGAACACACTGGTGGAAATATTAAAAACAATGCCCTCCTTCTCTTCAGGCCGACACACACCACTCTTCGTGTGAGAACCGCGCTCATACCAAGGTTCCTCGGGGTTTCTCCCCCGACACGCGTCTCCTGGACCTGCGTGGCAACAACTTCCACTATATCCCTAGCAACAGCTTTCCCGGTGTTGCCCACGTCGTTTCCTTGCATCTGCAGCGCTGCAAGATCACGGAGGTGGAGGGCGGAGCTTTCAGTGGAATGAAGGGACTGATCTACCTGTACCTGTCGGAGAATGACCTCACTTCCCTCAGTCCCGATGTCTTCAAAGGTTTTTTAAAAATGCCAAATTAGTAGATAACGCTTTTGCAGCCTTATTCTGATTCACCCCTTAATACTTTCTATCATCCAACTTTGCAGGCCTCCCTCAGCTGACATACCTCCACCTGGAGAAGAACCGCTTCACCGGTTTCCCCAAAGGAGCATTCAAACTGGTTCCTAGCCTGCTGGCGCTTCGCCTGGAGAACAACTCCATCGCCAAGCTGGAGCCGGACATCTTGACTGGAGCTGAGGGCCTCAGAGCCCTGTACCTCACCGGGAACGTCATCGATCATGTGTCGCCTGGGGCCCTGGACCAGGCTGGGGACCTTGATGCGCTCCACCTGGGAGCAAACCGGCTGAGTGAGGTGCCCACGGAAGCGCTGAGCAAGGCGGGAAACCTCAGAGACCTGAGGCTGTCGGGGAATCCAATTCGCTGGGTGGGGCCGAATGCTTTTCGACCCCTCGGGGGGGTCGCTGAAGGAGCTGTATCTGGATAACATGGGACTGGAGAAGGCGAGTGGGCCCAATGGCGTGCCGCCACAACAGCGGCCGTTCTCTTTTTTTTTGGTTCCCTCTAACCTGCACATTTACTCCAGCTTCAGAAGTAATTCAACAACTGTCTGACCCGGTCTCTCGTACTCCAGATGTCACAGACTTCCCTGGCAGGTCTGGGTCCAGGGTTGAGGAGTCTCTTTCTGGAGGGCAACCAGCTGGAGGAGGTGCCTAACCTTCACCCTCTCACTTTTTTGGAGGTCATCAACCTGGCCGATAACCCCCTGATGTGTGACTGCCCTCTGCTGCCACTGCGCATGTAAGAGCATTGAAACAGAATGAGTGCCATCAGAAGTGACTTGCATTCAGACAGGAGTTAATAAAACCTGCACATTTTATTGGGGATGATTACTTGCACTTATTTTATTAGTCTAATCCCAAAGTATGGTCATATTTCATCTTCTAGTACCACTAGTTTATATGGATTATGTTTTGTTTGGTCATGTTTAATATTTTATTTCATCTAGGTGGATTGAAAAAGTCAACCTGAAGGTACGAGCCACTTGTGCCAATCCCCCCGAGCTGCGTGGTCGCAAGGTCAAGGACGTCCACGTCTTCAGGGCTTGTCCCGGGGGCGAGAGCCTCCCCGCCCCCCCTACTGTCACCCCAAAGCCCGCCAAGGCCCCCGGGGCAACCAAACCCAAACCAATGCACCGCAAGAGCCTTCGGCAGGTCAAAATGCTCAAAGCCAAAGCTCGCAAAAATTTGAACACAAAACCGCCGGGAGCCAAGAAACCGACGGAGAGACGCAGCGCGGCCTAAACGTGAAACATGCTCTGGGTCCCTCTCTCTGAAACTGGGACCTGAGGCGGTTTCACCTCCTGACAACCTTTTCCTTCTGCAAGTTACTATTTATTTTTTGCAGCCCAATATTTCTAATCAATATTGATGTTGTGATGTGAATTGACATTTTTTCAACACATTAGTCATTTAATTGAATCAAAGGAACCATTTGACCAACATTACCAGTTCAGCCAGCTTGTTGGGAGTTTCCTTAGCTTTAGTAAGTTACAGCAAAAGGATGCAGCCTGGCTTTATGTCAGTTATACTACAACACAACTGCAGAATGTACCGGTTTAGATACCTTGACAACATTCAAAACAGTAAGTTGAAGAACAATGATTTCTAATTAGCAAACATCTGGATATATAACAGGAAAACAATAAAACATTCCAACAAAAATGTGTCTCCTATGGCCCCAGAATACATTTCCAAAGGTTTGATGTAGCGGAGCTTTTTAAAGTGGAGAAACCAACGTGGTTCCATAGCTGTGCCTGGTGAACTACATGCAGCCATCATTTTAAAGATACACTCAGAATGTAAAGTTAGGACCCTCAACATTTTCCTAAACTTAAAGCCTCTAATACTATTTATGGAGGGTGTATTTTCATTAATGGATCGACTGTGTGGAATTACTTCCCTACATAGTACTTTTCATTGCTACTGGCATGGTGTGCCACTCTTTCTCTGGATTCAAACAGCCTATTTAATGCAGGCCAGTCACAGGAAGCCAGTTCATTTCATCCATGCAACTGTAATTTACTCCATCACAGTAAGCCCAACCTCTCCATTCATCCAGTTGTTCACTCTGCTCTTTAAGCAGACGCAGTCTTCTCACGTCTCCATCCCTACAGCCTCTCCTGTCGTTTCCAGCTCGGTGTTGCTCTCTGAAGTTTCATCCATGTCCCGGTCTTCTCCTGTGCTCCGCTCCATGTTGCATTCGCCACTAAAGCCCTCTTCAGAAGATGCACGCTCTTCCCTTCTTTCTAGTGTCGGTTCACTTGGCCTCCTCTTCGCATGTGCTACTTTGTCCCTGCTGCTCTGGCCTGGTGACTGATGGCGTCCTGACTTGCTCTGCTCCCCTCCCGCCTCCTGTTTGATTTCTCCCAGAGGGGCTTGTCGAGGAACATCCGGAGGTTCAATGGGGTTCTCCATCTCCACCTCCACCTCCTCCACTTTGACCTGCACTGCAAAGACTACAGAGACCAAATTGTGTCACTAAATTACAAAAACTGTCGCGCAGAAATGAGAAAAGCGAGCAAGTCATGTTGTACGAGTCCGTCCACTTACTTTCCAGTTCCTCTGGCTCGGCCTTGGGCTGGATGAGGGGAACCTCTGAAGGAAGAACGTGGCCTTCTACAGCAGGAGAACCGTGGGTACCACTGACCTCAGGCTCCTGACCAACATCATCTGGAACCTGCTCCTGAGAAAGTCTCTTCCTTGCATTTTTCCTCCCTATAGAACAAAATGAGAAATGTAAGAATACTAAATGATAAACTGTTATCTCTGGTAAGACAAAAGGAATCCATATGCATTTCAAAGTCAAAACTTACTCCTTTTCCCATACGGAGGGGGCTTCGGTTTCTTGTTCGGTGCCACCTGGTTTTCCGAATCAACTGGAAATCAGAATAAAAATCCCTGTGACTTGTATACAGGCTCGAAATCCTCCCACAGCGCTAACCAGTAGTAACAGTAGTACACTATGAGTTAGAGGGCGAAACTGGAGCATTCTGCTCCGCTCACAATAAACCGGCTCAGAAGGGGGGTGTTTTAAAATTGAATGGCGCTTTTACCGAGTCCTGGAGGAGGCTGGAGCTGGTAGCGCATGAGTTCGCACCAGCCGGCGGGGTAGATGTCGGAGGACAGGTGGTCGATCCACTGGTCAAACTCATCCTCCCAGCCGTCGAAGTGGACGAGCAGCAGGCGGCCCACGCAGCGCTTCACCGTGGCCACACACACCAGGCGCGGCTCCATCAAGTCCACCGCTTCCAGCTTCATGTTGGGGGAGAAGCCGTGGCCCGGGTAGTCCTGAAGAGATTGACAAACTCCAGGTTGAAATGCTGTTTTTGTATCAAATACAGAGTTTTGACAAAACAAAACGCTAAAACAGAGATTGCAAATGTCGCGCAGGGTTTGGACTTCCTGTCTTACGGTGTTAAACAGTCGCGCCGGTGCAGCTTGAGCTTCGGTCTCCTTCAGGTATTTGTCCCAGGTGAAGGTCTGAGAGTTATAGCCTGCCAAGACAGAGACGCCAGCACAGATCTTCATTAGCAGCGTACTGCTGGAGCGTTTCCCGTGTGCCTAAATAAACACCGGCAAAAAGTGCGAGCGGACGCAGACAACTCAATTAGAAGGCAATGTTCACATGTACCTTGAGGTACCGTGAGAGGGATGTTGTTCTTTTTACAGAAGTCTACAGGAAAGATGGCATGAGATGAGGCGTGGTAGCAAAACCAATCAGAGCCGTTTGATGGGTTGCCATCGATCCCCACCATCAGGTAGCCGTCCAACAGAACCTGGGGGGAAAAGAGCCAATAACACAAGAGTGAATGCGTTTAGGAAGATGTCATATGATCAATACTCACCTAAGTGATTATTCAGTCTGGTCGGGCTGATTAGGAGTAGCCAACGTGTGATGTCTCACCTGTTGTACAGTGGCCACACAGATGCTTCCCAGGTTAAGAGGATCGATCGCCTCCAGCTTCATTCCTTGCTCAAAGAAACCTCCTTCCATGTAAACAAACCTGGGCTGCGGATTACACAGGGGTTGTAAAGTGCTGTTCTAATGACATGTAGAGCATGACTTTCCAACAATGGCAGTTGTTAAGGCAATCCCTTATCTTAAATGCCATATCACTCATCTCTCTTTCTACAATCATCAAATAATGACTAAAAAAAAGTTGTGTTTTTTATTGCTTGTCCTACTTGTAATAAACCCATATTCTTATTTACTTGTTTACATGGACACACTTCTTAGTAATAAATAATCCAATGTAGCTTTTGTATCCAAACCTGTTTTTTTTTACTAATTTGATGAATTATCTCATGAGCAATTACATTTTCCTCACCTTCTTAAAGAGCAGGAAGGAGCCATCACAGTTACTCTTCCAAATGCTGCCAGAACCTTCCACATTGTTTGCTATAAAAGGAAAAAAAAACATCTTAAATGTTTTGAAATGGCCACGCAAACACATGTTAACCGTTAAAAGCCTTGGTTCGAGACCAGTGTAAAACGTGCGTGTTTGAACTTCCAGTATTCCTGCATTCCTGATGTTTTATCTGCTGACTCCTCAGCTGGCTCGTACGACTCTCTTCCCCCATGTTTCAATTCATTTGGTTCATCGGCTTATTTCGAGCACGTTGGTGCTCGAATAAGCTTCTGTGTTTCTGTGTTTATATATATATATATATATATCTATCTCGATTTCCCTCGATCACACACACACGCTTATGGAAAAAATGAAATCCTTGACCTACCAGGAGGTCGGACGGCGTGACCCACTTTTTTGGACCAGCCTACCGGGTGCACCAGTGGACTCCCCATGTGGCACCAGAAGTCAGAGAGGATATTATCCTGAGCGTCACTCTGGTCTTCGTACACCAGGCGCAGACGGCCGCCGAGAAGGGACTCTACGGCTGCCAGGCGGGTCTGACTCACATGTTTGGGGTCCACCACCTCCACACGCAACCCCGGCTTGAAAGGGTACTTCATGCTCTCTGCCAACTACAGGGGGGGGGCAGACAGAAGGTACCAAGGGATAAATTCATTCAGTGTAATAAAAACTTGTTCATGCATTTTAAATGATGCTCTTCATCATTTGTATGAGACTGTTGGGTCACAACTACTCAGGTTTTACCTTCAGGTAGAAGTCGACAGGTAGAGTGTGAGCCCCCACGAGCTTTGACATCAGATACTCCTTCCAATCTGGGATGTTCCGCTTCACATCTACAGACACACAGTTTGTTTAAGCGCAACATGTGCTTTTGATAAATCCTGACCTAATTTCAACAAATTACTTCTTTTCTTCTTCTTCTTCAATCCGTTAGGTGTGAGCCCTCACCTTGTGGAGGCACCAGAAGTTTACTCGTCATGGCGCACCATCCGATTGGGTTCACATCCCCCGAGAAGAGGCTGCACCAGAAATCTCGACTGCTGTCGTGTTCGAAGCCTTCGTATCTCAACAGGACTTTGTATCCTGGACAAGGCAATTTTATTTGTATAGAGCTTTTCATACACAAGGCAGACTCAAATTGCTTCACATCATAACATTTTATACAATAAAGTGAAATAAAATGCAAGAATTAAAAGACAATTAAAAACAGCAAATAAAATTATAAATTAAAATCTTAAATTGTTTAATTAAAGGCAGAGGTTAAAAGTGCAATGTAGGTAAAATTTAGCAGAAGGCGAAGCTGAACATACAAGTTTTCAGTCTTGTTTTAAACGTGGTCAGAGTTAAGGAAAGTCTTAAATCTTCAGGTTTATTCCAGCTGTTTGTTGCGTACTAACTAAATGATGCTTTCCCATGATTTGTATTTACTCTGGGAATCACTAACAGATTGGTGTCAGAAGATCTTAGTGATCTTGAAGGCTTATGTAGTGGAAGCATATCAGTGATATACTTTGGCCCTAAACCATGTAGTGATTTATATGTGAGCAGTAGGATTTGGAAATGAATTCTCTGACATACTGGGAGCCAATGTAAGGATTTAAGAATTGGTGTAATGTGCTCACATTTTTTGGTCTTTGTTAGAACTCTAGCAGCAGCGTTCTGAACAAGCTGGAGCTGCCTGACAGTTTTTTTTGGAAGACCTGCAAGGAGACCATTACAATAGTCTAGCCTACTAGTTATAAAAGGCATGTACAAGTGTTTCTAAGTCTTGAGCTGACATGAGCCCTCTAAGTCGTGCTACATTTTTGAGGTGGTAGTAGGCCGATTTTGTTACTGATTTGATGTGACTCTCCAAGTGTAAATCTGAATCCATAACAACCCCCAGATTTATGGCTTTATTTGATGTTTTCAGGGACAGAGAGTGAAGGTGTTGGGTTACTTTAAACCTTTCTTTTTTAGCACCAAATACAATGATCTCAGTTTTGTCTTCATTTAGTGGTAGGAAATTTTGACACATCCAGTCTTTGATTTGCTTGATGCACTGGCACAGAAGATCTATGGGGCGATAGTCGTTTGGTGATAGCGCTACATAGAAAGAGAGGAAGACAAAGAGGAAAGAAGGAAGACAACAGTCCAGTTTGGACGTTGTACGGACCAAACGCATCACTGCAAATCAATGCGCGGTTTGGAGTTTGGTGAAGTACATGAAACTATCGCTCCCAGCCACCGTGACCGGAGTTGGTCCTGGTTGGTCGCTGTGTGTCCAGCGGTGGGACCAAATAGAGAAGGAGACATGGACTCGCATTTCTATTCTTCCAACCACTCGGAGCGTAACATTCACACACTGAGGGCAGATGCTGCCAAAAGAGGGTTCTACCGGATCATCAGAATCTAATCTAGATGCATATTCACAAACTAATGGCGCAACCTTTGAGAGCAATTTGGGGTTCGGTATCTCGCCAAAGGACCGTCGCAGATTGGAGGAGCTGGGGTTCAAACGGCTCATCTAACAATTGTTAGATGAGCCGTTTACCTCCTGGGAACAAAGATTTGCTGTTGATGTTTACTGACGTCAGAGGATGACAGAACGAAATTACGAATGTGAAGATGTATGTATAGTAACTGGAGCCTTAGAGGAGTTGCTACTGTAGCCTGCTTCATTCCTCCCTCAAATTCACAGAGATAAAACAGTTAATTCCACGGTGGAAAGCTTTTGTCAAACAAACACCGACAATGATTTACAACCTGCAATCTGGATGACAGAAGCGATCCAGTAGACTTTACTCGGCAGCACCGCGTTGGTGTTCAGGACCTCCACCTTCATCCCCAGAGTGATGTCATCCCACTGGGCACACAAGGGAGCCTGCAGGTGGGGGGTCAGATGTTTCCTCACACATGAGCAGTGTGAGGACTTTTTATATATTCTCCGGGAATCTCAAGCCTTATTTCCAAGTTTGATCAGTTTACTTATTCCGTTTAATGGATTGTTTTTGCAATGATTTATTTTCGTTATATGTTGGACTCATGCTGGTGAAAATGCCGTTTACACATTTTCTGCATAAGTTAGCATGATTGCCCCATTAAAATACTCAAGGAAAATCCTGGAAACATTCTTTCTAATTGCACTTTGCAGACAGGACTCACATGTCTGAAGCAGGACACCGATGCAGCCAGAGAGGTTTCCTTCTCCAGGTAGGCGCCCCATTCAAAAACTGCTGCCGACGCAACAAAAGGGAGAGACAACAGGTGAAGTCAGATTTTTTGTGTGTGAACCGTATGCAGCTTTTAATAGTCTAGAACAAGCACCAAATACAGTAAAGATATCTTTGCAGGATTAACCAACGGTCATCCACAAAACCACACGGGCCTGTTGGCACTTAGTATCCTGTGTAAAGACATGTACTTCTGAATAAGTCTCAAAGAGTAGAAACCGCTTGAAATCTGACTTTGTACTGCGATGAAGTCATTTTGATTCCTTGCGCGTGTGTGTGTGTGTGTGTTCAGTGGCCTCACCATTGAGTGCAGCGGCAGCTGGAGGGGATTTGTTCATCTTGTTCAGCACTTTCTTTGAGGGGGGCCTTCCCTGAGGAGACAAGCCCAATGTAGCGCTGAGCAAAGGCGTCTCATCAGCCTCTCTTTGGGGCCACATTTACTCAGCGCCATAATTTCGAAGCTGCGCGATACTTTGATTGGACTTTTTGCAAAACGCTGCCACAAAACTATAAATTGACACCAATAAATAAATACATTGGTTCTACTGAACATCTCCTAGTGCGGCTCAGAAGATATTGATAGAAATGTGTTGGATTTAATTGAGTCTTTCACTACAGCTTCTCTTGGTTTTAAGCGATAGTCAACTAATATTTAAGGGTTGGCTGAACAAAACACACAAATTGAAGACTCCAGACTCCAATGTCCAGATTTACCTTCAGGTACAGTGAGAGGGATTTGTTTTTGCAGAAGTCTAGTTTCTCAAGGCTGGCGCGTGCTTCTGCGTGTTCGTCGTTGCACTCGTTTCAATTCATGGTTCTAAAAGTCTTGTGCGTGTGTTGCAGAGCGATTCACCGCCAGAACAACAGGCGGAGTAACATGTTTTGTTTAAGACGACCTACAGAGTCACGTCTTTGTGTGTGGAAGTCGATGGTTTGTTTTTTTATTTATCATAGACTTTATTGCCCCGTGCATCACTGCTGCTTTTCATCACAGACATCACATTTGTCCCGTATTTTCCTCCACAACTTTGTTCCCCTCTCGACCGGCCAGCCGCCGTTTGCGGAGATCTTCCTCCATGAATCGGAGGCCGTCCGCGCGTCCTTATAGTCCGCCAATGACGGGTTGTATGAGTGGTCATATTTACACATTTACACACTCTTCAATATGATCAATTCTCTCATAAACCTGTAAAATGGGTCGACACACGCAAGGAGGTGTGAAAAGGCACGCAAGGGACACGCAAGGGGGTCTTACGTCTGCGTTGCTCTGAAAACGCAGAAGCATAAACTAGGCTTTAGTGTATATTTACAGATGAGGGCTGTTTAAAATCCAACAACTTTATGTATTTAAAAATATTTGTGAAGCAATGTATTTGGAACCCAACACCCACTCTCAAGACAACGTTGTCCCCTATAGAAACTTTACTGTCAGATACAGAATTAGCAAGAAGAGCAGCAAGAACTGACAAAGACAAAGAGACAAATACATTTTACAGGAGGAATTCTTCTCTTCAAGATTCCAAACGAAACTGTCTCCATAGCAGCTAATTAGTGGTGACGATCCACTCAGCTGCTTAGTCCCCCGGGGGGGGGTCGACAGGTAGTCAATATAGGCAATATAATGAGTTGTGAAAAGGTGTGAATCACTGAAACCACAAAAGGTCCTTCAGCATGCAGCCATAACTGGCCGCCCACAATATTATACAGTTTGCTTTAACGCGACTTCGGCCATGTATAGAGACAGTAGTCGGACATGTGACCGTTGACGCGATTTCACTGGCAAACACAACGAGAAAGCTGCAGCTTGCTGCGAGCGAGCACAAATCTTTTGGTGAAATATAGAGCTCAGCTTGAAAACAGGTGAAGCAAACGAATTAGTCACCTGCAGTCGTGCCAGTATGGAGGTCTTCTTCGAGTTGGATGAATAGGATCGCGAACAGGATATACTGCAGAAACGCTTGGTCTTGGAAAAGAAGGCGCTCATACTACCGGTGGTGCCGCACATCTCGCAAACCACTGTGTAGATAGATACATGGATTTAGTATAAAACCTATTTACGTCTTGTTAACAGTCCCGTCAGCATGTACAGAGGGGATTTTTATTCATTCAAGTGGTTTGTGGAGGATTTCCTTCTTGGCTCTCAAATGAACGGGCAAACAAACACTTTCATTGTCTCAACACTTTTCTTGTTACACTTTTGCGCCTCACCTGGTACTTCTTTGTTTCCCCCGCCCCACATCACCCCTTCTCCTGTCAGATGTCCGGTCAGATCTTTGTCACCTCCTCCGTCAGTTTCATCAAACTGCGCGGACGCAGTTTCATTATATTCGGCCTTTGAAGAGAAATAGTCTGTGTGAATCTTACTGAAAATAATACATGTAAACAACAGAGAGGCTTGTTTAAAGCGCTCAGAACGACACTTAAGGTAGTAACCACTCACACTGGCGGCGCGCTCTTTTGGTTCGGCAGTAATGCCCCGGCGTTGGATAGCGGGCAGGCACTTACTGCAGCCCACTCCATTGCAGGATGAGCAGTGCGGACGGACGAACACGGTGGGAACAGCTCCCAGCTTCAGAACCAGAGCTCCCGGCAGCTGTTTGGGCTCAAAGTACTCCTTGCCAAAGTGCTCGCTGCAGAGGTGAGAGCTGGATGTGGCGACCCACTGGCTGCGGGTGCGCTGAACCTGCTTCTCCCATTTGCGAAACTCCTCGGGGTCCTTGGGGAATTTAAACAGCTTCACTCCATCCTCCGCGGTTTTGCCGCATCCGAAAGCCACACAGTGGTACGGCATGCTGTGTTTCGCTTCACAAGCGGACCGCCAATACCTCGGAGCACAAAGCGGGGTCTACAAACAAAGCATCCTTTCCTCTTTGGAGCTGTAGGCCAGATTTCTGTGCGCTCTGTAGAGGAAAACCACAATCTTGTTTTAAAATTTGCAGAAAGTTCTCTAATTCTACCACAAAAAATACATTAACCAATTATAAACACTAGTGCCAATGAATGGACACAGAGAGGTGGAAGACAGTTCTACGCTGGTTCTTGATCTAATACTTGTTAGTTTCTCACATGCTGCATTAAGTGATAATAGTATTTCCTGCTGAAACTATTGAAAAATGAAGCCAATGCCTTCAATTGATGTTAGAAAGTCTCTGAATGCTCTACATGTTCTCATCTTCATAAACACAATTAGACATTGAAACGTAAATTTAATTCAGGGCAATAAATCAGAACTTATTAGTAAGTAAATAAGTGCATACAAATTGACGATATTTCTACATATCTCATGGTTTTGAACACATTGTTACTGCCAACAGGTTTGTAAACAAGCAGGTCGAAATACTAAGCAAAGTGCGACTAACGTTTGCTCCCATGCTACTGTAAAAGCTAACGTGAAATGCTAACAGCGCGTTCTTGCTGATATAAAGCACTTATTATTACTTTAAGAGGCTACTTACACATAGACTAATAATATAACCCTTAATTGAAACGTTTAGTCCAACTGCAAAACTCTCGGATTTAAGTTGCTACGTTCCACTGTTTGGAAACAGCATGTTGGTTATTTGGTTTTCTCCACCTGTATCGTGGTCGCTTACCTTAGACGTCATCATACTTTATGGGGCCAGGAGAAAAGCATCATGGGAGTTGAGGTTTTAGCAGATTGGATGGGAACACTAGTATGTCCTCCTAAACTAAAATACACTGTGGTGAACATTAACTATAAATATTTACGTATTTAAGTATTTCTTCACATGCTATTTTCTACTTCCATCTACTACATCTCAGGGAAATGCAGGATACTTAGTTCAGTACACTTTTCTGTAAGCTTTAGTTATTTTCATTGCTTAACTTTGAAAAAACAGTGTCAAGTGCCATGATATGGCACTTGACACTGATTTATTTACACAATGAATACAGTATACTATAGGAGAAATTATTTTTTATTTTTTTGCACCACTAACATGTGTAACAGCCATGAACATTGAACATTGACGTGCTCTGAAAATGTTTGCATTTAAAATACATGATATAAATCAAAAGAGCAGATACAACAGAGATTTAAATAATGTTTGATCTTTTATATTTGTTCAGAAATAAATTATAGAGCATTATTACATTACATGTCATTTAGCTGACGTTTGCAGTGACTAGTGTGCTGTGCCAGTTTATTGATTACCGTGGTCTTGTATGTTTATTATATTGCATGATCTTCTTTGTGTGCACGTGTGAGTTGCATGGACTGCTACTCCCTATACAGACTTCCTATTGGGCATAACAAATCGCTCGATTGTTTTCACCTGGACTAATTACTGGCAATCATCAACCAACCTATCGAGGGGCGAGGAGGAGTATAAAAGAGGAAGCTGCTAACTCGAGGGAGAAAGGGGGAAACTCAGACGGAAACGGCAGGAGCGACGAGACGGCGGCACACCAGGCCTGCAACGGATAGTGCAGACACGACCACACCTTTGTCACCGGGAGCTGCAGTCATTGCGCGATCAATGCATCACATCCCTGACTGTTACTCATCGCTTTCGGATTTGAACAGAACTTTGGCCCTAAAGACTATAAATGGACTCCAACTGTTGGACAGTTCGTAACTGGATTGTTCCTGATGGACGTGTAACTGATTATAAGACTGATTTTAAAATCTAAATTATTTTCACGTTTTACTGCAAATAAAAGTATTTTTATACAGATATCCATTGTGGTCTTTCTGTGTCTTGGGCATTCCGAAATTAAAGAGTGGCCATACGGCTGACATAAGTGGCGTTATACTGTAAGTACAATTTAAGTGCTACAATTTGTTAGTGTTTTTAGTCGAGGTAGAGTCTGAAGATGTGAAGACTCACTGCGGTCCTGATGTCATCAGAGCACTCGTTCACCATTTCGGAGCAAAGACAGCAAAGAGTTGTGATGGAGTGTTTTGCTCTCCGTGAGGGAGGGACAAGCAGTTTATCAGATGTGGAGTGCGCGGGTCGGGATGTAGGGTTTGACCATGTCCTGGATGTAAGCTGGACCCGATCCATTCACAGCATTGTAGGTGAGCACCAATGTTTAGAACTGGCAGCCACCGGTAGCCAGTGAAGAGAGTAGAGGAGTGGAGTAGTGTGGGAGAAATTTGGAAGGTTAAAGACCAGTCGGGCTGCTGCATTCTGGATAAGCTGCAAAAGGTGGAATGGCGGCGTAAGGGAGACCTGCCAGGAGGGAGTTGCAGTAGAAGTCTAGGCGGGAGATGACACGAGCCTGAATCAGTACCTGCGCAGCCTTCTGAGTGAGAAGAGGACATATTCTCCTGATGTTGTAGATTGTGTATCTACAAGATCGTGTTGTCGGAGTGATGTTGGGAGTCAGGGAGAGTTGGCTGTCGAGTGTCACGCCGAGGTTCTTAGCAGTCAAAGTCTGCGTTAACACAGAGTTGTCAAATTTCAGATGGTGAGCGGACATCTATTGGGAGATGTCAGACTGGCAGAGATCAGTGCCGCCACCTGAGTGTCCGAGTGAGGGAAGGAGAGAATTAGATGGGTGTCATCGGCATTGCTGTGGTAGGAGAAGCCATGCGAGCGAATGACAGCGCCGAGAGTTAGTGTAGAGAGAGAAGAGGAGGGGACCCAGGACGGAACCCTGAGGAACTCCAGTAGTAAGATGACAAGGTTCCGACACACATCCTCACCAGGTTACCCGGTAGGTGCTGCTGTCAAGGTAGGACGAGAGAAGGGAGAGAGCAGAGCCTGAGACACCAAGTTCCTGAAGGGAGGAAATCAGGATCTGGTGGTTAACTGTGTCAAATGCAGCAGAATGGTCCAGAAGGATGAGGACAGAGGAGAAAGAGGCGGCTTTAGCAGTGTGGAGTTGCTCTGAGACAGCAAGGAGAGCAGTCTCTGTGGAGTGGCCTTGAAGCCTGACTGGTGGGGGTCAAGGAGGTTGTTACGGTGGAGATAAGAGGAGAGTTGGTTAACGATCACACGTTCAAGAGTTTTGGACAAAAAGGGAAGAAGAGAGACCGGTCTGTAGTTGTTTTCTTCAGAAGGGTTGAGGGTAGGTTTCTTCAGGAGAGGGTTAACTTTTGCCTCCTCAGAGAGTTGGGAAAACAGCCGGATAACAGAGCGTTGTTAATGAGACAAGTGAGGAACGGGAGTAGGTCAGGAGCGATAGATTGTAGAAGATGTGATGGAATGGGGTCAAGAGGGGAGGTGGTCGCACGTGCAGAGGTTACTAGGGTAAGAATTTGGTTGGAAGACAGAGGGAGGAAAGAGTGAGGGCGATAGAGGTGAAGTCGGTGGGACACAAGTAGTAGGAGGTGGGTTTGAGAAAGAGGAGCGTATGTCAGCTATTTTTTGGTAAAGTAGTTGACAAAGTCTCCCGGAAGAAGGGTAGAGGGGGGAGGAGGACTGAGGGGTTTGAGTTAGAAGATAGAAAATTTTGGGGGTTTTTGGGGGTTAGAAAATGAAGATTGAATTCTGGATTGGAAAGAGCTTTTGGCAGCAGTGATAGAAGCAGAGAAAGAGGAGAGAAGATATTGAAATGCAAGCAGGTCATCAGGTCGTTTATATTTACGCCATTTCCTTTCCTATGCTCGCATGGTGGCTCTCACGGCACGCACCGGTTCAGACCGCCACGGATTTGCCGGCCTGTTGTGTCGTGAGAGGGTCTAGAGAGGAGGAAAGAGTTGAGAGGAGCGTCTCTGGGGCAGCGTTCGGATGCAAGAGTGAGAAGAAGTCAGTTGAAGGCAGAGCTGATAGAACACAGGAGGCTAGAGAGGAGGGAGAGAGGGAGCGATTGTTGTGACAAACCGGTACAGAGTCAGTTGATGGGGCGGGGTCGTTGGTTATAGAGAGTGAGAGATGAAGAAGTGGTCAAACACATGAAGTGGAGTTACAGAGAGGTTAGTAGTAGAGCAGTTTCTAGTGAAGATGTAGTCAAGGTGATTGCCAGCTTTGTGAGTAGGAGGAGAGGCACTGACTGACAGCGAAAGAAGAAAGTAGGAGTAAGAGGTCAGATGACTTCTCTGTCTGGATGTTGAAGTCACCCAGGAGGATGAGCGGAGGGCCATTTTCAGGGAAGTTGGACAGTAGAATGTCCAGTTCTTTCAAGAAATGACCCAAAGAGCCTGGAGGACGGTAAAGAACAACAATATTTAATTGTACCGGGTGAGTAACTGTTACAGCATGGAATTCGAAAGAAAGTAGGGTGGAAGAGGGTAAAGAGAAAAGCGCCATTCTAGCATTCTAGCACATATTGTTATGAGGTTTGCAACCTATTAGCAGGGAGGCTATAATGTTTGTTTTACATAACAAAACATAAATAATGAGAAGTTTTTATAATCCAACCGTAATTGTATGTTCGAACCCTTTTGGGATTAGTACAACAGTACAACTCTGCATAATGACATGCAGACTAAAAATTTACTTATAGCTCATTTTGGGACTATATTTGTGAACTTTCGGGTAGAGTTTGGCATACAATTTAGATATCTCTGATATATAGAAATGACTTTCAATACTTCTTCCAACATTTCCCCATCCCGCATAATCTAACATGCAGTACCCGAATTCAACTTTCAAAACTCATCCTCACCAGAAGATGAACCCTTTACACAAATGACGCCAAGACTTTTACTTAGGCCACCATCCGGACAAATTTTGCACACTCAGTGTCACTGTTGGGATATACATTACATTACAGGTCATTTAGCGGTCGCTTTTATCCAAAGCGACTTACATTGCATTTTTAACCCATGGCTTTTTAAAATTTTGCCCGGTTAGGGGTTAGGTGTCTTGCTCAGGGACACTTCGACATGGGACATGGAGCAGCCGGGGCTCGAATATAGGAACAGGAAGCACAAAATGAACAACATCTTGTCAGTTCCATCCAATACTTTAAGTTTAATTAACAAACACTGAAACTTTTAACTTTTGGGACTTGGTCCAAACAAACAAACAAGTCTTAATCAAAATCAAAAACAGAGTTGGAAACTTACATGCAAAATAGCTGGACATGACTATACACACAGAGATCAATACCAGGCAACAGCCGTATTTAATCCAAAGTTGCACAGCTAAGCTTTTTTTGTCAAACAATACGTTTGACTTGTTCTAAGAAAGTAGGAGGTGTTATCTGACAGTGACACGTTGTGGACATGCAAGGCACGACCCACATGATTGAAAGAGGTGTTTATATTCTCTGACCTGGTGGGGGCAACTACTACAAGACATTGAAGGCCTCGGGTTCATTGGGCAAGTCTAAATCGGCTTGAATGCGTATTAGTTCATCTTTGGTGATTTATGATTTGTTTTTGATACTTTGCGTTGATGGCAATTTCACTTGTTTGTACTTTGTTTCTCTCTGTGCCCCATAAAATGCCCTTTTCCACATTCTATTTGATGTAAGCACAATATGGGGACCAATACCAAGTAATTGCATTTTTAGATATTGTACAGACAGGCTCTGATTATGTTCCTATATCATTGCGTGAAGAATGTATACATTAAATAATGTTGATTACTCGCTGAATTAGGGGCAGTTTCTGTCCTAGGCCCCCCTAGTGGGTTAATCTAGCCATGGCCCTGTCACTGGGCATGACACCCAAACTACCTTGAGTCTCGATGTACGGTACGTGCATGTGGTCCTGTCCTCCAAGCAGTATGATCCACTGAGGTGTGTTGTATTCAAAAATGAAGAAACGCCGGACGGACAGAGGTCATCGCAGATCAAAAGGTTAAATCAAATGTATTTAATAAAGCAGATGGCGTTGCGGTAAAAAGAACATCTCAGCTGAGGAGCCGCTGGTCTCAGCAACCAACAGGCCCCAGGCAGTCCTTTGACCATCCCTAGTGCCCGTCTGTAGCCTCCACCAGCGAACTCTAGAACAATGGTTCCTACAGGTATTTATAAGAATGCTTAAAGGTGTGAAAGTTAGTGTCCACACCTCTGGGAGTGGTCTTCTGGTGAGTTCAATGTAACTCGGATTTCGAATGATCCTTAGTCAATATCAGTTGTTCAAGTATTACATGCATGCATTCCAGTTGATTACATTACACCAAATACAATCATAACTGTACATTGGTATTATTCTAGTACAGTTGCAGAATTTTACAATATTGTCATTACTTTATGGATTACACAGTTTCAGAATCATGGCTGTATTCTGGTGTACACTATATGCATTTTTATTAATTTTATGAACCGGGTCGTATATTTGTTTCTAATATCCTACAGGTGCAATGATGCAGGTTTGGTGAAGTCTTCATACAAGTTTTTACCCCTACTGATGCAATCCTACTTTTGAAAGCACATGATTTGTTGTAACAACAACAAAGCAACATACAAGTCCAAATAAATTGTCTCTATTAAGATGGATTTAGCACCTGCTGGTGTCATGTAGTGATGTCCTGCCGAAAATAGTTTTTTCTTTCTTCTTTTTTCTTTTAATCAACAACAAAATGTATCTGTTGGAAAGTCCTACATTCTTAGTTTGAACTATGCCCTTTTTAGATGATGGATTTATGTTGGTGTAACTAGAACTGGCGAGAGAGAAACACAACAGTTGAAGCCCTTGTTGACCACATACTCCCAATAGGCCATTTGATTATTTACATGTATCCCCAAAATGCCTGAATCCAATATCACAGCTTTCATATTGTGTGTAAGTCGCATACTCCTCTTTGTGAATCTCTAGCTGCAAAATCCCACTTTATCCCAAAGCTGACGGCCAACGTATTTGTTTTCTTCACTTACAAACGGTGCTTGTCCCACTAGTCAGCAATGTGGCCAAATGTGTGGACAAACACATTCACAAAACTTGATTCCGACTTCTGAAGTTTTGAAAAATAGAATTGTGCAGCATAGCTGAAAAAACATGTTAGAAAGTACACACGTTCTTGAGATATGTACTTGTTTCAGTTCATGCAATAATGCAGTAATTAGAAACAACAACTCTATAGGGGTATTCCATTAGTGTTTTGGGAATAACCCAATGAATGAATGGTTGTGGAGAAGTTAGATCTACAGTCAAATTAGAGTATTCTCGTATGCTGATGTAAGGAAAGCTTTTTAGAAAGTCTTGTCCTTTTGAAATAGGGTGTTACTTTCCTGTTGGAGGTGGAGGTTCAAGCAGCAAATTAACTACAACATTCAGCGCAAATACTCCACAATGACTGGTCGAGTAAAGGCATACAGCTGTTTTGGTGTGAGCATGGGGGAAGGAGAGCATGCTGTATGACCGAAGAAGCCAAATTTACAATCCTCTGCCGCAGAGTCAACACCAAGAAAGGCTGAGAAAAATTGTATGATATTTTGGAATGGTAAATGTATGCGTGGAGCCACCGTTTTGCCTATAAAATACCAAACAAATCCAAATAAGGCAGACAGGATTGGTTCTTTCTAATGAGTGATAATCAGTTATTGAGGAATCAAGTAATAAGTCGGTTGAGTTATGCATACAGTTGGGAGTGTAAACCCACATTGGTCTACTGCTCGAATTGTCTATTTTGCACTTTCTAAAAGTTTAGACTACTTGCATTTAAAAGAACTGTTGACTATAATCCAACTCTAATCTTTGCTCAAACCATTCCAAAGAAATGCTAGTTCAGATTGCTCCATGGATGAATAACTTTTTTTTAATTATTTTTTTTAACTTCATGGCCAGTCCATAAGCATTATACTTGATCCACCATTGCAGCTTCGCATTTGTCATCTTTATTAATATTTTTTAATTTGCATCTCTTCATCCTTACCCGCTGCCACCAGCGGCACAACCATCACTTCGCAGGCAAACAAGCCTTTACTGCCCGACATTGTCTCCATCCAGACTCCGCGGGAAAGGAGGTCGAAATGACGGATGCAACCATGGGAGCGAGAACCGGGGACAGTTTATTTACACCCAAAGAGGCTGTGTAAGTTAAGAGGGAAGCCGCTGCGTGTGTCTCCCTCTTTACTTTCACCGACCCCCTCCTCCTCCGCTGGCAGAAATTTATAAAGAACAAAAAATCCGACGAGGGAGGGAGGGGGGTTGATATACGCCGAGGCTGAAATCGAGAGGCGAACCCAGGGAAAGAGGAGTAATTTGTACACGGGACTTTCCCCCTCTTAGTCCCCCAAAAGGAGGGGGAAAAGTCGCAATATTGGAAACGAAAAGGAACGAGCTTCTAAAGGCGTGAAAACGTCTGCAATTGTGGATACTTTATATATTTTTATTTCGAAAAAATATGGCCGAGAACGTTCTGGACCATGGCCCGCCTTCAGCCAAGAGGCCTAAACTCTCGTCTCCGGCACTTTCCGCCTCCGCCAGCGATGGAAATGGTAAGTATTGTTTTAAGAGATAATTTGTTACGGTGTTATTCGTTAAGTTTGTTATTTTGCGGCGGCTCGGGTGAACTTGTTTGAGGGAGAATACGTGGGATTACTCTTCTGTTTTTGTCGTAGCTTGCTAATGTTAGCTCGCTAGTAGTGAGTGTGTGTCGGACGTGAAGAAGAGCTCCCCCAGCTAGCTTGCGTGCTACCAGCCATTTTAGCCGGAGGTAGCTGCGTTAGCAACTCGGCTAACGCTAGGCTAGCTAACCGAATGCGGGTTCCCCAACTGACGGTCCCGTGTCAAATGGTTACTACGCCCGGGTTAATAAAACACGGATTGCCAAGCCAACTCGTGATAAAGTTGTTGGTGTCTTGTAGTTGTGTCAACTCGACAGCGACTCCCGTCCTGTTATTTGAGTTTTCGAGGCTTCAACACGTCCAAAGCGATCTGCCGTGTTGCCCCACCGTAACTCGGACACTTTCCCAACTAACGTTAGCTGCCGTTGATGGCGTTCGTGGAAGCAGAGGTTGCCAGTGGTGGCGAGGCTGTCCCCGCGTCGGGGACACATTTAGGGCACCCGCGTCCGACCGATCGTGGAGCGCAAATGGCCATTTTCGGTTTGTTTAATCGCGGATGGTGTGTGACAGCAGCCGGAGGGAGCAGTGGCCTGAGACCCAAACTGTGGAGCATGGACAGCGCCATGTCTTTCCACCGCGATATTAACCAGCCAGTCAAGTTAACCAGCAAAAATACTGCTCAAAACGTACAATAATCAATTAAATCACTCAATCATTCGTTTTGGAAATGAACAGCGGCGTCTTGGGCTGTCCACTAAGCTAAAGTTGTCTCTCCGGGAAGTCCGCTTCCGTGGAAAGGGACCTTTTCGGTTAAATCATCCAGAGGTTGCAAACACGTACGTTGCCTCGTTTACCTACATAGTGGTGTCAAGAAAAGGGATCTGTTCATAAAAGGTGCAGAATATTACACTGAAAATGATTGTCCTCCAAGAGTATTTGCGACCCTGCCGTGCACTGATCCCAGTCACGGTAATACATGAAAACACATGTCAATCTCAGAAGATTGGTGTTATTTGGATAGTGTTGCTTGTGCCTCCGAAAATCAGTTTGTAGATAATGTTATGATAACTGGTTTGATCGTTTTCAGAGTCCGCTCACCAAACCGTAAGGATGCAACTGTAGATTTTTGTATCCTTGTACATCAATCATGTTCTCATGTTAGCCATGTCACAAATCATTAACATTACAGAATGGCATCTGACCATAAAAAGGGACGAATAAGCCTGTGTGAGATTTTGAGCTTTAGCAATTGTTCTTGAGGGGGGCAACACCATGTATCTGCTTTTATTGCCTGAGCTGTGTGCCGCTTAACTCTGCATTCACTGACACACTGAGTGTGCGTCTCTACCAACCTGGCTCCATTTTGTTGAGTTACTTCTACATCCATTTGTCACCTAGTCTGTACGAACCTGTCTGTGTAACATGTTGAATCACTTCACTGGTCAGGGATTCTCTGTGGGTGCATGCGTGTGCTTGCATCGTCGTTTGTGCGTGCAGCTTTACACGCACACATCATTCTCAGTGTCGTTATAAGTTTAGTGCTCAGTTGTGTTAAACTTGATGGTATTAATTTGTGATAACTTGATTAATCACATGATTTTCTGCCATTAACAGCGATTATTCGCTTTATGCGCGAAATTCAATAAAACGTTAAAGAATAATGTAGTGCACGCTTTTATTTTAAGTAATGTCATCATAACACTGTAATAGGCACTCTCGGAGCAACAGCACGTTTTCTTTTTTAGGTACCAGAAGAAACATTAGTCTTTTATCAGGGGACGGCATAATGCAGCATATGTTCAGTTGTAGAGTGAAGCGCTTTAGCACAAAACAATGACTTTTCGGTCTGTAAAAACTGTGGATTTCCTGTGAATCTCAGTGGAAGCACATTTTTAATGATTCAAGTTAAGCAGTTACCCAATGACAAAATTAACTTTTAACGTCCACTTTTTTTTCCCATCCATTCCTCCAACATCCTACTCATCTGCAACAAGCCACTTGCTAAGACACACACGGTAATTTACAATTACAATTTTAACAATATGACCAGGAAGAGAAAACGACCTTTCACAGGGTGCAGATGTTCTGCATGTTGTCAGTGAGAGCAACAGTTGAAGCTCATTGTAACGCCGTCACTCCGTTTCATACAACTCGTGTATTCTCCTTTCGGCGGTGCCTGTTCTAAGCAATTCTAAGGACGCTACGTTCTTGTTGCGTTGGTTTGTCGACAGTTCTCCCGCATCCGCCGACGTCTCGCTCCCTTGTTGTTTGGGTAGCCGGTAGGCTGACATCAATGCTGTGTAACGCCTTTACGTCGTACGTCAGACTCGTAGTACTTCAGGCTCGTAGTATTCTGGTGATAAGATACTTCCGGTTTGGTTTTCTGGTTACAAATAGCATTGCTTTTATCAACTACGCCGTCTGGTAGAGATTTCAAAGGAAAATGTCCACCTTTCTCAGTTTTCTTGGCTAATGTGCGCAGCAGTGTTAAGCACCCCCCCAATGCAAAAAAAGATAAAATGAAATGGTGTTAACGCATATGGAAATCATTGTCGGTGTTAATTGATTACTACGTTAGCGCATTCACAGTGTGCCCGGCTCTAGTTTTTCTTCCTTGTCAAGCGTGCTCTGTCATGCTGTAAAAATGAAGGATTATACCAGTTTAACATGGCTGTGGACCCTTTTGTCTTCTCGTCATTCCCTTCTTTTTTTTAAATTTTTTAATCTCATTGATCCGCCTCCCTTAAACTTTGCATCTCTTCTCCATTTTAGATTTCGGCTCACTGTTTGACTTGGAGCATGATCTCCCCGACGAGCTCATTAGCGCCAATGAATCAGGCCTGGTCAACGGCGGGGACCTCAGCCAGTTGCACACTACTCTCGGAGGAGGCAGCGGAGGGCCGGGAGGAATGGGACTTGGACTTGGCGGAGGCCAGGATGCGGTGGCCAAGCACAAACAACTGTCCGAGCTTTTGCGTTCAGGGGCGCCCACCTCGGCCCAACAAGGGCACCAAGGAGCCATGGGCGGCCCAGGAGGCCCCAGCGCCATGGGGCAACACTTGGCCAACATGAAGGCCTCTCCTGGCCAGGGGCCTCCGCAGATGATGGTCCAGGGGCAGCAGCAGCACCTCTCTCCTCAGCAGCAGGTCAACATGATGCAACAGAATGCTTCAGCTGGAATGATGGGTGGCCTAAACAGGGCCATGATGGGAGCGCAGCAGAAAGGCAATAATGGACAGCAGCAGCCAGGCATGATTGGGAGCCAGGTGATGAATGGCTCCCCCAGGATGGGCTTTGGGAATCAGGGGATGGGTGGCAACAGCAACCTGTTGGCTGAGACCCTACAGCAGCAGGGAGCTGGGGGCCAGGCCGGGATGAGAGGCCAGCAACCGGGAGCCATGAACAAGGTAGGTTTACTAAGGCTTAACACTGCATGTCAACCATTTCATTCACTTTTGAAATGCGGATGGACTTTATACAAAATAAGGACTTGTAAATGAGACATCGGGTGAAAACAGAATGCTTTGTTTCAAGTAGACACTAAGGAACACGGCGTCGTCCCCCCTCAGTAGGAGTTGGTAGATTCTCTTTCAGTTTATTCTCAAAACCTTTTATTGCGGCCCAAAACCTTACTTTTCAATCAGAAAATTGGATTAATTCAGGAATGTACTTGGGGTTGAAGTGCCCCAGGAGGGACAGGAAAAGAAATTGCACTGGAAGTTGGCTTCTGCTGAATGTGGCAGAGACACTGATTTTAGCCATGGATATCTAAAGGAAATCACTCAGGGTCGGAAAAGTCCAATATAAATGCTGTTGGCCCTCTAAAGGAGAACAAGGTGCTCAAATAAGTCATTCGATGTGTTTGGAGAATGGGGATGTTAAGTTTTGATTATCACAGGTTATAAATTACTTTTTGATCTTTAATTACATATTACTTCTCCGGTTAACTGATTTGGGAGTAAGGTTAGGTTGTTTTTCTTCACTTTTCATTAAAGGGAAGCTTAATTGGTACACAGGTGGAAAACGCATGTTCTTATCGTAGATGGAAGCATAGGCTTTGAAAGAGTCTTTATGTCCACAGATCCTGCTCATTTAACAGCTTAGATTTGAGATGTTTGCGAAACGCTGTAAGATTTTTTTGCATTTACACCTGATATGAAATCACTTATATAAAACTTAAGATGTGGTTTCAAAAAGGTTCATGCCAGTTGCATCCTACATAACTTTCTTCTGCTCTTCATCATCTGCTCTAATTCCCCCTGTTCAAATTTTTCATTTGTATTCCTAGATGGGGATGATGGGGAACCCCGGGGGCCCTTTTGGAGGTCCATATACGGGGCAGGGGAATCAAGGTCTGGGCGGCGCAGGGCTGGGCCCTCAGCTCCAGAACAAAAGTCCTCTGGGCAACAGCCTGGCCCAGTTCAACGTGGACAAGAAGAACCAGCCCATGCAAGGAATGGCCGCCATGGTAGGGAACAAATACAAACAACGTGTGTGTGTGTGTGTCTCCGATGCGTTTCCGTATTTTTTTCCCCTTCCTACTTGATTTTACCTTCCACTGTTCCTGTCGGTTTATTACCCTGGTCTAAACCGTGCCACCTCTTCTCATTCCCATCCCTTTACCCACCAGGGCTCTCAGCAACCACAGACGGGTGTGGGCGGTCCCTCTGGTGCACCTGTGGGAGGAGCCCCAGGGATGCTGCCCAGCGCTCAGGGAGGTCTGGTTGGTGCCCGCGCCCAGGTTTCTGCGGCCTCCGCTGCTGCCGGAGCGCCGCCCACAGCTGACCCTGAAAAGCGCAAGCTAATTCAGCAGCAACTGGTTCTCCTGCTTCACGCACACAAGTGCCAGCGGCGGGAGCAAGCCAACGGGGAAGTCCGGCAGTGCAACCTGCCCCACTGCCGCACCATGAAGAACGTCCTCAACCACATGACTCACTGCCAGGCCGGCAAGTCCTGTCAGGGTGAGTTGACTAGGGATGAGTTTTGTTTGGTTTATTGTTTGATACTTTTAAAATGATACCGGTGCCTGAACCAATACTTTATGAAAAAAACGATTAATGAAATTCAAGTTTTTTTTCTTGAAATTAAATATATTAACTGTTTACAATTTAATTACATGCAGTGCTTCCCCTATGTAAAAATTTTATTTGAGATTTATGCTCGCTGCAGGAACTAAAGATATGCAACATATTGAAAAGCATTTATGTTGGATTGACGCTCCTTGTGTGTCTCGATGTATTGACTTCATGATTGCAAGCAGGTGCAACACAGAAGAGCTGCATTTGGCACGAGAACATATAGTTGTTCTACCGTGTGACAGAACTTATTTGTGTATTCAGTTAACACTTTGCTGCGTAAAATAAGGCAAAAGAATCAAACTATCTCCTGCCATTCATGTGAGGAAATTAAGTCATGTGTCTGCAGAACGCCGCTGCTCTCGGTTTACAGCTTTGAGGGAGGGGAACGGACCGTCTGACGGGAGAGGAGGGTCGTTGCGGATTCGCGCTGTGAGCACTGGTGGGCGGATGCTCACCTGTGTGCGCGCACGTGTCTGCCTGTGTCCATCGGAACTTGCAGATTTTAATAACGGAGGGGAAACAGCGACATAAATAAATATAAATAGTTGTCATATGCCCCCGTGTTTGACAAGCACACTTGTGGCTGAGACTTGTTACATCTTTTACATTAAAATAGACTGGAAACAAAATTGCATCTTGCATGACTTACACATATTTTGAAATGTATTAATTGCGATAAAAAGTTTGTTTTTCTTCTAAAGACTAGATCTTAATAGTAATGAGTAATCACTTCAGAAAGCGTGAATTTAAGACAATGTTGTTTCAATTGTATTTTAAACACAAAACTACGTGATCATCTTGGAGGCCCAAATTCCATCAGGTGGAACAAGTTGAACTAGCGACTCTTCCTGCTGTGCTCGTGCACTTTGCTCTCAACTCTCCATCATTTGGCGGCTGTGTATGAAGCACCAACAATCTCCCCACATTTAGCCAGGACGTTTTCAAACCACTGCACAGAACCACAGCTACTTCCTTTGCCAAATGAATCACTGTTTCTGCCGTACAATACGGCCACCCGCCATCTTGCATGACTCACACGGCTTCTTGTCCCTTTTGAATGAGTTGGGGGGGCAAGAAATCACTTTCGAGCGTCATTTACGCTCTACCCATTTTAGCTTCCGAGTGGCTGTGGAATCTGTCGAAAAACATTTGGCCAAAAAATACTGCGGCAAGAAACGGTTAAATGCAGGCATTCCCAATTTCATTTGATCCTAATTTCTCATGATGTAAATGTTTTTTTTCCCCACCAACTTATATACCTGTTTTTCCCAACTCTGCGTGTATTTCTGCCTTTTCATCCTTAGTTCCTCACTGTGCATCATCGAGGCAGATCATCTCCCATTGGAAGAACTGCACGCGGCACGATTGTCCGGTCTGCCTGCCGCTGAAGAATGCTGGAGACAAGAGGAACCCGCAGTGTGAGTGTCTGTATCTGACCAAATTAACGTTATATATTTTGTTCTTTACATTATGCTGTGAGCATCATTAATGTGCATTATTGTTATCTCATCGCAGTTTTATTAATGGGATTTTGCAGATATGTTCATCTAGAAAGACCGTTCCAACATTATTGTATTGGCAATATTGCATAGCCTCATTGGAGCTAAACATAATCCATATTGAGCCAATTGTTAATATGATATTTTGCTGTTTTTCGATAAATATTCAGTCTCAGGGTTTTTGAATGCTTAGTTTTTTCCATATGCTGCTCGGCATATAGGATGTATTATAAACACCCTGCTGCCTTCTTGTTATGTCCTCACAGCTCTACTCAGTGCAGCCGCTGCAGGTCTGGGCAGCTCTCTTGGGTCAGTACCTGGTGGTCAACCAAGTACTCCCAATCTCAACCCGCCAAGCCAGATTGACCCCAGCTCCATAGAGCGAGCCTACGCCGCCCTGGGCCTCACCTACCAAGGCAACCAGATCCAGTCCCCGACTGCCCAGCCCAGTATGTCCAACCAAGGTTTGCAAGGCCCGGCTGGCATGAGGCCTCTGAACCCAATGGGTCAGTTCACCTGCTGCACATTTTGTTTCTGATAGCCCTGGTGATTTAGCGTTTAACCAGCTTGAGGCAGGGATTGTCAAAAGGTCGTAATAGTAGTCGGGTATAACCAGAACTCTGACAAGTAGGTGCTAAATGTTTACGTCAAAGGGCTCCAGGTAAAAATGACATTAGGGCTGGGTGATATACCGCTATCGAATTTCCTTTGCCGTATGAATTTCCCACATCGTCATATCGGTGCTTTAGATTGGGTCATGGTTATAACTACAATAACACAACGCTCTTTAACAGGGTAACAGTTTGTGAAACCTTTTGTAACACTAATCATGGTACATTTATAAAATTACACCGCCGAACTGCATGCTGGGTACAGCCCGCTATCACAACAAGACTCCAAACTACTACTTGAAAACGCCGAAAAGAAGTATGCGGAAGGCACAACGAGAGACCGGAGATGCACTTGGGCCCAAGGGTGGAGTTTTGTCTGGTTGGAGGTTTTGTGGTTTTGAAAATCCAATGTAAATTAGATATATTGCATAGTTAGTTGAGAACACTAGCAGCTAACACGCTAACAAACTAACCCGCTAACTCGCTGGCCAGTTGCTAGCAGTGAACGAGCGATGCTTTTCGCCACGAATGGATGCCTTTACTCCCAAAAAAATATACCATGATACCGCCAGAGTCCGTGATATGAATTTTTGGCCATAACGCCCAGCGCTACTTCACGTGCGCTGGGCGCACGTGATGTAGCCCCATAGTAGCCCCATAGTTGCGGTTTGATTAGCAACCCAATAATATAAGACATCCTGAGGTACACGTCCAAGAGCAAGGTATATAACGTTTTATTAGTAGGGGAAACAAAAGGAATGCAAACTTATGAAGTCCTGTCCTCTGCTCTGTAGGTGCGAACCCTATGGGGGTCAATGGAGGTGTCGGTGCTTCTCCTCAGAGCCAGCAAGCCAGCCTGCTGCAAGATACCATGATGCACCTCAATGTGAACAGCCAAGGGTAAGAGGGAACACAAACATCCTGCTCGTGGATCCCTTAATAGGGACACACACTATCCATGTTTTCCATGTTATTCATTAAAACTATGCCTGTCTACCTCTCCCAGTCTGCTGAATGATGCCAGTGGGGTCGGGTCCATGCCCACGGCAGGCCCTCCGTCTTCTTCGGGCATGAGGAAAACCTGGCACGAGGACATCACTCAGGACCTACGAAACCACTTGGTACACAAACTGTAAGTATTAAAAAGGAGCTTAAATGATTTCATTGCATATGAAATCACATTCCTGTTGTCGTGTAACGTTTCCACACGTTGTGCGTGTGTAAAAGGTGATAAATGTGAATTTTTTTAAAGTTCAGATAAGCTGGCTGACATTGCCCCAGTCTGTGCCTCTCACACATAACTGTTTGTAACGTTAGGAAGCCTTTCATTCCTCTTTGGCGGCATTAAATGTGTCTCATAGACCAGGTACTGTATTTTGAGCATGACAAGATGTTTATTGCTTCTACTTGACCTCTCCATATGACTTAAAGGCCTCTGAATCTCACTTTAAATTACTATGTTTCTTGTATTAACTATAGTAGTCTTTTCATCACACTTCTAGCAGCACACCATGTTATAAGCTTCTACAAAGCAGATCCTATTTGTTTTAAGTGACAGCAAGTAAGGGATGCATTTTGTGTGTTGGAAAGCACTATGCACAGGAACTATCCCAAAGAGAAAAAATCACATTCTCCTGTATTAGAGCCTTCAGCCCAGCTACTAGCACAGGAAACCAAACATAAATGCTCTCAAAGACATTATTATTTACTATTATACTTATTTAAGTAATAAGGTAATGTAACAGTTCGGGGCGTTGTTCGTCCCGGCGCACAGCTAAAGATAAACTACTGCCTCAAGTACCTTATTGCTTTTATAATACGGTTACCAGAGAAATTATAAGTAATAAGTAAATAGCTGCCTTTCAGCACAAAATAGGTCCAGCCACCACGTTGTGTATCTCATTTCAGTAGTCTAGAGAGAGAAAATAGTCCCTGTACGTAAACAGCATTGGGTCACGCACCATCTCATTCATTCACATCGCTCATGACGTCCCCGTTAGTTGTCCAGTTGCGAAAGCTGGCGTTGCCCCGAACTGATAATTTGTGTGATTTCCATTTTTTTTGGGGATCGCCACCGAGTTAAAAGCTAAAATGTCAACTAACAGTCGCGCAAAATCTAACCTGTTACTTTGAGTGCGCAGTGATACGGAACGCTCGGGTCAATGTGAACAGCAACTGTACATTATCGCTCAATAATGTCCCCTCGTGACTCACTTTCAACCAATCAGAACGCTGGATTTCATCTACCCGTATTACAATTGTTTTATTGTTAATTACTAAGCAATACTTCGACTGAGACTTGACATTTCACATCCTCATTTCTGCTCTTTTTGCTTTTGCGTTCCCTCTCATACCCACAGTGTACAGGCCATCTTTCCGACTCCAGATCCGGCCGCGCTAAAGGACCGGCGAATGGAGAACCTGGTGGCCTATGCCAGAAAGGTTGAGGGAGACATGTATGAGTCAGCCAACAGTAGAGTAAGTTGCTCTCTCCTTTTCAGCTCAGTGTGTTACAGAAAGGAAGGGGGAGACTGCTGGGAGGTTTTCCTGTCATTTTGCAGCTGAAACCAGCCACTCAAAACTAAAGAAATGCACAGTTGTTAGACCTAGGTAAGAAACCCATAGCTTATGAGCGTAACTTGAATTACCTCAAGTTTACTGCAGCAGATAAAACATCTCCTGTTTGCTATACTGCTGTAGGTCCTCCAAAACGATTACTGCCGTTTTCCATTTCAACTTTAGTTTTTCAACTACTACCTACTACACCTACTGCTCCTCCATGTTTCCCCCTTTGCCGCGTTTTACTTATTTCGTTGCCCTCTTCTTTGAACAGGCGGAGTACTATCACCTGCTAGCGGAGAAGATCTACAAGATCCAGAAGGAGTTGGAAGAGAAGAGGAGGACCCGGCTTCAGAAGCAGGGTCTGGGCCTTGGTCCTGCCGGCATGGGCCAGTCCCCCACTGGACTGCCTCCAAGTGAGTGGACATGTAGCATATGTGGACTTTGATGAGCTAACGTTCAACATAAAACTCCTGCGTCATAGCTTGTTAAACGCTGAACACGAGAGGGGGAGTTAACGTGAATTCCTTTTCGTCATAGTTAATTCTTAACTTAAGTAATACATGTGCGTTCTTCTCTGTGGAGTAGTATTAGTCTGTATGTTCTTTGGGCTGGTTTAATAATAAGACTTTATATTATAAAGTAACTGCCCCACGGATCTTTTTTTTGAAAGAATCTCCAGCTGACTCTTTTCAGTCATTTGTTGCCACACAAGTCCAAATCCCACAAATCTTTTCTCAACAAAACCAAGAAAAGGATGAATAATTCCAGCGTTTTTCTGACTTTTTTCGGAATTCCACATGCTTGATTTTTAAAAATCTACCATCTCTATTCTTACAGACGGCCCCCTCTCTGACCCATCAATGGTGCGACCACCTGGACCAAATCAGATGGTCAACAGGATGCAAGGGCCAGGTAAACAGATACTGAGAATCAGGGGACTTTGAACAATATTTGATCACTTTTTATTGTTGTACCAACAATACAAGATTTAAGTCAAGGACACGGGAAAGATCTCACAGGAATGGTATACCAGTCCTTTTCTTTGTGCTGGAGTTGTCTGCATTGCATTCAGGACACACTTACATAACAACATGTGTACGTCCTGCTCATGCATGAATCGATTTAAGAACAACATAATTATGTCGTGTGGTTTCCGAATCAAATGTCATGTGTTAACTCTCTTTGTCAGGTATGAATCAGTTCAATCAGATGGGGATGCAGTCTATGGGCCAGAGGTCAACGCCTCCTCTCCCCATGGGAGGATGTGGGAACCAGGTCAGTCCTGAACACACTCAATACATCATATGATCTTTTAATGTGCCCATAAACTGACAATGAAATTCTTATGGACAGTTCCATTGTTTCCACTAAAAATAGATATTCAAAATCCACCAGGACAAAAATCAGCCATTGCCGATGTAGAATGAATTAAAGAATTAATCTTCAATCTCTCATCTTAAAAAAATGCTTCTTAAACCACTTAAATGGTTTGGTAGAAAAAAGTTTCATCAACATGTGTTAACCCTTTCCCGTGGCCTTTGATACCTCTAGATCGCAATGGCCGGACCCAGGATGGGGCAGCCGAATGTCAACCAGCTGCAGAACCAGTATCTGTCCCAGGGACAGTTTCCTGGGTCTGGAGCCGGGACTCCTCAGCCGGGGATGGCTCAACCTGGAGCACCAACAGGCATGCCACAGGTAAAGGATCAGAAGCCCCTTTCACACAGACATTCTGCAGTAGTGCCGTAAAGAAGAACTATTGAGAAGATACAGTTACCATCAGTAGATATTATTATAATTACCTCCAGCAGAGTATTTGAATTAATGTTAATCATAGTTCTTGGACAGCACTGCCTAGGTACCCAGTGTAGCGACTGAAAACTAGTGTTCATAAAATACATAAGAAATGCCTAAAATTCATGGACTTGACTAGAGCGTGAAAACAATTGACAAATATCGTTTATGGTCTTCTTGAACTATGCACATGTTTAAATAACCCTCCTCTTGTGCTCTCTTCAAAGACGCAGATGGGCACTCCTCCATCGCTTCCCGTTGCTAGTCCTCTAGCACAGCCGGGTTCAGCCGGTGGACCCAGTGGTGTCCCCTCAGTGGGGCCCATGGGTCCTCAGAGCGTTGGTGGCGGAGGTCCCAACTCAGTTGGAGGACCCCCTGCTTCCTCCATGACTCCACCAAATGCAAACCAGCAGCCCAACTCCATCCCCCATTTGGCAGCCATGCGTGGCTCACCGTCCCCGGCTCACAGTCGATCTCCTACTCCTCACCAAACCCCCCCGAGACTAGCCGGGTCCCAGACCCCACAGCCCCACACCCCTAACGCACCGCAATTGGGTCCGCCCTCAGCCCCCCCGCAGAGCCAGCTTGGCCAGGGCCCCGGCTCCAACAAGCCGCTCCATCAGCAGCACATGGGGTCCGCTGGTTCAACCACTCCGTCTCACCCTGGGTTGTCCTCCAGCTCCACGCCGCACGGTTCTCAGCTGCCCCGCACTCCGGTCAGTGTGATTTAGACTTTTAGACACTTGAACGCGTAAACATTGAAGACCATCTCATTTTAACCCTTAGATGCACAAGTGGGTCAAAAATGACCCGATGAGGTTGTTTTCTTGAAATATCTTCGTAATGAAAAATTGTTATCATTTCATATTCCAGGTATTCCTCAAAAAACATGTTTTTGATATAATTCCATTTACATTTTTAACTTACCTGTTATACATTTTAAGAAATTGTAGTTTTTGTATTACTACCCCAAGCTTCCATAATTGGGTCAAAAATGCCCCGCATGCATTTTCTATGGAATCCAATGGGAACCTTTGATTCTTATCAACTGTGGCTGTCAGGAATACATTTGACTGTGGACCACCCAGACTATATCAGAAGTGTCAACCCTCAGGAAGATTGTTTTCGAACAGCTTGTGCCATTCAGGGGTAGGTGCAAGTTTCTATAGTACATGCCAAGCAAGCCCGCCAAATACGGCCTAAAGATCTTATGGGTTTGTGATGCACGCATCCCCTATGCAATAGATGGTATAGTTTACACGGGGAGACAACCAGGGGAAGAAGTTCAGAAGAATCTGGGGGAAAACATTGTCCAGAAGTTGTGTAGTAGATTTAGAAACACAGGTCGCAACATCACCATGGATAACTTTTTCACCAGTGTGCCTCTTGCGCAGCATCTCCTTGAGAAGGATCCCACTATTGTGGGGACTCTACGTCAGAACAAGCCAGACATCCCTCCTCTGATGAAGCCTTCCAAGTCCAGGGAGGTTCACAGCAAAGAGTTTGGATTCAACGACAGCCTTACCATGCTTACCAAACCATGTCAGCTTTGTCAGAAAGAAAGGACAAGATGTTGTGCTCCTAAGCACGATGCACCACGACAAAGAAGTGGATGAAAATAGCAGAAAGAAAAAAAACAGAAGTGATCACATATTACAACAAGACGAAAGGAGGTGTAGACACCACTGACCAGATGGTTGGCACCTACACCTGCAAGCGCCAAACACAGAGGTGGCCCATGGTGCTGTGGTACAACATAATTGACATCGCCACCCTGAATGCCTACACCTTTTTCACGGCTCAGCACCCAGAATTCAATGCACGACGGCTCTTCCTCAAAGAGCTCTCAAAGGAGCTTGTCACACCACACATGAGGAGTCGACTGGAAGGCTGCCCCCAACTGCAAACCCAATTCTTGAAGCAATGGAAAGGTGTGGGGTGACAAAAGCCACAACCCAGCCACAGGAAGGAAGCAGACAGGGCCAACCAAAGAGAAAGAGGTGTCAGATCTGCCCAAGTAACAAAGATCGCAAAGTCAACAATAGGTGTGGGAAATGCAATGTACCTGTGTGCAATGATCACAGCCAGAAACCGGTAGTTTGTCTGAACTGCATTCAGTGATGTCTCATCAGACATGAAATCATTCTTCTGTGGTCCTAAATATAATACTAAATATTATATTAGTGATTATTCTTAACCAAAATGACAAAAAATTGCATAAAAACACATAGATTCTAATATGGGTCATTTTTGACCCACTTATGGAAGAGTGTAGGGTCCAGTCACTCGTGCATCTAAGGGTTAAGACCAGTTCACCGTATTCCATTGATCACATAACACTAACCAATACCCCTCAGGCGTCTCCACATATGTCTCCACATATTGCTTAGTCTTTATCACCAGACCAAACGTTTGAATCCTTGTTGGTGTCTGGGTTTGTTTGCTTTATCTGTTTAGCTTTTCAAAAGTGAACCTTTTTTATCTCATCAGTCACGTTATTTAATTGCGTTCAATTCAAATTTCAATTCAAATCTTCACTATTTCCATACAGCTTAGTTTTGTTTTGTCTCTTTCTCCAGTTGTCCCAAAAGGGTTCGTTTCCAGCAGACAGTCAGGCCCATACTCCAGCCTCTGTCAGCAGCCTGGACACTTCGTCCCAGCAGCCCCAGTCGAACGCTTCAACCGCCAACCTCGACCCCAAGATGGAGGTGAAGCAGCAGGATGATGAGGACGAGAGCGACAGCGGCAGCTGCTCGAAAGGAGGAAAGCTCAGTAACCTCAAAACGGAGGAAAAGCCTGTAAAATTAGAGGTGAAAAAGGAGGAGTGCTATGATGAGGGAGGTAAAGGGGTTTCCATGGATACATCAACGGCGATGCCAACGGCAAAAATCAAGACTGAAGACAGGAAACTGGAGATAAAGAAGGAGGAAGACGATACCTCAGACTCATCTTCAACACAGGCCTCGGTGAAAAAGAAAAGTGAGGAGGACTTAAGTTCTTACTTAACTGCTAATATTACATGCTTAGAGTAAAGCTCACACAAAAATGGTCATAGAATTCAAAGGTATCAAAACATTTTCAATCACTTTTTCATCCCATTCACCTTTCTATTTCCTCCCAGTCTTCAAGCCCGAGGAGCTTCGTCAGGCCTTGATGCCCACACTCGAATCTCTCTACCGACAAGATCCAGAGTCGCTGCCCTTCAGAATGCCTGTGGACCCACAAATGCTGTGCATACCTGTATGTGTCCCTCTGAGCCTGAGATGTGTTTGTTTCTGTGCCTTGTATAAACTGCACGTTTGCCAAAGTTTGCCAAAAGTTTAAAACTTGCCCATTGGTTTCTTTCAGGACTACTTTGATATTGTGAAGAACCCTATGGACTTGTCTACTATCAAACGAAAGCTGGATACAGGTTTGTACAGACACAACAAGGTTTGGTCTTTCCTGAGAAATATAATGGACTACAAGTAGATATTAGATGGATTCAGCAACGTGTTTATGCGCAGGCAAGAATATACAGTTGACTTTTTGTTTCATCCTATCATGCCCTGTTTGGGTTGTAGGTCAGTACCAGGACCCTTGGCAGTATGTGGATGACATCTGGGTGATGTTCAACAACGCCTGGCTGTACAATCGCAAAACATCCAGAGTCTACAAGTACTGCTCCAAGCTGGCCGAGGTTTTTGAGCAGGAGATTGATCCCGTCATGCAGAGCCTTGGCTACTGTTGTGGGAGGAAGGTGAGACGGGGCTGGATTAATGGCTACACGGGTTGCCACCATTAGGTGTGTTGGTGAAGGGACGACGTAAACAAAAATAAAGTCTTAATGTTCAAGTTAAGAAGGAATGTTAACGTTTAAAGACGACTTCTGGTTTTATTTAACATCGGTTGATTTGCCTTAATATAAATATGCATTCACACTTGTCGGTACTCTTTTTGTGCCCATTCTACATTTTGTCTGAAGTTTCAGTGGTTGGCCCTTATTGCGAGAGGCTTAATGAAGGGCCGCTTCTGACAAAGAGGGGAAAGTAGCACCTGGAAGTTACAGTAGCTTTAATGACTGAGAAAAGCTGGAATGAGCTCAACTCCCCTGACGGGAGCAGTTTCACAGCTTTAATGTGGGATGTGTTTATTTCATCACACACTTTGCAATGTTCACTGCCCAATCAATATTTGAGACACAGAAATTACCATCAACCAACCAATCAATCAATCAGCCAGATCAACACACAATGCTACATTTACTTTAACCACCTTTATACTATAAAAGTTTATACCGTTTTGTGATATTAACACAATTCCGAATTAAGTTAAAAAATGACAAGTTGTGTTTGAAGTAAGTTCACTTTAACCGTATTGTGGTCGTACTGCCATTGCGGTCAATGTAAACTAGCCTTGATCAGTTGAGGTGGGTGTGACTGAAGTTTTGTTAATGGTCAACTGATTTATTAAGTTCTATAACCATTTTTTCTTGTTTTCTTCCATCAGCTGGAGTTCTCTCCTCAGACACTGTGCTGCTACGGGAAGCAGCTGTGCACTATTCCCAGAGATGCTGCTTACTTCAGCTACCAGAACAGGTATGGAGGGAGAGAAATGTCGGTGTAACAAAGGGTGACGGGTGACTAGATGCATGAATGGATTAGTTGAAGAGGAAGGGCTTATAACAGATGATTTGAGGAAATAAGACTACCAATCACAGAAGCGTACGTTGAGCTGAGTGGACCTGAGGCAGATTAGTGTTCAGCTGATACATATTGTTCCTCCCTTCACTTAACGTTTCCCGTTGTATACCCTTCAGTGTGGTGCCTAAAGCACAGGCATTTTAACAGTCGGTCTTCTCGCATTCGTGGTTCTTGGTGTCAGTAAACCATCAATAACAAATACCGCCCCACAGAATGCTTGAAATGTTTTAAAGGAAGAAATTGGCTGTTTGTGCTGTTAATTTACATATATTGAATTTTCATGGGCACCTTTTTTGAGAAAGAAGCGCCAATTATGCCAAAATGCTCCCAGTGCGGTGGTCCGTACCTTTTCAGATTCCACACATCTTTCATTGATTTTTGAAAATTCTTCCTGTCGGATATCACACACCCATGGAAACCTTGTTGGAATGTGAAAGGACCGACTTCAAAATGAGCGAACAGTTGTCTGTGCTGCTTTGTTCAGTGTCTGTATTGCGTCCTGTTAGCCTCACGTTTAGCACCGGTTGACTCTGCTCCTGCTCTGTTAGCGTAGCGGCGGTCGTTGCTGCTCATCCTCTCATGTCTAAATTGCTAATCTGTGCTTTGCCTCGGCTCTCTGCTGCGCGTTGTCTTGGTTTTTTGTCTTGTCCTCGCACCATTTGACCCGTCTGTCCTCCCTTGCAATGGCTGTGTGATACCAACATTGGCTTGCTTTTGCCTTTTTAACAACCATGCGCTTCCAAACCCTCCCCCCACCCCCTCCCCCTCCCCCCTCTCCACTCACCCCTCCAAATCATGACCGGCCGTTGCGATGACGACTTCCTGCTGCCCTGCGCTCCCTCTTCCTGCTTGCCCCGCTTGTGGCGCCCTGCCTTGCCCGTACGCGGTACCACTTGGTGACTGCCCTCCCGCGCGCTGTCTGTGATTGACTGTGCTGCGGCGGACGGTGTAGTTCACCAAAATTTGGGCTTGTTGCTGACAGGTACCACTTCTGCGAAAAGTGTTTCAACGAGATCCAGGGAGACACGGTTTCCTTGGGCGACGACCCCACCCAGCCACAGACGTGAGTATCAGTCTGTTCCATGAGCATGCTACTAAAGTTGATCGAATCTATTGGCTTTGTGGTTTTTAAAAATATTTCCACCGATTCTTAAAATCCTATTGGACTGTTTTACAGTAGGTAAAAAAGAACATGTCTTTGGAAAATTATCCTTTTGTGAATTTGTCTTAACTGTTGCAATTTCAACAGAATCAAAAGAATTGAAAAACATAAGCCGTGCAGCATTAAATGTTGGATTTAGAATTTAACATTCAATGTTATGAATAAAGCTTTAGACCATTCGGTGAAGCTCTAGTGCAGACTGGCTATTTGTTCTTCCTCCTTTCATACTCCCTCTTGATTCATTTCAGATCAATAAACAAGGAACAGTTTGAGAAGAAGAAGAATGACTCACTGGACCCCGAATTGTAAGTTAACCGTCTACCATTGGTCAAATCTATTTTCATGGATTTAAGAGGTTAACTAGTATCTTCACCTCCCTCCCTCCCTCGCAGGCTTGTTGAATGTTTGGACTGTGGGCGCAGGATGCATCAGATCTGTGTGTTGCACCACGAGACCATCTGGCCGTCGGGGTGAGCAGCTATACGTTAAATTCCAGTCTTTGTCAATGGGAAAGTCCTCATGTCTTTTAGTCATTTTGTTTTTTTAAAGTTAAATAAAATGTCTCAACCTTTTTCTCCCCCATAGTTTTGTATGTGATGGCTGCTTAAAGAAGACAAACAAAACCAGGAAAGAAAACAAGTATTCTGCCAAAAGTAAGCGGCAATGCCTCTTTCATTCGGGAAACTGATGTACTGAACTTGTGACCTAAATCACGTGAAACTGCTGTCACACAATTCTCCCATGTTGTCACCTTTGCAAACTCAATGGAACACTTATATTCTAATTTGTCTCCCTCGTTTTTAGCAGCTCACTAAACTCAAATAACCAAATGCTTTGCTCTCCACAATTCAGGGTTGCCGCAGACAAAGTTGGGCAGTTACTTGGAGATGAGGGTCAATGACTTTCTGAAGCGTCAGACCCACACGGGCGCCGGAGAGGTCTTCATTCGCGTTGTCCATGTTTCTGACAAAGTGGTGGAGGTCAAACCAGGCATGAAGTCCAGGTACGGGAATGAATAGATGTATCAAAAGGTCAAGCCTGTTTCACCATTAACCACAATGTAGGATTGTAGATGTAATTTGTGGAAGAAATCAGTTTGCATTTAAAATCAAATATTTAATTGAGAACATGCTACAGAGCGAATAACTGACATTCTATTGATGCAGATATATTTTCTGATGCTTTATTTTACAGTCACTAAGTTTAGATGTTTTTATGGGGTTGTTTTTTCCTCCAGATTTGTGGACAGTGGAGAGATGTCGGAGTCTTTTCCATACAGGACAAAAGCCCTTTTTGCCTTTGAGGACATTGACGGATCAGACGTCTGCTTCTTTGGTATGCATGTTCAAGAGTACGGCTCCGACTGCCCTCAGCCCAACCAGAGGTAAGACCTCGCTACATTACAAACGCTAAAGGGGACATCTTTTTTACATCACTCATTAATATTTCCTCTTTCCCCCACTCAGGCGAGTCTACATCTCCTACCTGGACAGTGTGCACTTCTTCCGGCCTCGCGGCTTAAGAACAGCAGTCTACCATGAAGTCCTCATTGGTTACCTGGAATACGTCAGGAAGTTGGGGTGAGTGCTGCTGTTTCTCCCAGATCATTTGTTTTTGTCTGACTTTTTTGTCTGAAGTTGTTGTCTGACTTTTTTTCTATCACAAAGCTCACCTTTAGTCTGTAAATGAGTTTAGCTTATTGTGTTCCTCTCACATGTCCTCTTCAGCTACACCACTGGCCACATCTGGGCCTGCCCACCAAGTGAAGGGGACGACTACATCTTCCACTGTCACCCTGCAGATCAGAAGATCCCAAAGCCCAAACGCCTCCAGGAGTGGTACAGGAGGATGCTAGACAAAGCTGTGGCCGAGCGCATAGTGCACGATTACAAGGTAGAGAGTCCTGTATATGTTGGAAGAAGGCACCATTTTTTTTTACATTGAGGTGTGTATTTAGCACATCAATGAAGATGAAGTGTAAATGCATGTAACGTTAGTGCTGATAGGAATGACTGTTTTGGATACCGTGCTTGGGGGGGAAAAAGCCCCACTAACTTTATTTTCCAATTTACCCATATAGGATGTCTTCAAGCAAGCGACAGAGGATCGTTTGACCAGTGCCAAGGAGTTACCTTATTTTGAAGGAGACTTCTGGCCCAATGTGTTGGAAGAGAGCATTAAAGAGCTGGAGCAGGAGGAGGAGGAGAGAAAAAGGGAGGAGAACAGCACGTCGAATGAGAGTATTGATGTAAGACCGCTACGATATTGCTATACCGTATATATCTTGCTGTGTTGGGAAAAATGATTAGCATTGTGAAGCGAGGTCTCAGCAGGATGTAATCAGCTGAGCTTGTTTTACGTGATACTGATGTCCCCCTTCGTTCTTGTGCAGGAGACAAAAGGTGACAGTAAAAATGCAAAGAAGAAGAACAACAAGAAGACGAGTAAGAACAAGAGCAGCCTGAGCCGAGCCAATAAGAAGAAGCCAGGGATGCCTAATGTCTCCAATGACCTTTCACAGAAACTCTATGCCACTATGGAAAAACATAAAGAGGTAGGATTTTTATTTTCGTGTTTTATTTTAATAAATAGCTCATACCTGGTTTCAAAAGAACATTTCACACGGCCCTCATCTGTTCGTCTCTCTGTTTCCTGTTCTGTTCTAGGTGTTCTTTGTGATCCGACTGATCGCTGCACCCATGGCAAATGCATTGCCCCCCATTACAGACCCGGATCCCCTGATGGCATGTGACCTCATGGACGGCCGCGATGCTTTCTTGACGTTGGCCCGAGACAAACACCTGGAGTTCAGCTCGCTGCGGAGGTCCTTGTGGAGCTCCATGTGCATGTTGGTGGAATTGCATAACCAAAGCCAGGACCGCTTTGTCTACACTTGTAATGAGTGCAAGCACCATGTGGAGACTCGCTTCCACTGTACTGTCTGTGAGGTGAGTTGGGAAGGGCACTCCTGTTGTTTTGATATGTGGTAATAACTATGCACTTTATTGGACTGTTGGTGTCAATACAAACCCTGCTATCGATCGTCTAAACAACCATCCTTCATGCCTTCCCTCACAGGATTACGACCTCTGCATCACATGCTACAACACTAAGGGCCATATTCACAAGATGGAGAAGTTAGGCCTTGGTTTGGATGACGAGAGCAGCAACCAGTCTACAGCAACCACTCAGAGCCCCGGAGACTCCCGGCGCCTCAGCATCCAGCGCTGCATCCAGTCCCTCGTCCACGCCTGCCAGTGTCGAAACGCAAACTGCTCTCTGCCGTCCTGCCAGAAGATGAAACGCGTGGTTCAGCACACAAAGAGCTGCAAGAGAAAAACCAACGGGGGCTGCCCCATCTGCAAGCAGCTCATCGCCTTGTGCTGCTACCACGCTAAGCACTGTCAGGAGAACAAGTGCCCCGTTCCCTTCTGCCTGAACATCAAGCACAAGCTGCGCCAGCAGCAGCTACAGCACAGACTCCAGCAGGCCCAGATGCTACGAAGGCGGATGGCCAGCATGCAGAGGGCGGGTCAGGCCGCTCCGGGAGGGGCTCCGGGGGGCAACGGACTACCTTCCCCAGGAGGCAACAACGGAGCGACGGCTCCCGGTACCCCTACATCTGTGGGCACGCAGCCTGCGACCCCGCAAACACCCACCCAGGGGAACATGCCGGCCCTTGCTCAGCAGCAAGGCGTTGGGATGGGCGTAATCGGGGGTATGGGAACACCGGGCCAGCAACAGCAAGTTCAGCAGCAAGGTGGTGCAATGACCCCGCAACACCATCTGCATCAGTTTCAGCAGGTGGTTGGGGCAGGTGGAGGGGGGATGATGAACTCTCCTCAGCAGCAGATGGTGCCTCAGCTCCAGCAGCAGCTTCCCAATGTCCAGCAGCAGCATCCAGGTAGCTTGTCCCCATACAACCCCAGGCTGCCTGGGGCTCATCAGTCCCTGGGCAAACCTGGCATGGGTCCTGCCACTCCTCCGCAGCAGCAGCAACCCAACCAGGGCCAGGGGCCCATGCCTGTTCAAGGCCAGCAGCAAGGGCCCCCCCAGGCCGCTGTGGAGACGGCCCTAAAAATCCAGCGCCTGGCAGAGACCCAGCGGCAGATGGCTCAGATCCAGGCTCAAGCCCAGATACGCGGCCCTGGACAGGGGGGCATGATACCCTCTCATCACCAGAACACCCAGGCCCAGATGGGCATGGCCCACCAGGCCCAGGGGGTTGTTGGCAGGACTATGTTAGATCCTCAGCAACAGGGAATGCTAGCTGGGATGCAGTCGCAGTTGCCACCTCAAGTTCAGCAGCAGCTGGGTGGTGGTGTACAACTTCAGCAAGCAAACCAGCAGTGGGGGGCTGGCGGTCCAGCCATGAACCCACAGCAGAGAACAGGCATGATGGGGCACATGGCGCAGCAGCAGGCAGTTACACAGCAGCAAATGACTCAGCAGCAGCAGCAGCAACCAGGAAACCGCGGGCTGATGCAAGTGATGGGAGGATCAGCGGGGGCGCCTAACTCAATAGCAGCTGCAGCGGCATCAGGAAATCTCCCCCAGGCAGCACTACAAGACCTCCTGAGAACACTGCGCTCTCCGAGCTCACCCCTTCAACAGCAGCAAGTCCTCAACATCCTCCGTTCCAACCCCACCCTTATGGCTGCTTTTATCAGGCAGAGAGCCGCCAGATATCAGGGCGGTCAAGGTGGCCCCGGAGGAGCAGTAGGGCCTCCACAGGGGGGCCTTGGAGGTGTGAGGTTCCAAGGGGCTCCTGGAGTACTACCCGGTGCAGGAGGGCCTGGAGCTAACCAGCTTGCTAGTATTGATGGGCAACAGCAGGTTAATGTGAGTCAGCCAGGGATGAACATGGCTCAAGGTGGAGCAGGGGGAGGGAATATGCCCACCATGGCTCAGCTTCAGCAGTTGCAGCAGCAACAACAGCAACAACAACAACAACAGCAGCGCCCAATGTTGCCTGGCAATTTACAGCAACAGCAAATGGCTGCATTACAGCAACAACAACAACAACAACAGCAGCAGCAGCAGCAGCAGCAACAACAACAGGGAGCAATGCAAGTAGGGCAACAAGGCAACATTACCAGTATGACTCCGCAGTTAAGAGACTTGTTTATGAAAAGACAGCTGCAGCATCAGCAGCAACAACGACAACAACAACAACAACAACAACAACAGATGGGAAATCACGGACAGTTCCAGCAACCTCAAGGACTCCAGCAGCAGCAAGGTTTCATGCAGCCGGGCCAGGGACAGCCGGGCGTGGCGCCATCTTCCCAACCCCAGCTAGGAGGTGGAGGAGTAAGGGGCCCCCCGCAGCAGGGAGGACCACAAAGTGGGCCAGGGCAGCTAGTCCAGCAGCAAGGCTACTCCAACACCATGTCACAAGTAGCTGCAGCGCTCCACCAGAGGCTCCAGATGCAGATGCAGCAGCAGCAGCAACAACAACAGCAACAGCAGCAGCAGCAGCAGCAGCAGCAACAACAACAGCAAAATTCAATGGGTGCGCTTCAAGGACAAGACGGAGGGGGAGGCACGGCAGGACCCCCGCTCCAGTCTGGACAAGGCGGACCACAGCAACAAGGTAATGTGGGCGGAGGGGGAAGTGGTGGTGGGCCTTCGCTTCCACAGACGTCGCAAGGCATGCTTCACCAGAACATCCACCAGAGGCTGCTGCTGCAGCAGCAGCAGCAGCATCTCGGTGGGGGCTCTCCGGGTCAGCACAGCAGTCCCATGAGTCCACAGCAGCAGATGGCGCAGTCCCCCCACCCCCACATGCAAGGACAAGGAGGACTGGGTCCGGCAGGGTCGCTCAGCAGTCAGGTCAGGTCGCCGCAGCCTTCGCCAAGGCCACAGTCGCAGCCGCACTCCAGCCCGTCCCCGCGCATGCAGCCCTCGTCCCAACCACAGCCCTCGCCCCACCGCATCTCCCCGCAGACCCAGACTGGCTCACCCCACCCGGGCCTTCTAGGCCAACACCACCCCAGTATGGCGCCGCCGCAGCCACCACAACAGCAACAGCAGCCGGGCAGTTCTTTAGATGCCGGTCAGTTCAGCTCCGACCAGAACGCCATTATGTCCCAGCTGAGTGGGATGGCGGGGATGCACGGTGGGCAGGGGGGGCAGTCGGACATGTCAGGTGGGAATAATAATAACAACAGCAACAACAACAACAACAACCAGGAGCTTGGAACGAACAATAACCACAACAGTTTAGGCCACATGTAGCCTTGTTCCATCCTCTCTGCCCCGATGCTCTGATCAGACTTCTGCTTTGGGGTTTTAGAAGTTTTTATTTTTTATTTAAATATTTTCATGATATATGAATAAGAACTGAAGCTTCCTTCCTATGGGAGATGCGACATAAATCTTAGAAGTCAATAAATGAATAAATTAAAACAATGGTAAGTTATTGCTGTTAATATATATCTATATATTTTTGCCAATTGTGTACAAAAAGGTGGAAGGGCAGTGTTTCAGGTTGAAGATATTTCTTCCTTGGTCTATGAAACAATATTTTTGGGGGCTGAGAATTTTTGCCTTTTTATGAATATTTTTAAGATTTGAAATGTGGCTAAAAATTAAAGTTGACACAATGTACCTTTTTTATGGTTTTGTTTTCCTCCTCAAATACCCAGTCATAATTATGTATATTGCAGAGAGTAAGTCTATTTTATTTCTGAATTTATTGTTTATTCCTCTTCTTCCCTCGATGGATCGTCACAAGCGTCAACATATCTTCTGTTGCAGGGAATTATTTTTCTGAACAGTTTTGACATCGATGTACATTTTACAGTTGACTGCAACAACTCGTGTGTGAGTGTGTGTGTATATCTATACACACACAATTTATGTTATATGACGGGTGGGTGGGTGCGTTAAAATGCAGTTTAATTTTCACAGGTTTCTTAGGTGGTAGTTTTGTCTTTGTTTATTTTCACAGGGTTTATAGGTTGGATTAAACCTCAGTGTTTCGGTTCCAAGCGTTCTGCAAAAAAAGTGCAGATCAGCACAACAAATCTTTGCACCCAATGGGCCACCCTCCATGTCCTATGAATGTGCACATCTTCCTTAGCCCCCCCACCCACCCCCAGCTGGACTGTTGTTAGATGATCATTGGGCCCCCGTTTGAAAGGTTGCCCGTGTACATATATTACAACCTTGAGTATGAGCTGTGATGTGAAGATGTCAAAAAAAAAAAAAGTTGCCCATGTTTTTTGGGCTGCAGAGGTTTGACAAAATCCTGCCTGTATCCTGAAATCTCCATCCCACGGTTTCCCTTTCAGTACTTTACTCTTGCCCTTTGGTTCCTCATCCTCATGACTGCCCCCCCTTCTCCCCGCAACCGTTAATTCAATGTTCGTACTGTACAAAGTAAGAAATGGTGGACTTGGATAATGTCTTTTGTAATGAAAGTGAAACATGTAAAAACAAAACAAAAAAAAACAAAAAAACTGTACATACTTTAAATCCTTATGAGCAGATCAATTATTTTCTGCTGCTTGTTTGCCCTCTTGTTTGATTGGATATTTGCTGTATCTGTAAAAAAAACAACACAAAAGTACTCCTGAGCTACTGTACAGTATTGAGATTCTTTTCTAAAAGGTACAGTGTGGGGTGTAGTCGGTCACAAGCACCAATGCGCCTTTTCTGTGTATTTTTGACAAGGTTTTAGGGAGGAGTTATTGCAACGAGTCACACACCTGAACAATCTTTAAAAAGTTAGACGTGAGCCTGCACGATGTTGGAGCCGAGACGGGTCCACTGGCCGTGTGGTCTGAGAGTTTAAATTTGGTCATTTAGCTTTTTACTGAGAGGACTGACGACACAATATTCACATGCCCATTATTTTTCTCAAAAGCTTGGGCTTGCTGGGTTTGGGGAGGGGGTGCATAAGAACCAGGTGGCAATATATCTTGAGACTTATTTTATAAGAAAAAACAAGGAAAAACTGTCTTTTATATAAATATATATATAGATATATTATTTAATTTTATTTTTTGGAAATAAAACTTGAAGCTACAGGAATTATTAGATAAAACATGTTTTGTTTTGTATTAAAGATGTTCTGGTGATGCAAAAAGACACTGCAGACAGTCATTAGGTTTGCTCTGGGGAGGTTGTGGAGTATATTATACCATCCTTTTTCAGAAGTGTTTCATGTACATGAATATAGTTGTAAACATACTGAATCACTGTACAAACTGATGGCAACTGAACAAAATAGTTTTGTTAATCATTTCTTCTCCTAAAAAGAGACTGGAAATTAGACTATTTAAATATTTGTTTAGTATTCAAATGGAATCTTTGACCACTTTTTCGTTCCTCTTGTTAACAATTTTGGTGCTTGCTCAGAGAAAGCAAAAATAACTATTGCTCCATTTTCATTAGTTTCTTTTTTTTAAGTTATTTTGGTGGTCTGATTGTTTATTTGCCAATAAATTAATTGTACAATAAAGTATGTTTGTACCATTGGAAAAATACGCAACTGTTTTTCTCTTTTCTAGTAAGATATTTTCTGCAGCCGAATAAACAATTATGTGACACATTTGTGCATAACCCGCTGTTATTAGTACAAATTATCACATGATGTTCCCTTTTCTATTCAGTGAGTCACAAACCCACTGGTCTAAAGAACCCCCCCCATCACCTTTCCCCTTAGGAAGGATCAATAAGCAGCCAAAAAACAAGGGTTTAAAATATTAAACATTTATTTTAATATTACCATAGAAACGTTCTTTACAGTGACACTTGGTTCAGGGTTACATCACAGTAAAGTGCAAGGTTCTTCTCTCGGTGGAGACGGAAGCAACTTCAGGCCGCGTCGCATCGCCGCGCTCGCTTTGTCTTAAACCGTATAAAAACTATTCCGCTTGACAAATACACCGGTACCTTTACAGAATAAATATACATTCAAATCAACATAGAAAAATAACGACCCCAAAAATGACGTTTTACCCCCCATCCATCTTCTTCCCCTCTAAAGTCTCCTCGTATTTCAAGTGTTAATGGCATCATCGGAGGAACCGAATAAGCTGGGGGAGTAAAAGTGAATGTGTGTGTAAAGGATAGAGAAGGGGGGGTTTAGCCCTAAAAGCTCCACAGACAAAACAACAAAATGGTGCATCGTCAGGCACTTTGATCCCTTGCGGCTCCGCTGCCACACAGAGACAGTTGTCCTCTGCGTCCTCGGGGCGGATCACATCAGCCCCCGTGTGCACGGGGCGAAAGGCGTTCGGGCGGTTTTTATTTTAAGTCTGTCGATCTGCTGGTCAATTGATGTGTTCACTCATTTGATCGGTTATTGGATCGGTAATGTGCTCTTTATGCACATTAGTGCATTTCAGATAGAGAATTTCTCAGTTAGATTTACAAATATCTCATATCTCATTATTGAATTATACAAGGCTTGAACACTTGTACTAAAGTGCATCACAAGATAAAAGCAATCATTGGGGAAGAGTCTGAATTTTGTGTGAGAGTTTAGTATTTTAGTTTAGACGTAGTAGCATCACCTCATGTTTCAGAGATCTGACTTCAAAAGGAAGATTATCTTGCTGTTTGCATTATTGCATAACTACTATTACAAAGCAATTTAAATAAATACATATAAATGACATATCGTTTAGCTGTGATAGGTTAGTAACTGGACGTTTATATACCAACATATTGATATCTTTTATCGCGGTCTAACTCTACTAACAGGCTGCCGACAGCAAATACAGTACAAGCACATTGTTTCACATTACAGTCATCTGGTTTCTTGATTTCGGAGACAGCAGCCAGAGACCTCCGTGTCTCCCTCGCTCGACGTGCACTTTCTATTTGAAACGGTGTGCTACTTAATAACAAGTGCATTCAACTGATGATGGTGGTCAGCTACAATTGTCGTGTGAAATGTGCAATTGAACGCTTGTTTACTTTGCTCAATCTGACTTGGCAAATTGTGTCATTTGTGCCGACTGCACAAACTAATAATGCACCAGCGGAAAGCAAATAGGAAGACTGAAGATAACACGGATGGACTAAAGCAGGGCACCATTCATACAAATAAAAGTAGAAAAGGGCTTAATGAATGTCGCATGAGGAAGGAAGACCTGAAGAAATGGGAGTTTTGGGATCTTCCATCCTGCGTACGACCCGTCTGTCAGTGGTCTTTTCCACCCTGAGGGTACCGAGTAGTTTGCTCCTTCCCGAGCGAGAGGGAATAAAGGCACCAACGCCGCCTACGCCCAACCGCCTATCACGCACCGTGGTTAGCGTGGCCCCGCCCCCTCCTCTCCCATTCAGACGTCACGCGTCAGACCTACTGGCCCCAGTCTCTGAAGAAGCCCATGCGCACCCTCGACTCTCGGAAAGTCACGGTGAGGGAGTTGAGGGTGACGTCCGTGACCGTCACCTCCCCCGGGCCGCGGGCGGGCCTCCAGGCGCGGCGCGGCGAGGCCACCTCGTGGGGTCCGGAGGCGGGGCGGCGCTGGTCCGTCCTCTCCTGTCCTGGGTGAGACAGGGAGAGAAAAGACGGAGGAGGGCAGAGACGCCGTCGGACAGTGATTGCATCAAGCCCAATCCTGTGTGCGCGGTTATTGAGTTAACCGGCCTGCGTGCATCGTCTCCGCTCTGCAGGACGGGATGTACGCACAGAGCAGGCTCTCTGGCTGCAGGAGCAGGCGGCCCTAAGCGGCCCTCGGCCTCACAGTCGGCGCGCCACGTCGCCGTTTGGCGCCTCACCTTGCATTTTACTCCCATCTTGCAACACAATCAATGCCTATCGGCTTAAATTGACATGCACAAACACATTTTGTAAGGAGTTTACAACTTATATTTGATCAGGATGAAGGAAGCGCCATGTGGTGTTTTTCTTTTAAATGCGCGCCGGGTGAAAAGAGCCCGTGCACGTCTACAAGGCTCACGCGCAGTCAAGTAAACTGGGTCGAGCCGGCGATTAGAGTCCACCGGCTGACCGACTGACACACTTACCATTTACAGTGCCTCCACTGTTCTCTGTCTTCTGCTTTATAGCTTCTTCTTTCTCCTGCTCCTCCTCCTCCTCTCTACTTTCTACATCTTCCTCCTCTTCCTCTTCCTCTTCCTGCTCCTCCTCTTCCCAGTCCTCGTGCGAGGGACTCGGAGGGTCCGAGTCGAGGCACGTGTACTCTCCATGAGCCGGCCGCCCCTCGTCCCCGTCGTCGGGGGGCAGGGAGCGCGTGAGGGAGAGACGCAGGCGAGGCGGCGGCTGCTCGGGGGGCTTGTGAGCGCTGCGGAGATCCATGGTGAAGACGGTATCCTGGATAGAGATCCAAGGGAGGACGACGGGGAAATGTTAGTTGGATTTCAGTGGCACAGTTAAAAATTCTGATTGACTACAAGGGGTGATAGAAAGAAAAGAAACCTAGTTTTATCAAGTATAAAGTAACGCATGGCAACTAGACAAAACTTTCACGCTTCAATTCTTGTTTTTTCCATTGAACGCCAAACTTTACCTGCAGGATGAGTCCTTTGGCTTTGGATCCTTTTCTCTTGGGCCCCAGAGTTCTCTCTCTCTGCTCTCTGAAATGGACCAGCATGCAGTTTAAAAAACAGGGACACGGCATTCTCTGACCGGGTTAAGAGCGGTATTCTTAGGCTCTTCAAACACTGTTTGTGTCGTGGTCTTTCATTGGATATCCAGGAAGACAAAGCGGTCCCATAACAGTTCCCTGAGGAGCTCCTGCCCCACTGGTAGCACCATGGAACACCTTTTTTCCCTCATGTGTCCCTGCTTCTTCAGCTTTTATCATACAGGAGGCACGCTAACAGGTACACGTGTTCGCCAACAAGGCCAGTGTCAAAATGCAAAAGCCTTACTTCTCTTCATAGGCCTGCACCAAGCGCTGGTCCAGAATGTGCTCCTCCGGTTCCCATGTGCTGTACCTGCGAGAGGTCGCAAGAATGGGTTTGATCTGTCAATGCAGGGTTGACCAACGCGGTTGGTGACAGCCGGAGCATATTAGAACACGTTTGTGACGGTTACATGTTCTATCAGCCCTTCAGGTGAAATTGACATACTTACTTTGGAGGCCAGCCTTTCCACTTCAACAGATATTCCACATTCCCCTGTAAAGACACGCCGCGTGTGAGTGGTATCAGACAAGAGGTTCATTCTGCAGTCTCAGTACTATCATCATTCTCCCAATGACACTTTCTTTGCAGATGTTGGCGATCCTACATGTCTCTCTTTGATATATACTTTTTTTATCCTGCGGCAAGTCAACAGACAGTGTGGTACAGTACCTCAGACCCCTCAGATTGGAGTTCGATGAGGGTAGTCAGGCTGCAAATACCCCATCACTGGACCCAGTATGAAGGTATATTTTGCAATGCAAGAAATTTGCCCTCAAAACTGTTTTTTTCTTTGCATAATACAGACGCAAATATAGCTTCATAACCTTGCAGGGTGGTTCATCTCGCTGATGGTGGGCCGGACGACAATAAAAAGTTGCTGTAGGTCACATCGCATCTCTATTTGATGTCTATATTCCATCATATTCTTGCTGTTGATTGGAGCGCACGTGTAGGAGGGAGTTTCATGCCATCAGACAATATCCGTACTTGAGCGATGATGTGAAATGTCCAAGTGTGTTTTCCTGTTACAAGCTGGGGCCACTCAGAGTGAGTCATCCGTGGTGGTGACGTCACCCCAATAACAACTTCCAAGCTCTCAAAGCTATTCTCAGCGGGTAAAGTCGCCCCTTTTCCCGACTTCAGTTTCCCCTTTTACAGGAAATTGGCTTAAAACGAAGAGGCCACATCCTCCATAAGCAATGTAGGTTCAACTGTAAAGCATCCGTTAGGGCAACTAGTGATGAAATGTCACCTGTAAACAGAAATATAAGGGTTGAACCTGACATCCTATTAGTGAGTATCAACGTGAGCTGACATGTTTGACACGTGGATGGACAGATATTGTCCACTGTGGTTTTAACATTGGCCTCTGTATATTCTGCCTACCAACTTTCACTCTATACCCAATTATTCATGAAGCTTAAACTCAAACCGCTGATCTTTTAGACAAATGAGAATCGGGTGGATCTCAATCGTAAACACCAATAAAATAGAGCATTAGTGGCATCCTTCTGCTCCCTGTGATTACCTCATTTATCAAGCAAACACGCCACATGCTTACTGAGTGTGAGGATCGCAATGATTTCACATACTTGCTAAATTAATTATTTTCTGTTTTGGGTTGGTGGCAAGATGAGATGAAAAAAACAAAACAATAGTCCAAAGTAACTAATAGTATATTGCAGGATATAAACCCATCACAGAAGCAATAAAAACTACTGGGGTCAGGATTTCAAGCTGCGCAACTGCATCTGTCATCAGCATATTTATATATATATATATATATATATATATATATATATATATATATATATATATATATAACGGGCCCACAACGTCTGCTTCACCGCATCGTTCATAACACCCATAATGCCCGTTTAACCCAACACGTGCCAACACATGCGATGACAACACCTCCACCCCTCACCTCCTCCCCCCTCTCCATCACCTCCTCCCCCCTCTCCATCACCTCCTCCCCCCTCTCCATCACCTCCTCCCCCCATACCGGCTGACTGGGTCGTATTAGGTTCACCTTTTTAACTCTTTTCCTGACGATCGACTCCACGGCGAACACTTGCTCTCCAATCGCCGACAGCTCCATGTCCGCGCGCGCCACGACGCTTCCGCTCGTGACAAAAGTGACGGCGGCTTTCTCCGGTGCTGACCGCGCTGACGTCACCCGGTTGCGTCCCTCCCTCCGGGCGGCCGGCGTGTGCGAGGGCACGTTTGCCGACTCGCTTCAGAGGGGTCAGTGCGCGCGCCCCGTGACTTCTACAGAAATCTGCGACACATCTGCACACCGCTTTGCGCGCGCCCGACCCCCAGAGCGCGCGCTCCCTTCCAAGGACCCGCTGGCTGCTCGATCTTCACGGTGATGATGGACACCGACAATAAAATACATACTGTTACAGGTACAAGTAGAACGTATCAAGAACGCCCCTTGTAATTGATGCGGGCCTATTATTATTATTATTATTACAATTATACATTAGTACCACTATCGATTGCAGTGTTTCACAAGATAAATCCAATGGGTTTGGGATACTTTTGCTTCATAATGCTCAATTCAAATTCACCTTATGGAATAAAACCACTCGAAAAGCTTTTGACAAATGACCCCAAGCACACATTTATAGGGCTCACAAGCCAAACATTATTAAACCACTATATATTTCACAATAGTATTGTATCTTGAATGCTTCTCGTATTTTATCTATGTGTTATGTTAAAAGGTGTAAATACTTAAGTAAAAGTGCGAGAACCTCACAATTCTACTTGAGCTGATGTGCTGAATTACTTTCCACTACTGACCAGAAAAGGTTGGACAAAAAGAAAGATCGATCCATTCGGCTTCGTGTTCTAAAGAGACACCTTCAATGCAAATAACGACACATTTAACACGCACACACCGTAGCTTATACATAAAGTGCCAATAAAAGCCTTTTTATTTCTATGCAACAAAAAAAAAAATACAGTGACAATCAGGACTCCTTAAGTAGGATGAGCTGGATGGATTGTCGTGGCAGAAAAAGCACACATTGAAAGTGATTGTGCGACACTCGTTGCGATGTGAGTCGGTCCAAAAATTCTCAGTGAATTAACGGCAGCCTCTCTGATGTGTTGATTGTGGGTTCCCTCGGATACGATACGACATAAAAGGCCTGCAGATTTTGGGTGGGAATCAAAGTGCGTCATTTATAAATAAGACATGCGCCGTTATGAAAACATGTTATCTTTATAAAACCATACTATTTCAAACACATAATAGTAACATAACGTAAAGCCCTTAGCTGCAAAAGTGAACAAATTATACTTGAGGAGCTTCATCGGTTTCTGTTCTACAACTTGGTGCTTTGGAATAAATCTCTTGAAATGGCATCAAACTGCACAGCGCCTCTTAATCTTTCAGAGGAACCATTCTTTCTTTTTATGTAAACAAGTTAAGGCCAATATTGTCTTAAAGAGACAATACATACAGTATTAACAGTTTCCCTTAAACTGATAGATTTGAAAGCTACAAACAGTGGAATCTCTCATAAGGCTCGTTTCAAACCGCCCCTCGCCTCACTCCCCACCTCGGCGTTCTCCTTTTCATCCCACATTTCCTCCTCGTCCCCTCGTCTACGCGAGTCACACCGCTCTCCCTCCTCGCCAACGGACAACCTCCCTCCGCTCAAAACTTCTCACACTGAGAGCAGACGCTTAGGGACCCCCTGCCGAGGGGCAACCGGGGACTCGCTGTCAGACGAGGCGGGTCCTGCTCCTGTGCTACGGGGGGCTGCTGTGGCCCCTCTGGACCGGTGTGAAGCCGTGAAGAATACCACAGCGAACACATATCCTCCCCCCCCTGTGGCGCGTCCTTATTCTGCACGTTGATGTGGTGCTTTTTAACATCCACTCATATCGACCGTTTAGATTACAGTTGAACTCAAAGATCATTTGATATCCTTTTTTTGGCGTTAAGTTCCAAAGAACCTCAAGCTGTAAAGTAAGATTTCAACAAACCGTTACGTTCATTAGGGATTAATTTCACAATTAATCAATGTCAGTAATGTCAATAAAATGTCAGACAATTGTGATGAATAAATATCACAACGTTTCATATTGAAATAGCTTGTTTTGTATGACTTGTAAAAGCCAAATATGTTTAGTTTAATATCCCAAGTGAGAATTTTGGCAGATTTCTTTGTGTTTACAGTTAATAGATTCAGAATAGTTGCTAAGTTTAACACTGGAAGGAAGCTTGAACATCTACATTTCCATGGCAACTGAGCCGGATTAGACAGGTGATGACTTTGAAATGAGACGTTTGACTGTTTTTTTCATTGATGTCACTTGGTAACTCAAAGTACGCCCAATTTCTGTCATTTAGTAAGTTTGATTTTCTCAATGATTTAGACAACAGGTATTCTTATCGCCATAATTTGACTGATCTAATGTTGAATGTGTATCATTCCACGGAATGACAGAATACGTTAGTATTGCATTACTGCCTTCGATGTCAAACACTCCTCATTCCTACTAAGTAATTATTTGAACAATTTACAAAGAAAGCTGGGTGAAGGATGCTCACTCTCTCCTTGAGAGGAAACGAGGGATAGCATCCACTAGATGGAGTGCTTAACCAGGGCGTTGCATTGCTGTGTTGCATATAAAACTGTTGCGCGTGTGTGTGTGTGTGTGTGTGTGTGTGTGTGTGTGTGTGTGTGTGTGTGTGTGTGTGTGTGTGTGTGTCTCTCGGTACAGTATAGGCTCAGACTGTGTGTTTGCTTAGTGGATGAAATACAAAGTCGGCATTGTGATGCATCACTGATTTTGACCTGTGATATGAAAAGAGGGGAGGAGTGAGATGGAGTCACACCGAGGCAATCAAAAGGGCACGCTGTGGTGAAAATGAAGGAGGGGGGTAACTGACAGACGGGGGGGGGGGTCAGGTGAACATCACGATGGGAGCAGGAAGGATCCCCAAGGGAGACGGCACATTAACTCAGCAGTGAGCTCCCATGGCTTTGGAAACTGGTACAAAGAAGATGAAAAAAAGAAAAAACGGACATTGAAAAATAGTCAATATATATATATATGTAAATGTATATAAAACATAATAGCAGAAACATAATGGTAACGTCTTACAAGTCTTAACTGCGCTGTGAGTAAAGTGTTTGCTTCCTTCATTGCTTTGCATCCTCTCAGATAAGAGTCCAGCAATGGCTGTGTAAACAAAACCCCAAAAAGTGGGACAAAAAAGATCTGCAACTGTGCGTCCATGCGATTGGCTGTGCACAACTTTACTTCCTCTCCCGAAACATTCCGTAATTGGCCCACCCTTGGCCCCCGATGGCTGCCTCGACCCTTAGCCGTCAGACCGCCATGCTTGTTGTGCCTCCACTTCCTCTGAGACGACCAACAGGAGTTCACAGTTCTTCCCTCGCAGCTGCTGGCGTAGAAACTTCCTGGTTGTGATGTGATAGGATAGGTAGATAGGACAGCCACAGTTATGACGAGGAAGGGCAAGACCAACTACTCTCTCGTATCAATTTCTGTAAAAAATTGTTATATATATATATATATAAACAAACAAAATGGCAAACTCTATAAACACATGGGCAATATTTAAAGCGATTAATGTGAGATTAATGCAACAGAATATTTTAACACGGTTAATGTACGTTTGCGTAAATGAAAGCTGCAGTCAGTTACATCAAGATGGAGAGAGCTTTTTGCACACAGCAGAGGAATTACTCAGAGGGGGCAAACGTAGCACTTACACCACCACTGTGATAAGTTAGCTGATAGGCTAAGCTAGCTGCTATGCTACTTCCATCTCAACATCTAACGTTACTCTGCGCGGCACAAGTCTGCAGAGGACCACCACTGTGTCATTAAAAGAAGCTGTGGGGAGATTGTTGGCACACAAACACAGTTGAAAGTCAATTGATGAGGAGTTGAGGGCAAAGTGCACGAGGACAGGAGACAATATGTTCAACGTGTTCCACCCGGTGGAATTCTGCCTTGAAGATGATGTGTGTAGTTTTGTGTTTAAAATAACATTAACAATTAAACAACATTGTCTAAAATACAGGCTTTGTAACACTCATTATTTTTAAATTTTAGTCTTTAGAAGAAAAACAACTATTCATTAAAAACAACATTGTAACAACAACATTCATTAATCGCCATTAATGAATTTCAAAATGTGCGATTAATTAGTTAATTTTTTTATTCTATTGACAGCCCTAAAAAAAAAGTTATGTAATGTTTTAAAGTTGCTGGTTTATTTCATGGCCACTAGGGGCAGCAGAAACTCAAGATGAACACGATTACTTTGCAAAGCAGTTGTGTACAGTGTGTGGGCCAATGTTGAAGAGGACTTTTAGCTCTCTTTTGGGGTAAATATCGGGCTAATAAGCTGTTAAATGATCATTGGAACAGAAATCAAAATAAATAAATAAAATAAAATATCTTTGCATGGTCCATAGGCGTAAAGTAGAATTCGTGGCTCTGGAATATATCTAACAAATAGGAGCCAAAGTGTCTTTTTAAGGTCTCATAAAGGGACGCAGCCGTCATAGTAGGAACGGGCGAAACGCACGCACGCAGACGCACACACAACCTCTCACCTGAGCTCATCCGGGCTCCCGATGGGTTGAGGGCCGCGCAGCTTGGAGTCCAAGTTGTAGTAGACTCCCCCCACCTCTCGGACCCCGATCCAGTGCTGGCGTTTTAGCGGCAGCCGGAGAGGCCCCCAGCGCAGGTTGGACGGCACGTTCAGGATGAAGCCCGTCACGTTGGACAACTCGATGCTGCATACATCCCTGGAGGAAGAAAGGACATTTATTGTGGCAGTGAATGACTAAATGACCATTGATTATTTTCTCCGGCACACATTAGGGGTGAGACGTTTTAGAAACGCTATTGTGTAGAAGACTTTCAATCCAACAGAACAATCTGAATGGTGGCAATATGCAAAAGAAAAGTCTCCACTACAGCTGGAGAACTACTGAAAGTAGCAATTAGATCTTGAAGAATTTATCATACACTAAGTATTTATTGCACTTTGTGGAGCCAATTTAATTAAATTATTTTACGAATAAAGCAACATGTATCTTTCAATCCATTAAATGTCAAACGGCTGGACACACCGTGGCTTCAGACAGGCTTATCAAGACAGTATTTCACAATAGCTCTCTCAGAATAATGAAAACATAACTAACCTTCCCTAAATCTTCCTGTGAGCCTCTTTGTCCAAATGATGTTGTTTATGTGTAGCGTAACGAGCGCACGCCAGCGATGTGAAGAGGATCACATGAATTCATTGCCTTGATGTATTCACAATGTGGCCGTATCATGACCACAAGGAGGTCAAAGGTCACAGCTAGATTACAAACAACTCCTATCCAGAAACTGCATCTCTACTGAATATTTATAAATGAAAAAAAAACATTAAAGTTTTATTCAGAAGCTTATCGGTGGAATCACGCGTGCTGCATCAGTCAGCATCTGCGTGGCGGTTTTGTCGCTACAAAAGGAGAAGCTTGGAGTTCCTGTTTGGGTCGAGACAGAGTAACGGGAATATGGCTCTTCTGATTCACCTCTTTTACTGGTAAAAGTCTGTTGTAACAACAGGGTGGAATAACTGGTGAGGGGAACAGGAATGCTGATGAAACGGCCTCTTAGATTTTAAACTCTGGAATAGCTGACTCATCACAGAGATCATTAAGACACTGCTGATTAGGTGTGTTTGGGAGGGAGGGAGAAGCCACGGCCAATGTTTCAACGTGCCAGCAGCACCGAGGCAGCGTCATAAGTACGTCTGCACCAACGTACAGAGCAGCAATAACGTGCGCTGTGATTGGTCGACGGGGCAGCGTGACCTCAGTCAAACAGAACGCTGGCAGGCCGATCTTAGCATTCAGTCAGCGTGAACAGCACTTTTATGCTTTTACATCAGCTATCGGAGTGTTGATCTGTCTTTTGTATTCTTTTTATTATATAGCTGATAGCGTTCCCTATGATGTAAATAATTTGAGTGTTTTAGTGTCTTGATGGTTTGCTTTGTTGTAAATAAATGAGACTGGTTCTCGAGAGTCATTGAGTTAATCACATTAATTTGACTATATGCATTGTTCTTTGTTTACCCAGCATCCCATCACGACGCATTCATGCAACTGCAGTTAGTGTATTTGTAGGTGTCCTCATTTGATTTCACTTTAAAAGTTAGTGTTATGTGAATACGAAATAAATAATAACCTGTAACTGTGGCGTCATACTGTCCTCCAGCTACCTTACAGTTCCTAGTGTCATCCCCAGCCCAACACACCTTCTTTTATCCCACCAGACTGCCTCAAACCCTCGAGTCTGCAGGGCTGCCATTATGACGTTCACGTCATAGTTCCCGTTTCCCAGCATGCTCTTCTTGTGAGGTGTCACCAGAGTGCCGGGAGAAAGCCTGCAACGAGTTCACGAGAGAGATTCAACAGGTCAACCCACGCACGCCGGCTGAGTTGGTGATGCAGATTGGTACGGCGGCTGCCCCACCTCTGGTATATCTCCTGCAAGGTGTCCCTGCTGAAGGCCGCCCCGTCCTGGAAGACGTTGTTGAGCGCGTGCAGGGCGCACAGCTCCCTGCGCTGCTTCTCGTGGTAAATGGCCGGAGGTGTCAAAGAGGCTTGAGGAGGCAGTGGCGCGGGGCGGGAGGAAGAGGAGGATGAGAGATCCTGCTGCTGCTGAGAATCCGTGGGATCCCTGCACCTCCTCTCCTCCGCTCCCACCACCAACTCCCCTCCTCCCCCTTTCTGCTTGCTGATCTTCCAGCGCATGCAGGCCAGCTCATGCAGGGCCGCCCAGGGCCTTCCCCTTCCACTCGCCAGCTGGATACGGAGCGCTTTCCCATCCCTCGACAATCGGCACCAGCGCCACCACTGCCGCCGCCGCCACCTCCTCCAGCTCCACCACTACCTCCACAACTACTGCCTTCAGGATGCTACGTCAGCACCACGACAACCATTGCCATAGCAACCTCTCAGCCGCTTGGAAGAGAGGAGCTTTTCAGTCCCTGTGAGCGGTGGAGAGGGAGGGGTGGTGCTGGCGGTGGTGGTGGTGGTGGGGGGGGTCGAAAGGTAAATGAGACCTGTGGGTGTTTAACACCTGCTCTGTCTGAAGAATAGATGTGCGCAGAGGTCAACGGGAGGGAGGGGGGGGGGGGGGGTCAAAAGAACCGGGGCTCGAGAGGGGATCGCCAGCAAAGAAAAACCCTCCAGATGCTCACAGACGAAAGGTTACTCCTCCACCACTACGGCAGTGTGATCATTCAAAGTGCTCTGTGTGCGTTTCCTCCTCCATCTTCTCAGTGTGTGTGTCGACGGCCCTTTCCATCTAGTCACTGAGCAAGCTTGGCGGTTCTTTCCATCACTGCTGACCAACAACCAGCACGTGGCGCTGAAAGAAAGAGAGGATCAAGCTGTATATTCATACTCTACTGTTTGTGCATAGTCCAGTATTTTAAAAAAGAACTCCTACGGTGATGAATTCCCACCACAAGTTAGTAAAGCCTAAAACGTCATCTAAAAGAAAGAAAAAATGATGGGAGGGGGGTATTGTTAGCTTCCACCACCTCCTCTGGGTCAGCAAACCCCAGAACGAGAAGCAGGTAAACATTTGCAGCAGTCTGGATAGAGGAAGCAGCCTGTTCAGTAAGCTAGCAGAAATACGGCAACAGCTATGAACAAAACAAGCGCGCACACACACGTAAACACACGCGAGGACACAAACACACGCAAACACACACAGACACGTTAGAAAGCCCACGGCGCGTTAGCGGTGATAGCGGCTGTTACACTGTGAAACCAGAGGAACCGGGAGAGGAACCATAGAGGAACCCTAGAGGAGCAGATATGTGGCGACAGTCATGTGGCTCCTCTGCGTGAGCGTGTGTGCGCGAGCCGCTCGGCCGCCCGCTTCCTTTAACGTCTCGTTACTCGCCGCTTTTCTCCGCCGGACCACTTACCCGCTCGCTTCCGCCCGCGCGCGTCTCGACCGGACTACTTTATACCGGTGAGTGAACTGGATCCTCCCGTTCCCGTTTCCCTACAGGCTGCTCGGTCCTTTGTCTGTGCCAAGCTCTCCCAAGGATAGCGCTCTCTCTCTCTCACTCTTTCTGTCTGTCTCTCTCCCAGTCTGTCTCCGTCCTCGCGGACATGCGCAGTAGCGTCCTCGCGGCTCATATTGCCGTCACCGCCGCCTGCGTCAGTAGTCCCTCCCTGCAGACATTACTACAAATAATCAGTGTTGGGCAAGTTACTGAAAATGAGTATTTACTTACAGTTACTTCTTTTAAAGGTAATTGAATTACTTATCAGTTACTGTGTATCAAAAGTAATTAGTTACTCTGGAAAGTAACTTTTAAGTTACTTTTATGTCTGCTTTTTAAATGTAATGAATATAAATAGGGCTGAACAGTCAAACACAATAAACATATTTTTTAGACCTATTTATTGTAATCAACAGGGCAACAGGCCTTCAAATCAAGCAATAGTATAAAAGTCCTTTTTAACTTAACTTAATACAAAATAACTGTTTCAGGCATTTGCCTGAAGGCAACTGACTCGACAGTTGACAGGATGCATCTCATCTTCAACATAGCGAGCAATCAATCTATTCAGCTCTGCCCGGTTCATCGGCTGCACTGCAGTCCGTGTAAAGTGGAGCCGTGGTTGTTTGCGTGGAGCGGCGGCTGCAGTGTGGTATATTGGATCGAGCACTCAGTGCTCGATTGTGTTTGACTGTCACTACGACGGAGTTCTGTGATTGTTTGTTCATGCCTGACGGTTTTGTGATTTGAGCGCCAGTAAATTACCTAACTTGTACTGCGTCCTCGTCTCCGTGCATTTGTATCGATTTAGATAACCCACGTGTAGTTTATGACTATAACAGTGATTATACATGTAGCATAAAGCCACAACATCCGCGGGCCTGCGCTCTTTCGTCATGAGCGACGCGATGCTGTTTACATGCACGTACGGCGACTATTCTGTGACACACAACGTTTGGTGGCCAACTATTTTGTGCTGACAGGCAGCTATTTACTTACTATTTGCCGGCCCTCCGCTTGGCGTCACAAAAGAGAGTAACGCGAGTAACGAACTCATTTCAATTTCAGTAATTGTAACTGCGTTAATTTATTCGTTACATGCTCGTTACCGCTAAAAGTAGTGGAATTACAGTAACGCGTTACTTTGTAACACTGCAAATAATGAAGAAAAGATGAATGACTTTTGGGTAAAGTGGTAAGTTTTATTATTAACATGTTCATGGAGCTTGTTTTATCCCCTTTTAGCTCATGGTTTTGGTTTTCTGATTTGATGTGTACATGATGTACATGGCAGGTAACAGGATACATAAACAGCCACAGTCAGCTGGTGCAGACCAAAACAGAGTTTAAAGGAGATTGAATATTGCAATTGGGTGATATGCGTAAATACGCCACAGTTTATGGGTGTTACATGTGGTTAATAACTCATTATGCAATAAAACCAAATACAGTCAATAGTAAAATGTTTCACACTGCAGCAAAAAAATAAAACTGACTTTCAACGCTGCAAACAAGAAATGTAAAATAAAGTTGTGGTTAAAATGTTTTGTTTTCAAACCCAAAAACCCAAGCTGCCGTTTGGTGTTAATAATCAGTGCGCTGTAGTGACCAGAGAAACTAAGAACATTTAAACGGCACCTTATGGAAAATATCAAGAGAGATGATATTGATACTATGTTGTCAAAGTTGAATCTTTCTACATGTAAAAAGATAAATATATCATTCATTGACCTGTTACTGTCATCCGCTAAAAATAGATTAATGATTTTTCCTTCTGAGCACAGCTGAGCAGTATTTCATAGTCAAGCAATTGTTATTTTTCTGGTCTAGCTGCTGTTTCAGAGGCTTCTGGAGAAAGCAAACGCACTGCTGAACAATGTTATTTTCCCTGCCCATCTTTAAAGTTTGATATTACCCTTAAATTATTAAGGATAAAGGAGGGCCAAGCATCGGAGCAGTGTGCCAAAACATGAGGCACGGGCCTCTACAAAAGAATACGCTGACAGGAAAGAATTACAACACGCCAAAACGGGAAAGTGTGTATCGGCAGGAAATCGAACCAAAAGCATCTGCGGCGTGTTGAAAACCACGAGCTGGCCATAAGTTCATTTAGACAGTCGTAAACCAGCAGAGGGACAAATATACTTCAGGCAAATAACCGCCCTCTCACATAAAGCCAAAATTAGACCCCCCCCCTCTCACACACATACACACACAGACTAACAAATAACACCATTTCACTTCCCCCTTCTCTCATTTACATGTGTCCCAGTTTTCCAGCCAGTACGGCGACCATGTCAGCAAGGAGCTCCTCCCTGATGCCGTCCTCCTTCCTCTGCAGCTCGTGGACGAAGTGTCCTCCGTTCATCTCCCTCACCCGTCCCGCCAGCTGCTTGCGCGTCCTGCTCTTTGCCTCCGGGGGGCAGTCCGGCCCGTTGTCCACCAGCTCTGGCGTCTGGTGGCACAGGGACCGAGCCCTCTCCAGAGCCCCCGAGTCCACATCCGGCCCGCGGGCTTCTGTGTGAATTCGACCCGGGCGCTCGGCGTGGGTGAGCACCGGCATGACGTACCCCGCCACCCCGTCTCCGAACAGCTCGAGGGTGGATCGCATCGCCTGGGCCATCTCCTGATCGACCCCGGTGCCGGAGCCCCCAGCTGGTGTTACCAACAGGAAGGCGTGTGGTCCAGGACTGGAGAGCTGAAGGCTCCTCAGAGCTTCCCGGGCTCTCTCCTTGACCCCCAATGACGACCCCAAAAGATCCGGGGTGTCGATCACTGTGACCTCTGTGCCATCCAGTACTGTCCTTCTCCTGGTGCTCTCCATTAAGGGACCCACGGGTGCCGTTTTAGCACTGTCGCCCAACAAAGTATCGGCCAGGGACGTCCGTCCTCCACCTCTGGGCCCGAGGACGATCAGCCTCAGGTCTGGTCGGTTTGTCCGATCCATCTCTGGATCAGCGGCGGATGATCCTGCACAGGTGACAGGATTTCATTACGTAAATGCTAAAAGGTCAGATTCTCAGCCCAACTGGGTCTGAGTGAGCAGCCTTTATGTTTTAAATATTTAACATATAACCGATTGACACATTTAACAGACAAATCCCCTAAATGTAGAATGAAGGTGAACTGACCTGTGATGACGGCGACCAGCCCCTTCAACTTGGAGGACGATGCTGACCAGAGAAGCAAATTGTAAGGCAGTGGCTTTAATTAGAGGCCTCATATCACTCAAATAGCTGAACCATTCAGATACTAAATTGCTCTCTCGTGTCTGCTGAAATTCCGAGTCTCTTGCTCAGAATACCCAAACGTACCCACCCAAAACGTCCACTCGAATCGCTCGATGAAGAGTACGCAACGTTGAACAGTAACACACGCAGGCGGCACTCACCTCCCACAAACCGCCAAATCTGAGACCCACGTTTGCACAGACGCTGGATTCCTGGGACACGAGAGGTCAATTGAAGAGTTAGCATGTGACAATTTTTAATTTTTTTCTTAACTTGGTCAGAAATGACGGGTGTTTATTTCGTACCACGAAAGGTTCCCACCAGGTGGCTCACCCAGCTCCAGAGAGACGACAGACCTGCGGCAGAACGCACATTCAATACGTCACATCGCACACAACAAACGCTACTTAAGTAGCTCTGCGAGCTGTCCGTTAAAATCCGGGTGGGTGACCTCTGACCTTCGGGTACATAGCTCACCAGTTAGAGAGCAGAAGAGACGAATTGGCCATCGGATCAGAGCCGGGAGCGCTGCAGGGAGAACAGACTGCTATCAGTATCAGCATTACAGCGGGGGGGGGGGGGGGGGGGTCATCATTGACTCATCGTGTGTTTTGGACTTCTGACCATGTGACAGATATAGACTATTGCCAGCTTTATCTCTTAGAGATAATTGTTTTTGATCATTTAAAGAGGTCTGATGTAAGGGTTTGCTGTCGGGCGTCCTCCCCCCATCTGTGAGGAGGACGCATGATTCCAGGTTGAACCTCTGATGACTCTGATCAGGGCGCGTGCGCGCTCACGGGACGACAGGCCAATCAATCAGAGAAACCCAATGGCTAACGCGTCGGGGGAACCTCGTGAAATGAATCTGATCTTGTGTGTACTGACTCTGCGAGAATCTGTAGAGGAGATACCCGACCACGGTAAAGACCCCCATCTGCGAGGTGTTGCTGCTCATCCACCAGCCTAAACAGAGAGGGGGAGGCAGCATTAGTACCAAAATAACGTACACAGTTTATCACGGGGTTTACCTTCCAATTCCAATCCCAGGAAAACCACATTCTTGGATTTAGTGCTTTTTGTTTGAATGAGTTTCATTTGAATCGTTAAGCAGAAACATTTAGCACAGTTTAAATTTTCTCAAATATTCAGAATTGTTGTCCTCTTCATTTCTTATAATTATTTCAGACAGATCACAATTAGATTCAACATTAGGTGAATAATGGACAACTCTATATAAAGTTGACTTTCATACAATGGAAGTTCAACCATAAAGAATAATAATATTATAATAATGTTTATTCCATGAACTGGACAGACCGCTATATCATCTCATAAAGCATTTTGCCTCACCTGTAACAGCGTCCTCAGAGTTCTTTTCACACTGACACTCCATTTCTCCACAGTGGACAGACCTTCAGCCCGAGTCAAGGTAGCGCGACTATGTGGGAGCACTTCTGCTCACAACAGTCCATAAAAGCATTAAATATTAACTAGACACCTGGGTTAACAGACACGATTAAATCTGCCTCAATATTATTTCCATGTTTGTCAACACAACCTGGTAAAGTGTCCAAAGTCTATGTTAACATGTCACAACGTCTGCAGGCGACGTAAACCAAAACAGGACTAGATAATGTAGTTTAAAATGTCTATTTAATCCCACAGCAAAGACAAAATGCTCCTAACACTGAATTACGTGCGGCGTATTCAGATAATCCTCCCCAGGAATCGACGCCACTCACCAGGCTGTGAGATCCAGTCTTCCTGCGGAAACATTCGCCGGCTCAGGTTCCGCCCTCGACAGCCTTTATTGAGCTGTGGGCCGGTATGTTGATCTCCTGCTTCGGTCGGACACGCCCTGTTTTCTTCTTCTTCTTCTTTTTTTTTTTGACACCAGGAACTGAAAGTTCTGCTCGGACATGTAAATCATACTGACTCGAGCTTAACGAAATAAAACAAAACGCGCGGCTGTAAAAGGGTTTAGTTTTATTAACCACAATGCAAAATGATCAACAGTCGTCCACACAGGTAACGGCCTTCTTCTTCTGACTGTGTTTACTGTTCAGTGAATACAAACTCACACAAAGCAGGTTTGAGAAGTCCCGCTCACAAAGAAACTGACTTGTTCCTTTACATTCAAACATTATTCATGTAATGTGGGTTTGGAAAACACAAACACCAGCACCGAGGCACGTTTCCTCATAGAAGAAGAAACAACAGGACTCTTGTTTTTTAGGAAACGGTTTTTCGGCTGTACCCAAATTTCACAGGCAGCATTGCGAGTAAAAAATTTGTATCCTGCTTTTCAGCAGATCACCGCATTTGCTGCATTCAAAGCAGTCGAGTATGTTCTTTTTTTTAACTTTTTTTTTTTTACATCGAGTTGTACGTTCAACTCCTCATTTTCCCAGCTGGGCAATCAGAGCATCTATCAGCTCCTGCTTCTTGGTCCCGGTGGTGCGAACCCCAAACCGCTTACAGGCGTCCTTCAACACGGGCACAGTCAGCTTTCCCAGGGTGCCGTTCTGCGCGTGGGCCCGCAGCTCGTCTTCTGCCACCTCCACTTTGGGCTTCTTCTCCGCTCCTCCTCCGGTGTCAGCTGCCGGTTCAGTGGAGCAGAAAGCGTTCAATTAAAAGAACGAGTGTGAGCTACAATCCAACAACCGAGAATCAGTAAAAACAACTTTGCTCAGCTAGTTTTCTGCTCTGACCGGTTTTGCGTTTGGCAGCTGCTTTGTTCTCGGGGTTGTAGCCGTCCGGGTAGACCAGGTCCCTAAACTCCTGAACCAAAGGACCCAGGCGGTTGTCGATCTGGTCCACCTTTGGCACTGAGGCCCGGGAGCAGAAGAGAGACGGACAGGTGCAGGTTAGTGGAAGGAACAAGAGGACGCTGCACCAGACACACGGGGTTTGTTTCCCTCACTGATGAGGTCGTCGATGTCCTCTGGAGCCATCATATCCAGAGCCAGGGCCTCCAGGTTCCTGTACTGCTGCTGGATGACTGGATTCTCAAACGCATCACTCCTAATTGGAATAGGAAATCATTTGTCTTAACAGAACATGACAGGCGTCTCCAAACCAGGATCACTGTACGTACCTGTATTTGAAGCGCAGCTTGGAGACAATCTCCTTCATCTTGTCCACCTGTCTTTGTGAGGCTGTGGGGAACTGGGGAGGATCCAGAGTCCGCATGTCGTCAGCGTACGGCAGATAGATGACGTGGAAACCTGAAACAGGCCCGAGGGACGACATGTTGCCGTTAGGCTTCTCCACCACAACGGCCGAGGCTGTAACGTCGTAACTGTCTCTTCTGCTTTTTAGCCCATCGGCTTATTTAATAAAAGAAAAACTAATTGACAAAGGCAGTTGTAGGAATCTGAAGTTTGCGGAGCCCAGCAGTGAATCACCTGGAGGTGAAATCTGTACTTTCCCCTCGCCGACCTCCTCTTTCTGAGGCACCAGTGCGACAAATCGAGGCGGGAAGTTCCGGCGAGCGACGCAGCGGCACAACGCGAACACGTTCCTCTCGCTGCACTTTGTCAACAAGGCGGAGAAGAGACACGCGCTGCCTGAGGCGGGGAAACACAGGACGGATAAGAGACAGAAGGGTTTCAATATTGCTTCATAGTAGCGAGTCGGGACACAGACGGACAAACAGCGGTACCTTTCACTTCGTCCTCCTCGGGGTAGAGGAAGACGGCGGGGCGGATGTGGTGGTGACGTTTCAGCTTGGCCATCGGTTTGAATCCGATGAGAGACATTCCAGGATCTTCAAACTTCTTGATGGCGTCCACCTCGTCCCTCTCCATAACTATCTGTTTTTTACCATACACCTACAGCCAGGAACAAACAAGTAAAATATAAAAAACACCGTCAATGGTGGTCAGCAACTGCTGATTCCACTCAACGCTGTACATGAGAATCTGAGAAGAGACGCATGCTTTACCTGGGACTTCTTTATCTCACTGGGCAGCAGCAGGCTGCCCGTCTGAGTGTGGAAGGTTCGGGTTTTGCTGCGGACCGGTTCGTTGGTTTCCCTGTAAAGCCTGATGGGAGCTGGTTTCCGCGCCGTCACGGCGGTTGCGTATATTCCGACGGCTACATTTAGACCCTCGCCGAGGCACAGGTTCATCCTAAGGTGGCAGAGAGGGACGGATGGCGCGAGGAATGGAGGGGACGCAAAGACGAACCAAACGAACGAAAGCAAACACATGGGTGGGTGGTCTGTGTGAATGGGTCCCATCTCTACCTGGCCATGGCTCTCTTCTTCTGCTCCTTGGCTCGCACCCTCTTCTTGAGGTCCTCCAGTTTGTCACAAGGCTCCAGCTGCAGCCCCAACTCGCTCTCATCCTCGGGTGGACTTATGACGTCCCGAAAGAATGTCGCCACGTCGAAGCCGCCCGGTTTCATCAGATGCATCAAATTGACGACGACGCCTATGAGAGAAGAGAGGAGCCTCATGACGTACAGCCCAACGTCCGAAACGCCGGCTTTGAGCTTTCATGAAAGAAGAGCAGCCTCAGCTGAAGGCCCACCGGTCTCCTTGAGGTCGCCCGCCTTGGTGCGAGCCTGACGGTCTTTCGCGCCGTCGCTCCCGTGTGGTTCGTCCCTGCAGGTGAAGATCATGAGCCGCTTGTGCGAGAGGCGCAGCTTGATGTCGCTGTAGAGGTTGGCGCAGCACCACAGGGCGTCGCCCAACGACGTCTCCCCGCTGCCCATGGTCTCCGCCGCTAGTTGGGCCCCTTTGTCCCCCCGCAGAGCGTCCACGTCCTGCACTCGCTTTGCACCTGCGGACAAAACAACGACGAGGAACAGAATGAATCGGGACGTACGGAGACGCGTGAGGCCGTTTGTGGAGTCACCGATACTGCGTTCACCGCCGCACTGATCCAGAGGCTGATGAGGAGGAATTCACTACACTGCTTTTATTTAGCGTGTATTGATCAGTAACCACTGACAGCAGCTGCAACAGCCTTTTTTTGGCGCTCTTGTGTTTGTTAACAATGACAACTTACGCAGTTGAATATGCTTTATCGGAATAGATGCAGGGCGTGAAACCTGCCAACATTTGTATTTGTGTGATTCAAGTGAACTGTTAGTTGAAAAAGTGCAGCGTCTCACCGGGTTCGTCCAGGTCGTGGTACACGTACACATGCTTAAAGGAGTTCCTGGGATTTTTGCTCTGCTCCGTGCCGTAGAAAACCAACGCCATCAGATCCCTGTGACTGCTGATGATCTTACTGGCGTACACACTGCGCACAACCTACGAGGACACAACACAGACACTTCCTGAGACACAAGGGACCCCTGAGGATAAAAGCAATGATTGAGGCCTATAATAATAATGTTTTTAGCCAAAATAAAATATTTAATAAAACAATTTTTTCCTACAAGTGCCTTTCCAACTACATATTAACAACCCTTACATACTTATCTAGGTCATTTCGTCACATATATCTAAATTCCAACAGACAAATACAATAAAAAACAAAGGACAGCTGGTCATCATACCTGCATGGTCATGTCAAAGTTGGAGGGCTGTCCGTCTTCTCCTTTGATGAACATTTCCTTGGAGGCATCAACCAAAAAGACCAAACTGTCTCTCCCTGTGGCCTTGTAATCTGCGAACAGAGACGCAGAGACAGTGTCTTAGTTATTCTGTGTTAAATGACATATGAATAACTATAGATTACAACACCAAACTGCCTGGCATGCAAGTGGGATCAAATCAAAGTTGTCATATACAGCTCCCTTATTGGGGAAGAGCAGAGTAAACAAACAAAGGGGGCAGAGGGCAATAACGATCACATCTGTTGCATTATGTACAGCTGATGAGTAGTAAGTAGAGAGGAGGCTTTGCTCTCACCCCCAGACTGCTCTCCTTCCTCCTGGTCCTCCTCGTCCTCCTCATTGCGGTAGAAGGTGTTCCACTCCGCCATGTGCGCTGCTCCTGCCAAGCGATTCGGTACCTTACATCAATAACGCCGCATCGTTCAGCTCTAAAGCAGTTTTAATTTACTGACTTAACATTAAAAACGTAATATGTAAAGCTGTGTTTCTTTGACAGTAAAAGATGCGGTACTAATTTAATCAGATAACAATAATTATGCAAATGGAAACGAGAAGATATTAACATTATAGTTAATGCAGACGGATATTTCAACTACGTCCAGGTAACGTTAGCTAGCTTAGCTTGTGATTGGCCGCTGTTCGCTTTAGTATTTTTGGGGTCACCTAATTAGCATATATATTTCTATGGATGCGTGACCATTATAAGGAGTAAACACGTTAAAACAATGAACGGAATATATATAAAGTAACTATATGAGCATACAATCACTCGTCGTACTCCGCTTCTCTCTGCCCACAAGTGCAGAATAGTTTCAATGGCGTGCTCGCTCCCCGACGTGAACGAGCACGCTGAAAAGCGTGCGTAACAGCTCGTTGTCTATTGGACACTTTTCTTCCAACATGACGTACTGACCAATCCCAGTGAAGTAGGCGGGGATTGGCTTCGCTGAGACGCTCCACACCGGAAGAAACGCCGCTGTCGCCATGCGAAGGCACTTTGACAGTCATGTTATTGTTTACAGTCGCGCAGTGACACAGCACTTGCCGTCAGCACCCGGCAACTTTGGCCTGATTCATATTTGATACAGTACTATTACTTTTTATGTGAAATAGCTTGTTTCCTTTGTTTAAACTTCTGTTTATTTAAGTTTTGCTTAGTAACGCGAAGCACTTGGTTAACTTAGTTAACCATCGCGAAGCACGTCCATCTGTGCCATCATGGAACAAACGCGTTCGTACCCGGTGATACTGTACATTTACGACATGTCCAGAGGCATGGCCCGGCAGCTGAGTCCTATCATGCTAGGTGAGCTTTAAACCAGGCAACTTGTTGCTCGACTTTAGTAAAGCCGTGATGGAGCCTTTAGACCGGCGAGAGGAACCAGGAGAGAGCGGGGATGCTACTCAGGCCTAAGCGCCTCAGCAGCTTCTACTAACCTACTACTACTACTACTACTACTACTGCTACTACTGCTACTGCAAGTAGATTTAATTCCGTTTCTCTATCTTCACAGGGAGGCAGCTTGACGGGATATGGTAAGTAGACTAAACATATATAAAGTTAATGTGAGCTGTGCTTAATCACTTTCATTGGCTTGCATTGTTGGATGGTGCTTTGTTATTTTACAGGCACACTGCCATTGTGGTGCATGGGAAGGAGTTCTTCTTTGTGGGAGAAGGCATCAACAATTGTCCACCGGTAAGAGTCGGCATAATTCTTTTCCTCAAGCACAAAGCACACAATCTACAATCACGCTGATTTACAGGAAACCGCAACCACTCATGAAGGAATGGATGAAGAAGTGCTTGTCTGGGTGTTTTGCAAGTAGTCGTGCTGAGGTGTTTGTGTGCGTTGAATCTTAGGCCGGCACGCCTCTGGGTGAGCCCGACTCCACGGTGGACCTGGGCTCCACTGAGGTGCCCGAAGACGTCTTCATGGAGTACCTGTTCTCCCTGGCGGAGTCCACGTACGGGTGTGTGCTCAGGCTCCTCACACAGATCTACATCACCAGCGGGACCGTCCCGACGTCTAGTTCAAAAAGTTCTTTATTGTCTACCAACGATATTTTAGCTTTTCTAATTTACATGCAAAGAGTTGTGGCAGTGGTTTCTTTTGTGTTGTGATTTAAACATCTGATCACTAGATGGAAGTGTTGCATCATATCTTAAACCGTTTGACCCTCCACCCCCGATGTAATCGCACACACCGAGAAAGGAAGTAGCGTAAATCGCAGTACATTGCATCGTATCCTCGGTATTTTATCCCTTGTCTTGCCAATGCACGGCTCTTATTAAAATCCTCACCCTTCCTCCCGTTACCCCTCCGTCAAACTGTTGCTATCTCGCGTGTCCTGCTGCTCACCCGCCCTCATCTCCACCCTGCTCAGCAGCTGCGCTTTATCTCCCGATTAATGGCTCTTCTCTCTCTCCATTTGTCTCTCTTCTTGTGGGTTGCACAGCGCTGACAAGTACAACTTGTTTGAGCACAACTGCAACACTTTCAGCAACGAGGTGGCTCAGTTCCTCACGGGGAAAACCATCCCGTCGTACATCACAGACCTTCCATCTGAAGTTCTATCCACGTGAGTCAACAGGTGCCCCGAAAGGCTTCTCTCGTCACCGGTGCACTTCGTAACGTCTTATTTTCTATTTTTTTAGTTACAGAATCTCTGCTTGTTTTGTAATGACCATTTAGGACTTATAAAGCTTTATACAGTTTTCATTCCCAATCCAAGCCAATCCACCAAGTAGTGGAACTAGTTGTGCCACTTTGGTGGACTTTGAATATATTCAGGACAGAATAGTTGTTAAAATGCTACTTTTAAATCGGTAATGCATAGATCCAGTCACCACGTTAAAACACCATCACACTCTTATGCACGCTTTGTGTGTTCATTTTGTATATTGTTACTGTTCTCGCGAATGCCAAACATCCAAATGTAATTGGGCAAAGAAGCAGACGCAGAGTTTTAAATGATTTATTGGAAGGTCCGACACCTTCAATATCTACTTGTGTAGATCAGAGAAATACACTTGGTTTGATTGGCTTGTTGTTTTGCATCAGTCAGCTTCCTGACTTCACACTGAACATCCCAGATGGATAATGTCGCGCTTTCTGCTGTGTTTCCTCTGCAGGCCTTTTGGTCAGGCCCTCCGTCCGTTACTGGATTCCCTCGTCATAAATCCCGGAGGCAACAACATCACTGGACAGCGATAGACTGGGCGGCTCACATTACAGGACATGTAATGTCTATTACTCACGTTTCTAATTAACCCGTCATCATTTGAATGGTTTTCTCTATTCAGTTTATGAATTTTCTACACATTAGAGTTATGAAGGGGGGGGGGCAGCCACTGGGGGGCGGGGGACTGAAAAGGGTATATTTAGACATCTGTTGCAATTACAAGTTCACAAAGTGAGAATACTTAGTATGACGTACTTATCTTGTGTATTAACTGGAGGCGTGATGATGACAGCAATCTACTTTTAAATTGTTATTTTATATAAATTCATATGAGGATTTTATATATATTTTACTTTTCAAGTGTTTTATAGAATCAGACAATAATAATCAGTAATTTAGGCTGCTTAAAACTATACAGTTTCATAAAACTAGTTATAAAAAGATAACTTATGGCATATTTGCTCAAACTGTCACTATACCCTGACAGTTGTGCACGAGGCAGATAATCTGGCTCTCAGGGTCCCCAATGGCATTTAAAAGATGCCAACGCACCAATCAATGCCAACCATCAAGCTGGTCCAATATGGATCAAGATTCTTGTGCTTTCTTGCCTATTTCCTGCATCAAATATAATTATTTCCCCACGATTAAACAGTTTTAGCCGATGCGTCAAAAAGTCTCATAGTGCTACAACCGAACCCGTCTTCCACCGCGTTGTGACCACATCAGCTCCTTGGAGACGTGATTTGAGTGTAATGCCTCTTAAAAGGTGCCACGTTTCTACTCGTCACTTTAGCGCCTTGTGGTCATTTACAAATATGCACATTTATGTATGTTTTTAAACCCGTGCACATCTGGGCTCCACAGTGTGGTGACGGCGCTGCTTCACCGACGCCGTGACTAAAGTGTGCTGATCAGTCATGGAGTCTGACTCTATGCTTTGTGACATTTCTACTCCAGTCGGTCGCTTTTGGGTTTGCACCCACTACGACAGTCGCCGTAGCAACGCTCCCCCCCCCCCCCCCATCTTTTCCCTGGAAGCCTTTTAGAGCCGAGGGCAGCTTTAAGAGACGGGCGCTGAAACAGAGTATTTCAGAAACAGGCTAAACAGTCTGTTCCAACAGACACGAGAAAAACAGGGTTTTTTTTACATTAATGAATGAAAACATGTTGTAGTTTTAACCCAAAATACGTGTGTGAATCAAGTGTGAACTTGATGATTCCCTTGTGTCTTTATTCATTGATTGTTATTCTTATTTCTGATCTGTATTATGATACACGTAATATTACTTGCACTTCTATAAATCCTTTTTATACATGTTATTTTCTGTTTTGTTTTGTGGTCTTAATTATATCAGTAGCACATGTCCAGAGGAAGTAAACTAGATAGTTAAAGGAAAGAAACCACACTCTGCTGGCCCGTCTGTGTATTCTGTGTTACTAAAAATACAGTTTCACTAAATCTTATGGGTTGTTTATTCTACTCATGTGTAACTTCTGATGTTCTCGTTGACCTAAGGATGACACGGCATAGGATTGTTTTATTTTTGTATGATTAATGCAAGACCAACCAACTTGTTCAGTTTCTAAATCCAGCAAGTGTGCCTGATGGCACTGAATATTTAAGATTTGTATAGTTAATAGCAGGGCCAGGCAGAGTAAATGATATGTAAAGCAGATGTTTTGCAAAAAGCCACTTCAGCTGCAGGACTGCTGCCCCGCTTGAATTCAAATAAATTTGCTTACTCTCATTTCAGTTTCTTTGGAATTATTGTTACGTTTGAAAAATAATGAAAAATTCTTTAAACTATTGTTTCTAAACCTACTTGATGATAGTTTTAGGGGGTCTGCAAGTTCTTAAAAAGTATTTAATTTAACTTAACTTAACAGATGTCACTTTACGTCCACAAGGCCTGTTAAGTCACTAATTCTCATAAATGTGTCACGTTTCCCAACTTAATAAATTGTGTCACGACCCTTAGCTGTTCTCACAATGTTTGAGAGTTTTAAGAGGATTATTTAGGAGCTGAAATATGAATCTTGTCCTTGGTTCCATGCAGTTGCAGCAGCAGCCACAGGGCGGCGCTGCACGCACACTGTGACACGAGGTGAGGGGTGAGTTGGTGGTTACTGGGACACGTTTGTGATCGTGCTGCTCAAATCCCGGCTGTGAGAATAAATCAGCTGTACTTTCACTTCTGTCGTTTGCAGAAGAGTCTGACAGAAGCGGCGTTAGCGCTTTCTCTTTAGGAGAGAACTTAAATCATATCACCATTTATTACAAACAAGATCTGATGAGTCTCGAATTGGGTCGTAAAGTAGTAATGAATATTTGTAATGTTGTGTTGTTACATTTATGTCAAGTTGTCATTTAGCTTTGTCACACTGATGGGGGTTGCGTTGACCTAATTAAGGGCCCGTGCTGTTTGGCTCAGTGAGACGTATCTGTGGGACAAACACAAGTCAAACCAAAGTCTCGTATGGATTTCACAATCTTTAATGTTTCTTATCTTCAAAGGGGGCATTAGTTGCTGCACAATCCCCTAGAAAGAACATTTCTAGAACATTTGGGGTATAAATTTGCTGTAAAGTGCTTACAGTTTATACACTAGTTTGCTACATGCTGTGTTCCACACCAATGCACTCTGGATTTACACGGCTATTCTATTTGTACGTTTATCAGCTCTCTTCTCGTATGTGTTCTCCTGTTGAACAGTTCTACACCGACTCCAAGTCGACGACCCGAAGGAGCTCAGAGGGCCAAAGTGGAACGATTCCCTCCTCTCACTCTGTGCACAGAAACTATTGCACACAGACGTCTCATCTCTACAACCCATTGGAACCAGACTGCAGATCATGTTGATGAGTGGATCTGCTCCAAGACGACTTGTGTTTGCAACAGCGTCCTGTTATCAGGCGCACGGTACTGTTTAGCGGTATGCTAATCTATACTTAATTTGTATCACTTTATTATGTCAGGCATGTAAAAAAAACAACACCAACCTGCAATCACGTGACAAACAGCGAACAGGCGTAGTTTATCCACCTGTATTACACATCAGAACATTACACAACTCTCTATTCGTCATGTTACTAAAATCATTAACATGGAAGAATATACTCTGTTAAATCCCACAGCAATTATGACAAAACAAAAACTCTTAAAATGACCTAGTTCATACAGCCCTTATTCAAACAGAAAAAGATATATATAGGAAATTACATTTAACATATTTACACAATATTCATAAATAAAGAACACAGGATTTTTCCAGTGAGATTTGCACTACATGAAAACTAAAAAAAATATTGTGTCCCAAAGGATTATTCATAATGCAGCAAATGATGTGAAATGTTTATCAGAAATAGATGAAAAGAACCGCCGGGCGCCGTCGTTTCAGGTTGGCTAAATTCATGATTTCAGAGCAAGAAAAACACTAGAAGCAAAGAACTTAACGCCTGCTTCTCCTTAAAAAAACTAATTCCATGTCTCTCAGCCGGCAGAGCTCAACATCAGCCGTGGAGAGAGAATGACCAGCGTGCACCGCTGCACCGTCAATGAGGACATCACCTTTGGGCAGCAGAAGGCGGAAGAGAGACCGTGCTCGGGGGGGAAAAGGACCAGCGTGGTCACGAGGCTCTGAGTGCGATCGCTTCACCAGAGCACAATTTAAAATACTGCTCTTACCACAAGTGACAGTATTCGTGCCTTGAGGTGAACAGGAGGAGTAGACGGGGGTCCAGTCCATGTGACAATAACAACTTCATCCAAACCACAGCAGGTAGAGCAGTAAAACAATGTATATCATGAATCTATCTTTAACTTGAGTGTTAATCTGATTGTGGGCTTTAATCCGTTAATTATATCCATTTAATTTTTCCCTTTCCCTTGTTTTATTTCTTATATTGGCCATAATCAATAACCCTGAGAGATCAGTGTCCACCACCTGTACAGGAACAACAAATAGACACATTTAGCGGCCAGATAGTGATCGCTGCAGAGCATTCAACAGCTGGAGAGCATTCAACAGCTGGAGAGCTGGATGGATATTTCCCCCTGGAGTCAGGAGAGAACATGCGGCCGTAGTGTCAATGAACACGGGTTTAAAGGACCAGTGTGTATAATTTAGTGGCGTCATGTGGTGACGTGGCAGATGGCAAACAATGAAATATTCTCTCATCCTCCCTTTTCCAAGTGAAAGCAGAAGCTGTGCGGTGGCCTTCATGTGCATTCGTGCCATTTTTATTCCGAGCTGTGACTCCAACGGAGAAATGCAACATCT